GAATTCCAAATTTCATATAAAAAAATATGCTAAGAGAACATAGAGATTAAGATTACCTGGTTTCCATTTTCGCTAAATTCTAGAAGGAAAAATAATTTGGGAGCAGAGAGCGAGTTGGTAACCAAAAGAATATAAAAATAAAATAAGCTTTTGAAGTAGGAAGAGAGAGTAGTAGAGGAGGAGAGGATAAATATTGAGGATTGGTTAGGGTTAGGCTAGGCCTCTATTTATAGCTGAAGTTTTGGGCTCGGATATGTGTTTCGTGCAATTATTTCCTTATTATTCTTAATTTCTTATTGCTCAAAATATCGCTAACTCATTATTTGACTCAATGTTGACTTATCATATCTAATCAAATTACCAATCAAATATTAATGCATAAATGACCAATCAATTAATAATTCAATTAATCACAATTTATCATTAGTCATAATATATATATATACACATTATTATTATTACTACTAATTTATAATTTATTATTATTAATTTATTATTATTGTAAATTACTATCATATTTCTGGGATATTACAGGGTTGATCCGCTCTCACAAATGAAACCTGGTGTTGCTTTCCAGCAAGGCAGTGCGTACAGCTCTCCATTACTTGACCTTTCAACCTGGTCAATAATCCTTTCTTTTTCAGAATTTGGAGCTCTTTCTCGCTCATGTGGTCGAGGCGTTTGTGCCACAACTCCATACTAGGTCCATTTCGAACAGAGTTGACTTCTCCACCATTTATCTTTCTGTGTATCATGTACAAAGAGCCTTCTTTTTTATCTCGAGCAACTGAATTTTTTTTTGGTCAATTTCCATCTACTACTTTCGAAGTAGTTCACTAACACGACATCATTAAGCTTGCCTACCGATATTAGGTTTAGTCGCATGTCAAGAACATGTCTTACATCTTTCAAAACAAGTCAGCACCCGACATCTGTGGTCAAGGTCACATCACCGACTCCGACAATCTTGCTTGTCACCTGATTTTCCATCTTCACGACTCCAAAATCGCCATCTCTGTAAGAGGAGAAAAAATCTTTGTGTGGAGTAACATGGAAGAAAGCACCAGAGTCAACAATCTAAGTGCACTCATCATATGTCATATTTAAAAATTTATTTTCATCGAGGAGAAATATCACGACATCAACATTGGCAACCTTCGCAGTGGTACTTTTGTCTTCTTTTTTCTTCAGAATGATCTGATCCGGCTTCATAATGTCGTTCTTCTCATATTTCTGTAGAGTCTTGCAGTCTGACTTTTTATGTCCGGGCATCCCACAATTGAAGCATTTCAACTCGTATTTCGGCCTAGACCGGCCTCTGGACTTATCACATCCATCATGACCTAAACTCTTGCTTTTACCTCGGGCATCGGACCTTCCTCTATTCTCAGCAACGTTGGCCTCAGACGTGCTAGTTACACCTCGTTTTCTTCTCCTGGATTCTTCATTCAGGAGGCTGTCTATCACAATTTCCATCATCCACTTACCATTAGGAGCCGAGTTGCTTAAAGTCACCACCAGAGTATCCCAACTTTATAGCAGGGAGCTCAGCAGCAGCAAAGCCTACATCTCGTCATCATCCTTGGTCTCTAGAGGTGGCAATATGGGTTGAACCCGACGGATCAACCCGCCAACCTGCCAAAACGGGACAGGTTGGGTTATACCTTTCAATCCACCAACCCACCCTATTTAGTTGTGGGTCAAAATGGGTTGGTGGCGGGTAGGGGCGAGTTGGCCCGCGAGTCAGTTATTTTTTGTAGGTAGTATTTTATTTGTCACTAAGCTTTTGTGATATACATTTTTATTTTATTTTATTACTCCCCTAGAAAAATAAAGAAGAAAAACTTTATTTATACAAAGGTTATCTATATATAGAGGCAAAAATAAGTTTCTAAAAAATATCTGACTGAATATTAGCTTATATTTAGGCTTGAGATTGAAAAAAAAATTAAGGGAAGTGTGAAATAAAAATAAGTAATATTATAAAATTAATAAAATATAATGTATTATTATTTTTAATTTTTTAGGCGTGTTGACCTGCCAATCCACCTCAAACGGGGTGGGTTGATATTTCCAACCCCCCATTAAATGGCGGGTTGGGGTGGGTTGGCCTGTTTTGCCACCTCTATTAATCTCGGCTTTAGACAACTTATTCACAATACCTTTGTAGGTGTTGAGATGCTCAATTATATTCATGTCTTCTTTGTATTTGAGCTTCATAAGTTGGCATACTATGTGTGCTTTGTTCTTAGAAGTCTTCTTCTAAATCATGGACTCCAGCTTCGTCCATAACTCGTATGCATTTGTGAACTTGGACATATGCTCAAAGAGGCTTTTGTCGATGCATTTTCTAATCATGGCCACCGTCTTCCGATTCAATACTTCCCGCTCATTTTCATTCTTTCCTTCTGGTCTCGTCGCATTGAGGATGGGCTCATACAAGTCTTTGTAATACAAGTGGTCTTCCATCATCGGTCTCCAGTATGTGAAGTTTTCTGCGGTCAGCTTGAACATGTCTCCATTATGGGGCAGAGCCATTGGTCTCTATCTAGTCTCCTTCAGAACCCGTTGAACCCGGGCTCCGATACCACTATTGGGACTAACTCGGTCCCTCAATCTTGGCTAAAAAGCCTTTGCAGAAATCAAACGTCAAGCTCGGAGCTTGGCACAATCATAGGTCGACCTGTATCACCAGGTCGGCCAGTGCAGTAGAAAATGAAAATAGTAAAGGGGAGAGAGAGAGATATGAACATAAGCAAATTTTTAACGTGGAAAATCTTCTTCAATGTGAATAAGTAAAAATTCACGGGTCACTAGTCCAGAATTAAACTTTCACCATGAAAATAATAGGTTACAAAATATCAAACTTCACCAATAATAATGGTACACTCAAACCTCACCTACAATGGTGGTATTCACTTAAACTTCTCTAGAGAGGTGTCACTCTTCGAACTTCCCTCTAGAGGTGCTCTTAAAATCAAAGTTTTGAGCTTTTCTCACAAATCCTCAAAATGTTTATCATGCCAACGTTGCCTCTAACCATCATCTAATGCTTATATCGAGAGGAGAGAAAGTTCTATAATCTAGGGTTTTTCAAACCCCTGGCTTAGCAATGAAGGAAGAATGCCTAACAATTGGACCTAGAATACTCATTGATTGGACATAGGCTCATTACATTAGTTATAACATAACATTTTTCATGTTATTGTAAGTTGGCGATCGTGCAACATTTTTTTTTAGAATCATAGAAATTTTGTTTATAATGTTAGTATTATGAAACTCCACTTTAGTAATAGTGAGCAATTTTACTCTTCCCTTCATCTTCATGTTTATGGAAGAAATGTCCAAAACACAGGATAAGGTGCATGTTATATCTTATTAGCATCCTAAGTAATCAGTCCAAGAGATGTTGGATTGGATCGCACGTGGTTAAGCCTAGTCCAATAGCAATCTGAAGTGATATTTCTTGAGATGGATGCCGTCATGAGATAGTTATGCTGATACTGGATAGCTTTGTTTGGCTGGGTAAGGCACTTTGATGCTCAAGTCAATATTTGATCAATGAGCTTAAATTAAGATAGATAAGATGATCATACTTGGGCTTCAAGCCTTCATTATATAATGCTTGTAAAACTTGCTTATGACGCCTTAGTATGGAGGCACTTAATCTCATTGATTGACTAAGGTGGCATCTATAGCTTATCCCATATACAGGATGTCTATTCGTAGCCTATGCGAAGAATTTATTTTTAATCTGCTTTGAAGGTGAGATATTACTAACCTTAGCTTTGTTGCCATCTTTAAGAAAAGGAAAAATACATAAATTTATGTTAATACATTATTACACAATTTAACTCTTGTAATCCCTCAAACCTAAAGTACTAAATTTCTTGCCAAATTTCGTGACCTAATAAAACCATGTACCTTGATTGCTTCAAGAGCAAAGCAACTTCTTACTTGCTTCCTTTTGGTTTATGTTGTTTTGTTGCTTGCAAACATCTTAATTAGAGGCTTTGCAACTAGAGCTTGAGAGAGAGAACATAGAGATGGACAGAGTTTGGAATTTGTTATTTGCTGATTGAGTCTAATTAGAGATAAGTACGTAAGTAATGGGGTTGGGATTAATTGTTTTTGCTTCTTAGAGTTTGTTTGGATGTGCTTTAAAAAATGACTTTTTATTACTTGCTTTCTTTAGAATGACATTTTGTAAAAGTTAAAGTTATTTTATGTTTGGATAAAATACATAAAAATAAATTTTAAATAAAAAAGTTTTTTGGATGTTAAAATTAACAATCATTATTTATATATAAAAGGGAGTAAGAGAATGTATCCAAAAAAAAAATCTTAAGTAAGAGAAAAGATAGATAATGAAAATTTTGGGAGAGAGATATATATTTTTTAATGTAAATTTTAAATAAAAAACACTATTTTTAACTGAAAGGACTATCATTTAAAAAGATAAATATTTTTTCTATATAAAAATACTAAAAAGGATATGTGAGTGATGAAGTGGTGGTCAATAGTTGGAGTGGAGTTGAGATAAAATTGAAATTTTTAAAAATTATTTGACTTTTAGTTTTTTTTTTTGTTGTCATAATGACTTCTTAAAAGTATAATTTTTTTAAAGTTCATATCAAAGTACATAAAATGACCCAAAAGGACTTTTGAAAAGAAAACAACTTCGTTCGGGAAAAAACCCATCCAAATGCATTCTTTGCAGTAGTTCGGTGTTATTATTTTCCATTTTTGTATTTGTCTATTTAAACTACTATTATTATGTTGAATAAAAATACTAGAAAAGTAATTACTAATTAGGTTATTTACATTTTTCTTTCCTTGTTGGACAAACAATTTGTTCTTTGTGGTGTGGTGTGTCTTCGTCTCTGCCATGTATTATAATGGTTAGCACAAGACGCAAACTTCAAAGTTCAAACACAGAGTCTCGTTTTATGCGAACATGGCTACGAGAAACTGAAAAGAAATAGAGCCATGGTGGCATAAACCTTTTCCCCATAGGTTTCAACCATGTTCTCCAATATCTTCTCCTTCCTCCACCGCCATTTTTCCATCACCACCAAGCTCCCAAACCTCTCCAAGATCCCAACTAGGCACAGAAACTTTGTTATTCGTGAAGCCCAGAAGTCCCTCACTGATTACCTTCATGGCACAAGGTGCTTGCCCTTTACCTATGCTGAGCAAATTGGCAACAACACTCTTCGTTCCCTCACTAATCTTATTGCAAAGGTAGATTTTTCTGCTTCCAGTTTCTCCAAAAACTTTGAGAAGGTTCTTAGGTACCACCCCATTAATGAATTTGAAGTCTTTTTTGAAAGCATAGGTATAGAGTACAATCTGGTTTCTGGGTTGTTGCCTAATGACAAGGTGTTCTTTTCTCAAGATGGAACCCTTTTGGATGCTGCTTGTGCACTTTCTGATTTTGGGTTTCCGTGGGAAAATTTGGGTGTGTTGTATATGGAGAGGAGGTCCATATTTGGAAGAAGTGGTGCAGAGTTGAAATCAAGGCTTAGTGTTTTTAAAGGGTTTGGTTTTGGTAATGTTGAAGTCATTGGCATATGTTTGGCTTTCCCTTTTGTTTTATGTGAGGAAGGCCAAGGTGGTGTTGGAATTGATGGGTTGTTTAATGATCTGAAGTTGATATTTTTGGATTTTGCTTTGGCAAGGTCTGTTGAGGGAAATGTGGATTCTTGGCATGAGGTGTGTAGAAAATTACGAGTGTTTTTCGATTTAAATTGCTGGGATGGCAAGTTAGGGGAACTCATGGGAAGGAATAAAAGTATCTTTCTTGAACATAAAGAAGAGGATTTAGTTAATAAAGTAGAGTATTTCTGTAGATTTGGTGGAAAGAAGGAGGAAGTGGCTCGGTTGATTCTACAATGCCCGGAATTGTTGAATCTTGATATGGAGAAGCCGGCGATTAATGTATTGAAGCTGTTGAATCACTTTGGTCTGAGCTCAAAAGACCTGGAGGATGTTAGTAGAAATTTTGCTCATGTTTTGGGAACAAATAAAATGGTTAATCTGCCTAACATTATGAGGGCTTTGGGTTTACAAGAGTGGTTCTTCAATAAAATCAAGGATGGACATCATCATTTGTTAGGAGATTATATCACAAGCTATCCTAATGAAGACCAGGATAAAGATTATCAAGATGGCTTAAGGATGATTCACATTTCAAGAGCCCGGGTTCATAGTATTAATAAATTAAATTTCTTGCATGGCTTGGGCTTTGGAGAAAATGCTTTGACTATGAATGTTTTGAATCATTTGCATGGCACTAGTAGTGAGTTACAAGAAAGGTTTGATTGCCTTCTACGTTCAAGGATTGAATTCTCAAAGCTCTGTATGATGGTAAGAATGACTCCCAGGATTCTAAACCAAAATTCTCGAATTATAGAGCGAAAGGTGAATTTCTTCCACCAGGAAATGGGAACTACTTTAGACTATGTGGAAACTTTTCCGGCAATATTGTATTATCACTTAGAGGACCGAATTATACCTAGATACAGATTCCATATATGGCTTACAGAAAAGGGTCTGTGTTCTAAAAGATATTCTGTTCGAAGTATGATTGCAAACACTGAAAAGGAATTTGTAGCTCGTGTTTTTAAAATTCATCCAGCTGCTCCAAAACATTGGTTTGAGCAATTCTGTCACATTAAATTGTCAATGTAACAGATTGTCGTATTCAAACCTAGTACAGTATACGATGAACTTCAGGAATAACTCTGAATAAATTTGTAGAGATTGTTAAACTTTTGGTGATGTCGGAAAACGTGTGACGAAGTTCTATCTGCTTTGCACTGAACCACAAAGAATGGCCTGCAAATGTATTGTATTGCATTGCTTTATTTCCTGGATCAGACCTCAGTTTAGAGAAAGAAACCTGAAGTTATGTGAATGCTAAGTTCTGCTTTGAAGAAGGATTTATGTTGAGGTAAGAGAATTAGATCATTTGTAAGTATTTTCAGTTTGTACTTGACTTCTTTGAAATCATAGTTGCAGGTAGGCTTATTTTTCCTTTTATATTTTTAATAGTACTTGTTTGATTGAAAGTATCATTGAGTACTGTCATGAACCCTTGGAATCATGTATCTGACTTTTTGTAGGATGGTAAAGTCAAAAGTTCAAACAAAAGATGAGAGGTTGAGGCTCATATTCTTGTGAATCACAGGTCCTCTAATGGTGTTTCTCTCAAACACTTCTAAACACACAAGGAGTTATCTGAATATACCTCTTTGTATATCATTAATATTCAAGCCTTACTTTCAAATGATTTACATGGTGCTATTTAAAAGCAATAGCAAATAACTAGAAATACTAATGACTAACTTAGGAAATCTAAACACATTAATTGTCCACTAACAAATTCCTAAGGGACACACCTCTTCACCAAAAGAGACCTTTCATTTTCTATTTTCTTTTATTCAAATAAAGTTTAAAACCCAACAAAACTCCTCCTTAAACTTTAATATCTCTACCATCCTTCATTCCCATCTTCTTCTTGCAATTTTCAAACAACAACGTCGGCAGGGGCTTTGTAAAAATATCTCCAACTTGATCTCGGCTTGCAACATGAGTGAGCTCCACTTTTCCTTCTTTGACTTGATCTCGGATGAAATGAAACCTGACATCAATATGCTTACTCCTCTCATGATTGACCGGGTTCTTTGCTAACTCGATCGCAGACTTGTTGTCAACTCGGATTTCGGTTGCGCCGACTTGCCCTTGCTCCAGCTTGCTTAGTAAATTTCTTAGCCATATTGCATGGCAAACACACCAAGATGCCGCAACATACTCGGCTTCACATGTAGACAGGGTCACAATGGGTTCCTTCTTTGACACCCACGTGAAAGCCGTGTTTCCCATGAAAAACACATAGCCAGCCGTGCTCTTTCTATCATCAACATCTCCGCACCAATCACTGTCTGAATAACCCGTCAACTTGTATTTGTCCGACTTCGAGTAATGAAGTCCTTGTGAGGTTGTTCCCTTCACATATCTCAGAATTCTCTTAGCCGCCTTCCAGTGAGTGTACCCCGGGTCTTCCATAAATCGACTTATGATTCCAACACTCAGACACAGATCCGGCCTCGTACACGTCAAATATCTCAGACTTCCAACTAGACTCCGGTAGTAACTCGGATCAACTCTCTCTCCTCCATCATACTTCGAAAGTTTCAACCCGGGTTCCATTGGCGTTGAAACCGGGTTGCAGTCTGTCATTTTAAACTTCTCTAAAATTCCTTTTGCATAGGCTTCCTGAGAGACGAAGATCCCAGAGTTATCTTGTCTGACCTCCAGACCAAGAAAGTACCTCATCAGACCGAGATCCGTCATCTCGAACTCCTTCGTCATTTTCTTCTTAAAATCTTGAATCATCCCTTCATCATTACCCAAGAAAATCAGATCATCAACATATAGAGCAACAAGTAGAATTTTACCTCCTTTCTTCTTCACATAGAGAGCATGTTCATATGGACACTGCTCAAATCCATCCTTTTTGAAGTAATTGTCAATTCTTGTGTTCCAGGCTCTTGGGGCCTGCTTCAATCCATACAAGGCTTTCTTCAGTCTCAACACTTTTCTTTCTTCTCCGGCTTTCATGAATCCCGGAGGTTGTTCCAGATATACCTCCTCTTCGAGTACTCTATTTAAGAATGCCGACTTCACATCCATCTGATAGATCGGCCATCCGAATTGGGCTGCTTGAGAGATCAACAGCCTGATTGTCTCCATTCTTGCTACGGGTGCGAACACCTCGTCATAATCAATGCCAGCCTTCTGCCTATACCCTTTCGCCACTAGCCGGGCTTTGTATCTTTCGATCTCCCCCTTAGCGTTCATTTTCTTCTTGTAGACCCATTTCACACCAATGGGCCGACTTCCTCTGGGCAGCTCGGCTAACTCCCACGTCTTGTTCTTTTCTATCGCCTTTATTTCCTCCTCCATGGCTGATTGCCATTTCTCATCTCGGATTGCTTCTTCAAAGCTTACTTCTTCAGAGTCTGCCAATAGACATACCAAGTGTGCTTCACTGGTGGAATCATACAAATCTTGTAGACTCCTCAATCTCGGTTGTCTCTGCTCTTCATCACTATCTGAGTCATTCGGATTCTCAGGAATCCGGGTCGAAGGTTGTCCAACCTCAATTGATTTTAGTCCGGGTTCCATATTGACCCCGGATGGACTACTCCAGTCCCATCCATCTTCCTCATTCACTTTTACATCTCGGCTCACCAACACCTTTTTATTGACGGGGTCCAGCAACTTGTACCCCTTCGTCTTCTCATCATAGCCAATAAACACATACTTCTTACTTTTATCTTCTAGCTTTGTCCTCAATTGATCCGGTATGTGTGCATACGCAACACTACCAAAAATCTTGAAATGAGCCACTGATGGCTTTAGACCACTCCATGCTTCTTGTGGAGTTTTATCATTCACACTTGAGTGCGGACATCGGTTTTGCACGTACACGGCACATTGCACGGCTTCTCCCCAGAACTCCTTTGGCATGTTCTTCGTTTTTAGCATAGATCGGACCATATCCAGGATAGTCCGGTTCTTTCTCTCAGCTACTCCATTCTGCTGGGGCGAGTACGGAGCGGTCAGGAACCGCCTTATCCCATGTTCTTCACAATACTTCTTGAAAGCTATTGACACGTACTCCCCACCTCGGTCTGAGCGGACCGACTTGATGTATCTTCCAGTACCATTCTCTATCATTGTTTTAAAACTCCTGAATGCCTCTAGCACCTCGGATTTTTCCTTCAAAAAATACACCCAAGTTTTTCGACTGAAATCATCAATAAAGGTTACAAAATACTTCTTACCACTGAAGGACCCCGGAGTAATGTGTCCACACAGGTCGGTATGTATCAACTCCAGAGGCTGCCTAGCTCGGTATCTTGCCATCCTTTGGAACGGGCTTCTCGCATGTTTTCCCAATACGCAGTCCTCGCAAAATCTTCCTTCAGAATTAATCTTCGGTAGTCCCACTACCATGTCCTTCTTCATCATCTCGGTCAGACCACCATAATGAAGGTGTCCAAACCGTCTATGCCACAAGTCCATCTTATCTTCTACCCCGGCTTGCAGACAGCCGACCTCCATGCTCCTTAGACTCAACTTGTACATTCTGTTCTTTTCCATCTGAACTCGGGCTATCAGACGCCCTTGTTTATCTTTCAACAGTAGAACTCGGTCTGTCATTAGAACCGAGTAACCCTTCTCCATCAGCTGTCCAATGCTCAATATGTTACTTTTGAGCTCGGGCACGTAATACACGTCCCGGATTGTCCCAACTCGTCCATCCTTTTGCAAGAAACAGATCGTACCTCGACCCTTTACTTCAATTTTGGACGCGTCTCCAAAAGAGACATGTCCGGCTTCCACCGTCTTCAACTCCTTAAACAAGTGTTTGTAACCACACATGTGATTACTGGCACCGGTATCTAAATACCACTCCGTCTCATTCTTTGAACTGGTTTCACCATGGGCTAGCATAAGAACTCCTCCATCTCCTTCTACAGCGAGGTTTGAAGCCTCGTCAACTCTTCTTTCATCTCGGCAATCCTTAGCGAAATGCCCAACTCGGCCACAGTTGTAACACTTGTCCGAGTTGCAATCTCTTGAGTAATGGCCATACTTGCCACACTTGTAACATTCCACATTTGTTTGATTTGACCACCGGCCTCTTCCACCTCGGCCACGTCCTCTTCCTCTCTGACTCGACTCAGCTCTTTCTTCATTTCTCACCTCATGACCTCGGCCACGACCACCTCGGCCATTTCCACGTCCAGCTCGTCCACGACCTCTACCTCGGACATTTTGAGAATAGAGCGCTTTCTCATCTTTAATGGTTGCTTTTGTCTGGAGTGCTTGCTCCAGCGACTCCTCCTTTTTCTTCTTCTTGCGCTGCTTATGCGCCTCAAGGGAACCTGCTAGCACTTCAACAGAAAGCGTAGCCAAGTCCTTCGACTCCTCAATTGCACATACCACGTTTTCGAAGTCGTCTGTCAACGACCGGAGAATCTTTTCAACAACTCTAGTCTCAGATAATTCCTCACCATTCTGCTTTAACTGATTCACCACGGCTTGAACGCGGGTGATGAACTCGGATACACCCTCTGAATCTTTCATCTTCATGCCTTCCAACTCGCCACGTAGAGTTTGAAGTCGGACCTGCTTTACTCGGTCAGCACCTTTATAGACATTTTCCAAGATGTCCCATGCTTCCTTAGACGTTGTTGCTCCTGCTATCTTCTCAAATCCGGACTCGTCTACAGCTCGGAAAAGCGTGTATAAGGCTGACTTGTCCTTAGCACGCGTCTCTTTCAACGCCTTGGTTTGAGTTGCTGTAAATCCTGCAGTGGTTGCAGGTTCAGCAAAACCGTCCTGAACAACATCCCAATAGGGGTGTCAATATGGGTTGACACGACACGAATTCGACACGACACGAATACATCAACACGAACACGACACGAATTTTCATTCGTGTCAAAATCTTCAACACTGACACGACACGAATTTTTTGCGGGTTGACACGACACGACACGAATAACACGCAAAATAGGGGACAAAACGGTAATTGACAAAAAAATTTAAAAAAATAGATCGAAAATAAATAAAAAATTAAAAAATAATAATAAAAAAATAAAAAAATAAAAAATAAAAATAATGCGGGTCGACACGAACACGAATTCATAAACACGAACACGACACGAATTTTTGCGTGTCATTTTTTCCAACACGAACACGACACGAATTTTTTTACGGGTCAACCCGAACACGAATTTTCGTGTCGTGTCGCGGGTTGACCCGCGTGTCAAAACCCATATTGACACCCCTACATCCCAAGCATCCTAGGATCCGAGCAACGCCTTCATCTGGATACTCCAATTCACGTAATTCGCCTTTGTCAGGCGGGGCAACGACATACTAGAAGTGCTCACACTCTCCATAACTCAAGCTCTGATGCCAATTTGTGAATCACAGGTCCTCTAATGGTGTTTCTCTCAAACACTTCTAAACACACAAGGAGTTCTCTGAATATACCTCTTTGTATATCATTAATATTCAAGCCTTACTTTCAAATGATTTACATGGTGCTATTTAAAAGCAATAGCAAATAACTAGAAATACTAATGACTAACTTAGGAAATCTAAACACATTAATTGTCCACTAACAAATTCCTAAGGGACACACCTCTTCACCAAAAGAGACCTTTCATTTTCTATTTTCTTTTATTCAAATAAAGTTTAAAACCCAACAATTCTGGTACAAAGTGGCTATTTGGTTTATTAAGAAACTCGAAGTACATGAGCAATACATGGAAAATCTTTTACACTTTTAAAGCATGTCATACATATTAAGATCCTTGGACTTGCTTTCTCCATAATTAGATGTTGAGGCATATCAACAAGGTCTCAAAGGTGTTGCCTATTCTGAAGATCAAGATGAGGTTATTCTTAACCATTTCCTAAAATACCTGTTATTACTAATGCCCTTTGCATATAAGTATTTTCTAATGATATTTCTGTTTTGGAGTTGGATTGGTTCAAGTATTTGAGGCTTTTCAAGTATTTTAATTCCTCAGAGATGCCAATAGGGAAAGTGATAAATAACGAGATCCTCTTGGACTCTTGCACAGCTTGTTCTTTATGAGATGATGACTATTGACAAGTAGTATGAGGTGCACAACTCAATGGCCTGAAGTGCAAGTTGTGCTCCTGCTGCTTAATTTGCAGAAAAGATCATGTGAGTTCTATAATGTAAGACAGATACATCTGAATGCGAGTCTCCCCCAACTGTTTCCAGATTTCTTAAAGTTCATAGGATCATTACTTGTACAGTTGTCTGTTTTGCCATGGAGAAGGATCTATGTTTCTTAATTCAGCTTATGTAATAATCATCTTATTTTCTTTCATGTGAATTTGCCTGTAGTGTCTCAAAAATCTAGTGTGTTGTTTGGCTTCCAATATTAACTTCATTGTTCAACCAGTATAATAGTATATGCTATAGTGAAATATGCTGCAGTGTTTAGTATCATTGACGCTATAGTGTTTAGTTCTAGAAATACTGTGAATAGTGTTATTACAATCATTTTAAGATGCTAAAATATATCTTATAATAGTGAATGCCAATATTTTTTTAATTATAACCCAGTTAATCTAGCTCCAGTATCACCGGTGTCAAATTTGAAGTTTGACACCTTATCTGAGAGTCCTTAGATCAAAAAATATCAATGGTATCACATGCTTACAAATCAGAGTCGTTGATCTTTTTCGATCTAACGACTCTCAGATGAGGTGTCAAACTTCAAATTTGACAGAGTTTATAGACAATTGGAAGAGATCTGAAAGAAAGATCTCCAGAACTTTCGGCGTCAGACAAAGTTTTCGGCGCAGGGAGCGGAGTTGGCAGGTAGCCCAAGCCTATGTTTTCTGAGATCGACGTACTGGCCGGCTAGCCAAGCTTCCTACCTCTACTTATAATATCTTATAAGGGTTTGGTGTTTGTCATTTTAAATGACATAAGTTATGTCATTTTAGGAGAGAGATAAACATAAAAAAGCAGAAATCATGGGAAAGAGAAAGTGAATGACTTTTTTAATTTAATATTTAAATTTTTTGTGTCTGTATCTCTCTTAAAATGACATAATTTTCTGTCATTTAAAATGACAAACACTTTTTTCATCTTATAATTATATATATATATATATATATATATATATATATATTTTGGAATTGGATAAGAATTAAATTAACGATTATCATTTAATGATATTTTATAATAGTTAATTTAATTTTGATGCAACAATAATAAAAATAACTATAAGAGTTTGTAAGAAAAAAGAAATTATAAATATAATTTTCTCATTAAATTTGAGGATTCGAATTCAAAATCAAAACCTTAAATAGAAGTTGCACGAGGGAAAAAAAGGCAGGGATGCAGAGGATTCGGGACTCCCATTGGGCAGCGAACGAATATGAGAATATACTGATACCAGTGAGAGGGAAATGAGAATATACTCTCATATACCAGGTACAGGTAGCATGATGATTTTTTTTTTTTTAATTAAAAGTTTTTGAAAAAAAATAATTATTTCTCTGAAAAAATAATCATTTACTAGTTATGCTGTAATAATATTTTATTTTTGTTACTGCAAGGATTATCTGTTTTTTTTTTTAATATTTGTTAATTAAATATTATATTTTAAAAAATTGATAATTGTCATTGAGAAGTTCTCATATTTTATCTTACGTTGGTGAAAGAAAAGGCTTCAGTTAGGGACGCTTGGTATAAGGTATTTTTTAAATTTTTAAATTTTTTAATTTTTTAATTTAAACTGAATATTTTCATTATATTTTTTAAAATCTAGATTTCGGATAAAAAAAAATTCTTCACTGTCAAACGTCGTCTTATATCATTTCGATGTAGAATATAGTCGCATTAAACATTTCTTAAACATATGATTAGAAGACGATTAAGGATAATGATAAAAATTAATTTTTAACACGTTCGCATAATACATGTATGTGTATTGTAGTCAAAGTCAAGATTAATGCATCAATGGAATGATTCAGAACGCTCAGAGTGTAGTTCGTTCCTTCTTCACTCTCCTCTCTCTCTCTCTCTCTCTCTCTCTCTCTCTCTCTCTCTCTCTCGCACACATACGCATGATCGGGCTATAATTGAAGACGCACATTTTCTCTCTTAATTTCTTTGTCGTAACTTGCGAGTTAAGAAGAACTTCTGATGATTTCACCGTGAAACGTCACTTTTCCGTGGTTTGTTTTCATGAATGAACTCTATCTAGAAGGTGCGTTTCTTATTTACCAATGTGAATTCGATTGGGATTTCTGCTAATAATTGAAGTAAATGATAAATTTCTTAATTGTTTTCAATGGACAGCATTTGTGAGCGCTATAATCGCTTAAATTGAAGTATGTTGATATGTTTAACATGTTCTCTGTGTTTTCTTAGTAGTGCTCTATTGAACTCATTATATGGAAAATGCTAGAAAACCAGAAATTCTTTTGACGGAATAGTTTGGCACGCGCTTGTTCTCATAAACGTGCCAGAATGCTATTAGTATTTGGTGGAATTTTTCTATTATTTTTATTTATTTATTTATTATAGAAATATTTTCTTATTTATAATTTATTGTTACTTAATCTGTTCATGCTTTCCCCCTAATTAATTTGGTATAAAAGTGATGTTGAGTTTGGCACACTTGTTGACTCTTGGATGAATGAGCAGTTCCTACTGCATGATTCATCCAACAGTTGTCCTTGAATGTAGCTGAGTTCTGGCAACATTTAGGATTACTCTATGATTATATTTCATTTTCACATTTGATATCTTAGTTGATAATCTCTCTTCAGTTCACTTGTGTTGACCCATTACATAATGTGTGGTTACAAATAATTGGAGTTTCACTTGCACTTTACAGGTGATAAATTTCTGCACTTGGTATCAATGACATTGAAGCATTGAGTTATTAAGTATTTTATTTCGAGAGAACTGACATCTAAGGCAAGAATTTGTTTGTTATGGCTTCAAGAGTGATTTTGCAAAAGAAAAGGAGCCTCTTGTTCAACCCTCTGAGTAGTCAATCTGCTCGCTTTATTCTTGGATTCTCAAGTCTTGGTCATGGCCAACCAGTCGAATCTAGTGAATTAGAAGGTTTGATTCAGGTTCCCTTCTGTCCATCTGCAACTAATGGACAGAGATTGGAAAGAAATTCATTTACTGTCAACAAAGATGATCTATCAGCTTGTGCAGCATCAAGATTTCTCTTGCATAGTTCCTCTAGTGTTTCAAATTTTGGTTTTAGAATTGAGAAGATCGAGTTTGTTTCTCTTTCAAGATCAGGGTGGATGTCCCAATGTACCCGTTACATTTCCATGTCTGCAGCTGATCAATCTGGATTGGGTAGCAGTAATGAGGGAAATGAAAAATCAGCTACTAAACAGAAGAAGGAGGCTTCACCAGAGGAATGTGATGAAGCTGTTGAAGGCTTGAGTTCCGTAAAAGCAAAAGCTAAGGCTAAACAATTGCAAGAACCCCCTAAGAGTGCTGAATCTATTTTAAAGAGATTATGGGCTCAGATTCTAGGAATTGGTCCAGCTTTCAGAGCTATTATGTCAATGAGCAGGTTTAAAATTTACTACCACTTGTTTTTGTATGTGATTTGGGGATTTACGACAGGATATCATGTATATATTGTAGAATTAGTTAGAAATCAATTTAGGATTATATATCTGACATTGAATCGTTGTACTTGATATTGATACTAATATATACAGAAACAATGTGTGAATTGTTATAGACGTATAATTTCATCCAATTGGGTCTATTCTTTGACTTTGAGTGGGTATTAGAGAGGGTTTTGGCCTGTCTCTCCCAACTAAACACTAAACCAGTTGCTAGTTGCGCCCATTGCTCAGTGGCAAATATCCTGCACTCGTTGTGCTCACTGCTTAGCAATCTCTATCTACTTGTTGTGCCCCAATATTGGTGAGTCTTTCCAACCATTTCTCTTTCAACAAGTTTCTTCTTCCGTTCAACTTACTTTTTGGTGACGAGAGAAATTTTCGATCTGGTCTTGCAATCCCCATATCTGAAGCGCACTATCCTTTCCGATCATGGAATCCTATCGCCGTTGGCCTCTTCATGCACTGCTTGAAGCCCATTATACCTGCATGCCATTGTTGGTGCATGAAAGCGGGTGCCTCACTTTTTCAGCACCATTCTTTCACAGTCTTGTACAAGTTCATTGCACGAGCCATCCCAACTCTCTTCAGCTCTTACCTCAACCATATTAGGGCTAATTCATATCGTGAGTCCCTCATATTTGGTGTTTATTTAACATTTTCTACATGCCCAGATCTACATTGTCTATTTTAATCATCCTACAGGTGTTTCTCCTGCCTTTTGGTGAACCTCTTTATCACAATGGGGGACAATGATTCTGATTTTTCAGACACTATTTTCCTTGGTTCAGCTACCAAGAATTCTTTTGTGCTCACCAATATTAGTGTGGCCTACTATCGAATAACGAGGAAATGAGAGGCATATATTGAAATATGTGTGTTTCAATAACATAACGAAGGCTCTATTATATAGACTAACTATAACAATTACATAACAATAATTTAACAACGTGGGACTTCTTATCAAACCTATTTACAATACTTCTAACACTCTCCCTCAAGCTAAAGCTTACTAAGCTTCAAGTTTGTTACAAATGAACTCTTAAAAAATGAAAAAATAACCAACAATATAATCTAGGAGAAAAACTGGGGCCATGTTGCATTGTTAAAGAACCAAAGGGGCCAAACTGCAAATGGGATAAATTCGACAGAAATGTCATCAGAATTTTTTTTCGATGGTAGACGGTTGCCAAAGTGACATTATGGCGGATGGTTGCTAGAGAAACATCACTATAGGAGATACCAAAAGCCAGATAGACTATACGGTTTTTGGAGGACCAAATTTTGAAAATAGAGTTACCTTCCGTCAGGATCTGATACCATGATGTAAAAAGTTGGTATGTAGGGAAAGGATAATATAAACATCTTACCACAAAACTTTAAATGTTCCAACAACTGGTCTAACTAGGAAAAAATTGATGCACAACTTCTATGTATACTCTGGAAATCTGTTGACTTGGAGATTGTTGACCTTTTTTCAACCCTTTTAAAACATGCTATGAGGTGTGGCAAGAAGCTCAAAACTGCTACACCAATGACATATAACAACTCAATTTCGTTTTCTCTAGTATAATAGGCCTACACAAACAACAGGATACTCGTGTGGAAACTTTTCTTGCCAAAGCACTATCATTGATGCAAGAATGTGCTGCCATGATTCCTCATATTAAGTATTAGTTTGAGCACAAGAAGCAACAAGAACGATTCTTTGTGGTCCTCTTCCTCTCCACTCTTCTGGAGGACTTAGAAGTTGTCTTTCATTGAATTTTGACTAGCATTGATAGTCCCACTTTATCTTAGATCTGTCAACATCTTTGATATGTCTGCACTGGCATCTACTTCTCCAACCATGCTCGTTCCAAATTCCTCTATTCTTATATCACAAGCTAATAATTCTTGTGGTAATAGTGGTCGTCGTTGTGGAAGACCTCAATCTCCTTTAGTTTCTAGTCTTTCTTTTGTGTTTATTTTTAAAACCATAATTGAAGAACTGTCTCATCCAATTTGGCACTAAACGATGATATATGAGATGTTTTCCTTGCACTTTAATGATATTTGGGATCTTGTTCTTAAACTTGTCGGAAAATCTTTTGTTTGTTGTCGTTGGAATTCACTGTAGAAATTGGTTCATATGGCTTTGTTGACCGCTTGAAGGTTCATTTGTTCGCCAAAGGTTACACTCAAATTTTTGGTCTTGATTACGATGTAACCTTCTCTTTGGTTGCTTAGTGGCCTATATTCGACTATTGTGTTCTTCTTAACGTAACTAAATCGAGTGTAGAAGCTCAGTATCAAGCAATGTGAATTGTAACTTATGAACTCATTTGGTTATTGTTAGAATATTAGATATAATATGATTAGATTTGATTAGATATGATTGGATTCTGTCTTATCCGTAAATAGTCTGACTGTATTCTGACTGTATTAGGATTAGGTTTGGATTAGGTTTGGGCCTTACACTTAAGCCCATTAGGGTCTCTATATATTGTAACTCCCTGACACAGATCTATATACAACATATTCTTTTACATTTAACTTGGTATCAGAGCTATTTCATTCTGGGAACCCTCGCTTCCGCTTAGAAATCTTGTTCTTCGCTTTAAAACCTAAGCCCACTGCTTAGGAGTCATCTTTTCTTTGCCGTGCGTCCTTCCGGTAAGATATCAAAGGCTGTAAGTCCTCTCCAGGCATCTTCTGCACGTGTCCACAGTCACCGGAGCACCATCAGCCACCGTCAGCCACTGTTCAGGCTGCCGGAGTACTTTTCCGGCGAGTTTTCAGTCTGGAACGAACGCGAACAGAACCCTCTCCTCCCGGCGACCTGCTCTGTGGAAGTCCGGCCACCATCGGAGTTGTCACGCGCTCTCACGCGCCTCCAGTCTTCTCTGCGCGTGGGCTTCACGCGCCACCTTCTGCCGGCGCGTGAGCACTATTCCGGCGGCTTTTTCCGGCCGGTCTTGGACAGAGAAGCTCGTCTTCTCCTCCTCTTTCTGGATCTGTGGTTGGTTCTTTGTGGGTCTGACTTTTTGTGCGCACCTCTTCTTGATTGGTGATCAGGTTCGTTTCTCTTTTTTTTCGGTTTGTATCTTTGTGATTTGATATGACAGCAAACCCTCCAATTCATTCGGAGGTCAAATCTTCATCTCCTCCTTTGAGAAATTCTCCCAATATCATCTCTACCAATATTGGGTCCATTACCTCTTCAAAATTGAAGGGATCTGTTAATTACAAGAACTGGGCCACCTCTGTTCGAGTTTGGTTCTTTGGACATGGATATGGGAACCATCTCACAACTAAGTCTACTGATGTCCCTAAGGAGGACAAGTCTGATTGGGAAAAGATTGACAACCAACTTCTGAGTATCCTCTGGCAATCCATTGATCCGATTGTCTTGGATATCTTTTATTCATTTCAAACTTGCACTGAAGTGTGGGACGAAGCAAAAAACCTTTACACTAATGATGTTCAGCAGCTCTATTTCATCATCTCTCAGTTTATGGAATTGAGCAAATCATCCGACATTCAAATGGAGACATATATTGGCAAGAGTCGCTCTTTGATGCAGGCATATTTGGATATGCTGCCTTACCCTACTGATGCTACTGCATATCGGAAACAGGTGGAACGTCTCTTTATGGTTGCCACACTTTCTGGCCTTCCCGAAGAATATGATAATGTTCGTGATACTATCTTGACTAGTGGGGAGCCTGATCTATCCATGACGTATCAGCGTCTTCTGAATTTGAATAAGAAATCTGCTCCTGCATCGTCTTCTGCTGTTGATTCTACTGCTCTAGTTTCCCGTACTGATTTTCGCGGGCATATTGGAGGCGGACGTGGTCGTGGTAGAGGCCCAGGAGGTCGTGGCCCAGGAGGACGTAGCCCAGGAGGTCGTGGCCCAGGAGGCCCAGGAGGTCCAGTCGGACGTGGTCAGCGACCTCGTTGTCATTACTGTCAGCAACTTGGTCATTATGAGGAACGCTGCTACACCAAGTATCCTCACATGCGACCTTCTTTTGCTGCTAATGTAGCTCAATCGGATACTGCTTCAAATGGTTCAGTCTCTCTCTCCTCTGAAGAATATGCAGCATTCCAGGCCCTTCTCAGGAAGTCCTCTCCTCAATCTCTGGCCTCTGCTTCAGAAACTGGTAATCCTGTTGCTTGTGTTTCTCATTCTGCATCACTTGGTCCTTGGATATTTGACTCAGGTGCTACTGATCACCTCTGTGGTAATAAGGAACTCTTTTCTTCCCTTACATATTCTAATAATTTACCCTCTTTTACTCTTGCTGATGGAACTAAGGCCCCCGTTCATGGGATTGGACAAATCTGTCCAACCTCCTCATTGACCTTGACATCTGTCTATTACATTCCTCACATCCCTTATAATTTAATATCGGTTAGTAAATTGATCAATTCTCTTAATTGTATTGTCACATTCTCAAACCATTCTGTTTCTGTGCAGGACCCGGGTACGGGGAAGATGATTGGAGTGGGCCGTGAGTCACGGGGTCTGTTCTACCTTGATGTGCCGAGTCCTTCAGTTGCTTGTTCTCTCACAGAATCTCCACAACTCATCCACAGTCGTCTCGGGCATCCTAGTCTTGCGAAATTGCAGAAGATGGTTCCTCTTTTATCCGGTCTTCAAACTTTAGATTGTCAGTCATGTCAGCAAGGAAAGCACATATGCTCCTCCTTTGCTAATCGAGTCAATAAACGAGCTGATGCTCCTTTTTCCATTATTCATTCAGATGTTTGGGGTCCTAGTCGTAGTGTGTCTATTTTAGGTTTTCGGTATTTTGTCACCTTTATTGATGATTTCTCCCGTTGTACTTGGATTTATTTAATGAAAAACCGCTCTGAGTTGTTTTCTATTTATCAAAAGTTTTCTGCTGAAATTCATACTCAATTTGGTGCTTCTATTCGTATTTTACGTAGTGATAATGCTAAGGAGTATGTTTCTGTTGACTTTTCTCACTTCTTAGCCACACAGGGTACTTTACACCAAACCACTTGTCCTCACACTCCACAACAAAATGGAGTAGCTGAACGTAAGAATAGACATCTCATTGAGATTGCCAGGACTCTTCTTATTCACATGCATGTTCCTCTTCACTTCTGGGCTGATGCAGTCCTTGCTTCTTGCTTTCTCATCAACCGCATGCCTTCATCTGTGCTTAATAATGATATTCCTCATAACTTATTGTTTCCAGATGTTCCTCTCTTTCCTCTATCCCCACATGTTTTTGGTTGTACCTGTTTTGTTCATGATCTCACTCCTGGTAAGGATAAGTTAACATCCAAAGCCTTTAAATGCATTTTTCTTGGTTATTCTCGTCTTCAAAAGGGTTATCGCTGTTACTCTCCTGACCTCAAGCGTTACTTAGTTTCCGCGGATGTCACCTTTTTTGATCAACAACCCTTTAATTCTATCCCATCTCCATTGTCACAGGTTGATCATGTTCTTCCTGTTCCTTTTCTTGACTTGTCTTTGCCAGATGCAGGTGCTTCTACTCCAGATAAGCCATCACCTATTGCTCCAGTACCTAAGGACCGTCCACTTCTCACTTATCAGCGTCGTAAGACAGTACCTCCAGTCGACTCGACCCCTGCTGACTCATTGCCCTCTGCAGTTGATTCTTCCCCTCCGGATCCTTCACCAGAGGCTCTTCCCATTGCTCAAAGAAAAGGTACACGTACTACTCGTAACCCTTATCCTCTTTATACCTTCTTGAGCTATGATCGCCTTTCTGCTCCTCATTTCACCTTTGTTTCTAGTCTTTCTTCTGTTTCTATTCCTAAGACCACAGGTGAAGCACTTTCCCATCCAGGATGGCGCCAAGCGATGCTTGATGAGATGACCGCACTTCATACCAATGGCACTTGGGACCTTGTTTCTGCTCCTCCAGAGAAGTCTATAGTTGGTTGTCGCTGGGTGTTTACTGTGAAAGTTGGACCTGATGGCCATGTTGATCGTCTCAAGGCACGCCTAGTTGCCAAGGGTTTTACTCAAATCTTTGGCCTTGATTATAGCGATACATTCTCTCCCGTCGCTAAGATGGCGTCCGTCCGCCTATTTCTTGCCCTTGCTGCTGTTCGTCACTGGCCACTCCTTCAACTTGACATCAAAAATGCCTTTCTTCATGGTGATTTACAAGAAGAAGTTTACATGGAGCAACCACCTGGTTTTGTTGCTCAGGGGGAGTCTGGGAAGGTATGTCGTCTTCGAAAATCCTTATATGGTCTCAAGCAGTCTCCTCGAGCATGGTTCAGTCGCTTCAGTTCTGTTGTACAGGCGTTTGGCCTAATTCGCAGTAAAGTTGACCATTCTGTATTCTATAGGATTACATCTCCTAACAAGTGCATCTATTTGTTAGTCTATGTTGATGACATCATCCTCACCGGAAGTGATCAAGACGGAATCCATCAGTTAAAACAACATTTATTCAGCGCATTTCAAACAAAGGACCTTGGGAAGCTGCGTTACTTCTTGGGAATTGAGGTGGCGCAATCTAGACAGGGCATTTCTATCTGTCAAAGGAAGTATGCCTTGGATATCCTAGAGGAAACTGGTATGTTGGGGTGTAAACCAGTTGATACACCAATGGATCCTAATGTTAAGTTATTGCCCAGACAGGGGGAGCCGTTATCTGATCCTGGACGTTATCGAAGGCTGATTGGGAAGCTCAATTATCTTACTGTGACTAGGCCAGATATTTCTTTCGCTGTCAGTACGGCCAGTCAGTTCCTTGATTCCCCTTGTGATTCACATTGGGATGCTGCTGTGAGGATCCTCCGATACATCAAAGGAGCACCAGGAAAAGGTTTGTTGTATTCGGATCAGGGAAATACAGAAATTTGTGGTTACTCAGATGCCGATTGGGCAGGATCACCCTCGGACAGACGCTCTACTTCTGGTTATTGTGTCTTATTCGGAGGAAACTTAATCTCATGGAAAAGCAAGAAACAATCTGTTGTTTCCCGATCTAGTGCAGAAGCTGAGTATCGTGCAATGGCAAATACTACCTGTGAGTTGATCTGGTTAAAGCAGTTGATTCAGGAGCTTCATCTTTGTGAACAGAAACAACCCATGACACTCATCTGTGATAATCAAGCTGCGCTACATATATCCTCTAATCCTGTTTTTCATGAGAGGACCAAACATATAGAGATTGATTGTCACTTCATTCGGGAAAAGATTCAGTCAGGAGAAATCAAGACAGCTTTTGTCAACTCGTCTAATCAACTAGCAGATGTTTTCACTAAAGCTCTTAGAGGTCCTCGGGTTGAATACATTTGTAACAAGCTTGGTGCTCATAATATATACGCACCAGCTTGAGGGGGAGTGTTAGAATATTAGATATAATATGATTAGATTTGATTAGATATGATTGGATTCTGTCTTATCCGTAAATAGTCTGACTGTATTCTGACTGTATTAGGATTAGGTTTGGATTAGGTTTGGGCCTTACACTTAAGCCCATTAGGGTCTCTATATATTGTAACTCCCTGACACAGATCTATATACAACATATTCTTTTACATTTAACTGTTATTATAGCAGTTGCTCATAGATTTCAACAATTGTTACTCATAGCTAGTGGAACTCATTTATGGCAATTAAACTGCACTACATATATCTTCAAATCCTTTATTTCATGAAAGGATTGAGCATATTGAGATTATTGTTGTTCCTGAGAAAATTTAGTCTGGATATATCACGACGACACTTAAACTGTAATGGTCAACTTGAAGACATTTTCTTCGAGACTTTTAGAGGTCCGCGACTCAACTATATGTGTGACAAGCTTGGTGCATATGATATATATATACACCAGCTTGAGGGAGAGTGTTAAAATTTCATAGGTATTTCTGGTAGGATATCATGTATATATTGTGGAATCAATTTAGGATTATGTATCTAAAAGTGAATCATTGTAATTAATACTGACACTAATATATATAGAGACTATCTTTGCACTGTTATATACACACAATTTCATTCTGTCAGATTTATTCTCTTACTTCAAGCGATATAAATGTATGTATAAGACTTCTCTATTTTTCTATTACCTAGGGATGATTGGGCAAAGAAGATTAGTCACTGGAAGGATGAATTTAAATCTACCCTGCAACACTATTGGTTTGGTACAAAACTACTTTGGGCTGATGTCAGGATAAGCTCCAGATTATTGTTGAAACTTGCTAATGGAAAGAGTCTTTCTAGAAGGGAGAGGCAGCAACTCACAAGGACAACAGTTGATATTTTCAGGCTAGTTCCTTTTGCTGTATTTATCATTGTTCCATTCATGGAGTTCTTGTTGCCAGTATTCCTGAAACTGTTTCCCAACATGCTGCCATCCACTTTCCAGGACAAGATGAAAGAGCAGGTAATTATTATTGTAATCATCAAACAATACATGGTTGACTGCTGGTGTGCTTTATTATCACTCAATTTCGGGAAGGCTTAACTTGTAGGAGGCATTGAAAAGAAGGCTCAACGCAAGAATAGAATATGCCAAGTTTCTTCAAGATACTGTAAAAGAAATGGCGAAGGAGATTCAGAATTCACGAAGTGGAGAAATAAAGAAGACAGCAGAAGATCTTGATGAATTTATGAACAAGGTCAGCCATGGGCTTCATAATATAGTTTTTTTATATTTTAGCCATCCTCTTATGGGCAATATTTTTAATATTATGTGTGTATTTGTTATGTTATTGGAACAGGTCAGAACAGGTGCTGGAGTTTCAAATGATGAAATCTTAGGCTTTGCCAAATTATTTAATGATGAGCTCACTTTGGATAACATTAGCAGGTTGGTGCTTCTACCATTGGTTATGTTCAACTACTTGTGCTTTCCATTTATAAATCTCATAACTTGGGGTTCCATTATCATTATTAACATGTTTTTTGGTTGTGAAAATGGAGAACAGGTCTCGCTTGGTAAATATGTGTAAATATATGGGTATCAGCCCATATGGAACTGATGCATATTTGCGTTTTATGCTTCGCAAAAGATTACAGGAGTAAGATTCTTTTGTTCCTTTTTTATTTTTTGGTATAACTCTGATTTCTAATGTATGTATGGCTAGTTGGCTCTTCTAGGTTAGGGAATTTTGATTTTATTCATTATGGTTAGAAGTTTCTTTATATTTGATTTAGATGAGGATTTTTGCAATCAAAGTAGATTTCTTATGTCTGTTGCACCAATGTGTGCATGCCTGCCTTCTCACTCACTCTTTGGTTTGGTCAGAGTGCGCATTTTAATTGAATACATGGATTCTTGCCTTATTTTATTTTGAGAATGGACTAGTACATTACCTTATGATGATGTGCCTTTGTTGTAATTAGTTGGGGAATATTAGGTTAGAGCTGAACCCTCAGTTTTTTTTCCCGAAGTTCTAATGTTTCTATTGTGGGAGAAGGTTGTCATTTTGGCATGGCTTTTTTTAGGGAATTATTCTTATTGGCTTTGGTCTCTTTGATTTAGTTATGTGTTTGTAAAGCTGGAGAACTAGTCTGGAGTAGTGGTAAAGGTGCTCCTTAAAGACCCCAAGATAATGGGTTCGAATTCGCCCTTCTGCAAGAATGCAGGAGTAAGACTGCATACAATGATTTACCCCTCCCCCACCCTTGTTATTCAGGATTTCATGGGGAGTGGTTTGGTTGGTTTGTGTTGGTATATGAGTATCTATTTTGGTTCAGATTAGTATATGAACTGGTCTTTTGTGCAGAAACACTTGTAGCCTAATCTTAATATATAAATGTCATGAACCACCAAAAGTTTAAACTATTAGGTGAAAACACCTGAACGGTTTTTTATGATACCCCTAACATGTCCTCTGACACAAAAGTCCTTTGGGCTTGATGCATGGACAATGCATAGGCCCACCTACCTTGTGTTGAAATTCAACTTTTTATTAAGAGAATGGGGATGACAAGAATCGAACTTTGGACCACTTGGTTAAAGAGACTGATAGTCATGAGATGGCTCTCTCAAAATTTTAAGCTATTAGGTGAAGAGCATGAATGGTTTTATATGATATCTGACAATAGATTGATGGAAGCCTAACATTTTAAGTTAGCCCATCCTCTTTATGATTTCTTTTGATCAATTCTGATTTCACCTCAACCCTAAATTCCCAATTTCCCAAATTGTTTCACTGATAGCCCTAATTCCTTGATATACATAATCATTCTTATAAGGTTCCTCTTGGTCTTTCCTTCTTCCTAATGAATGACTTAGTGTCCCACTTAATGATATTTAGTGCGACCCAGTGACTTTTGGATTGGCAATTGGGGTGTGCCGGCCAAGTCAGCTGTGTGGTAAGGAGGTGATTGGCCATTTGGGGGGCCCTGATCTGTTCAATAGTTGCACATCAAAGAAGGAAATGAAGCACGAAGTCCCCCTCAACAGCACTAAACTATTGATCAATTACCAAGAAGAAAGGGATGGGTCAGTTGTGTAGAATAGGAAATGTTTTGGGAAACCAGAGGTGAATCTATGTATTCCCAACCTAGGTTCAGAATGTAGCTCTTGATAGCATGAAAGAGAACATCAAGAGAAAGGGAAAGAAGGAAAGGAGAATAATTTGTGAAGGGGATGCATTAGCCACATATCTTGTAGGGTATGTATTTATGCTAATGAATTAGGTCAAGTGCAAAACACAACTAGTACAAGCTCTGCCAAATAATGTTCAATACATACTAACTCAATATTACTTTCCTACAAAATGTAAAGAGAAAAAGAAATGGCCCCGCCTTAGAATGAAGAAATGAAAGGGAAAAAAAGGAAATTCTGCTTATCACTGCACACTCGAAGCTTTATGTGCTGTCACAATTACAGTATTTCTTTAACTAAATGTAACATATTCAGTTAATAACTTCATTACTGTTTTGAGGTTCAATAGATGTGAATTGTTTGGCTTTGGCAGGATCAAGAATGATGATAAACTGATTCAAGAAGAAGGTGTGGAGTCTCTTTCAGAAGCAGAGCTTCGTCAAGCTTGTAGAGATCGAGGATTACTTGGATTACTTTCAGTGGAAGAAATGCGGCAACAGGTTATCATAAATGTTTTAATGGAATTTGTTGCACTGAATCTCAATTCTGAAATCTCCAACTTTGTGTCAATTTACTAGGTTTGCAATTTTCATGAACGAGAAACTGGTCATAATTGCTACTTTCAGAAGTCAGAACCATTATTTTCCCATAGTTGCCACTTTCAGATGTAAATCATTATATTTCTTTGCAGCTAAATGACTGGCTGGATTTGTCTCTCAACCATTCTTTACCATCTTCCCTCTTAATTCTTTCTAGGTATCTTAATATTTTCTCTATGAAAATGTTATTATTATAAGGATTTTCCTACTGGAAAGGTGTGGTCATCTCATTCCCTCTGTAGAGCGTTTTCTGTTTCAGGAAAGGTGAGGCCAGAGGAAGCTGTTCAAGCGACACTCTCTTCTCTGCCAGATGAGGTTGTAGATACTGTTGGGGTGACAACTTTGCCATCTGAAGATTCTGTTTCAGAAAGGAAGAGGAAGTTGGAATTTCTTGAAATGCAAGAGGAGCTAATCAAGGTTGATTTTTATGCAATAGATATTTTGTTTTTAGGGTATTTATGTTCTAGGAGGGAGCCATGGGTTGGTGACTTTTTCCCTCATAATTTTAAAGTAACCTTATAAAAGATTTGCTTCATTTATTCCTATTGTTTAAAGTTTAAAGCTTTGGTTCATTTGACTGTAACTTTGTGAATAATTACTAGGGCAGGAACATAGATTCAAGTTTAAATAAGTAATTCATTTGTTACTTGCATATATAATGAAGTCTCCTTTTAAGAAAAAAAGAAAGGAAGAGAGGGAGAGATAAATTTATTGCGAAAGTCTACTTAAGTCATCTTTGAAAAATGTAATCTTATGTTCATGAGCATTTTCTTTTTTATTGCATTTTTGAAGTGCATTGGTAATCAATTATGTAAGAGAAATTTTCGGTGATTGTCATCCAATTAACATTATATCTGAATCACCATAATGTACTGATTTTCTTGTTGAAGTTCAATTGTTTCTTTAATTTGAGATTGATGGTTGCAAAATATTTAATAGGAGGAGGAAGTGAAAGAGGAAGAGCAACAGACCAAAGTGACAGAATCTATTGGTAACGAAAGGGATTTGACCATGAAAGAGATGGCTTCAACAACCAAACAAGCAAAAGAAGAGGTAAAAACAAAGGCTTTGGAAAAACGGGAGCACCTCTGTGAGCTCAGCCGCGCATTGGCTGTTTTAGCATCAGCATCTGTAAGGAGTGGAAGTAAATTTTTATTCTTGCCGACTATTAAAGTTTTTATGCATTGGTGAATGCTTGGACTCATTGATTTGTCTGATGATTTTTCAGTCGGTGAGCAGGGAACGTGAAGAGTTCTTGAGACTTGTTAGAAAGGAGGTTTGTAGATTGTAGAATTGATGTGTCTCTGCCTCTTGGAATAGATATTGCATAATGAATACTTTATAGGCATTCAAAGTCTTATAAATCAAAAGGCAATTTCTTTCTAGAATATTTTTGTGTGTGTTGTAAGTTACTCTTTGGGGTGTAATCGAACATGTTTCTACATTCATGTAATTTAGCATTGATTTGTCAAAAAAATGATTTACTTGATAAAATAAATGTATTTTGATAGAAGCTTAGAATTTAACATGTCAGTATTTTTTCTCAATAAAAAAAAATATTTGAAATTTGGTTCTTGATGTTTTTTTCATCATCATCATTGTTGTTTTTTGATAAAAGATTTTTAAAATATTTCCTCTACTCTTTTGCTGAGAGAGAGAAGGGGGAGGGGGGAGAGGGAGATAGATTTACCTAAAAATGTTGAGAGTCTCCAATATGACTGATTGGGCTTCTTCTATCTGTATTTATACACATAAAGTACAGTTATAAATGTATTTGAGGATAAACCCAACCCCCAGCCCATTACCACTCATTTTCTTAACCTCCCCCTCAAACTGGAACGTAGCTATTGATCTTGCCCAGCTTTTCTACTTACATCAGTTCTAAACTATCACTGTGCAGATAGGGCTGTATAATAGTATGGTAGGGAAAGAAGGTACTGAAGGTGAGCAGGAAGCTAAGATGGCCTATAAAGCTGCAAGGAAGGATAGTGATGGTGCTCTTGAGGCAGCTATTAGTGACAAGGTTTCTTCAGCACTTGTTGACAGGGTAATTCTGTGACCCTCTAGTTTTATTTGGTGCCACTTAATAATTGAAAATGAAAGAAAGATTATTTGTTAATCATTAGCTGAAATATATTCTGAAACTGGAAAGAGCTAATGGCAATGGGAACTTCATATTCTTCTCAGGTTGATGCTATGCTCCAGGCACTTGAAAAAGAAATTGATGATGTTGATGCTAAAATTGGAGACCGTTGGCGGTTGCTAGACAGGTTTTCTCTTATTTACATATTTGCTTAGAGAACTTATGTGCTGTATTCTATACTTTGAAACTGTGATTAATTACTGCTGTTTTCTTACTTTATGCAAGTTATGAATATTAAGATATGATATTTTATAATGAAAGGCAATTAGCTTAGATCAATAGCAGAATCCATAAAAGGAAACCATGAAAAAGGGGGGGGGGGGGGGGGAGGACTAAACCTGTTATAGAATATATTGTTATTATTTTTATCAGTGACCTGTTCTAAGAATTTAAAATTGACTCACAACTGTGATTGCAACTGGTTATTGTAGATACTTTGAACTTCAGAAAGAAATTTGATTAGGTGATTGCAATTACTTATACCTTGTTGACAAGACTCACAATCTAAAGACTCTAAACTAGATAGGTGAGGAATCATCTTATTGAATTTAGAAAGTCTAGGATGACTAAGGTAACTAGGCGCAGTAAGATGGTAAAGTCCTCATGATTCATAACCAACTCCAATCGTTTTCCCTGTACTTGGGTATTGCATAAGAACAGATTTTTTAGTGAAAGTAATGGAACAATGAAGAGAGCAAACAATTTACCAATAAATATTAAATAAAATGTTAGTCATGGACTTAGACAACAGATGTTAGAAATAGTGATGGAAATGGTTGTGCTGGTCAAATGCTACGTACAACTATTTTGGTGCCATTAGCAAGGGTAACTAGGGGTAGGTTATCATAGTAGGTAAGAGAAGTGAGAAGATTCTTATTACCACAATGATGACCAGAAGCACCAAAATCAAGTATCCATGGTCCAAGAGATGATTGAGAAATGCAAGCAATTGGTTTTAACCTTAAGATCCAATTGTTGGGGATCACCAATCTGGAGTTTTAACCTTAAGATCATAGAAATTGAAACCCCAATTTTGTGTAACGAAGGAGCGGAGGTTGGTAATCATGTGTTTGTATAAAATGTTTTGACACCCCACAAGATTTTCCAAATCCTATTTCACTTTCATTTTAACTGAGATTCTGAGAATTAAATGTTTTCAAGTTTTGTGAAATAACTTCTACTTCCATGCCCACAAGTTTTTTCAAATGCTATTACCCGTTCATGCTTTAACTAAGATTGAGTCCATTATTTAGGAGACTTTTGATTATTTAACCACTACCAGAAATTTGTGGCCTTTGCTCCTCCTAGAAATGAATTCATTCCCAAGTATTTAATACATTTACAATGTGTAAGGTTTTAGGAAGCATCATTACTTGGATAGAGTTATTTATTTCTTTTCCCCTATAAATATTTATGACTTATTGCTGGAAATAAATGCGTTTCAAATATTTAGCCGTGTTCTGGCAGGGATTATGATGGGAAAGTGACACCTGAGGAGGTTGCATCTGCTACTATGTATCTGAAGGACACTCTGGGCAACGAAAGAATTGATGAACTTATCAGCAACCTTTCCAAGGACAGTGGTCAGTTCTTGTATCATTTTCCTCCTTTTTCTCATACTGCCCCCATAGATATCAGTTATGAATGTTACTGATGTGCCCTCTCCAGTTAATGCAACTAACAATTTAGTAATCCATACAAAAGCACAAAATACAGCACCTAATGCAACTTGAGGTTTTCCTTTTTAGCTTCTTTTTCTGTCCTTCTTCCTCTTTTCCTTTTTGACTTTCTTCCTTGCAACATTTTTTAGTAGCCATGTGACCGCTCCTCCATAGAAGCTTCTGTTAATAATGAGAGGATCTAGAGAGAAAGTCTTTACTTTGTGTAAATGCGCAAGTATAACTTACGTCTAATTATTATTTATTACTGAAAAAGAAGGTTGGGTACTGCCTGTAGTATAGTACTACTACTAATATAGCTATATACAGTTAATAATAATAATAATAAATACAAACATAAATCGGATAGCTATTATGTCAACTGTTTCATTTGTCAAAGACAGTTTCTGAATTTGTCTTGGGATTTCAATGATAAATTCTTGGGATTTCAATGATAAAATAGCATAGATGATCCGACATCTTCATTTGAAAAATAGTTCAACTGCCAGGGTGACTGCTACTTTATGCAATTTTTTTATTATAAACAGATGGGAAAATATCGGTGGAAGATATTGTCAAATTGGGCACCCAGGAAGAAGATGCTGATATAGACGAAGCACGAAGATCGTAGTGTTTTATCTATCTTAACTTCAATGTTCTACTTGAGTTAGAAACCCATTTATTTGTGAATTGTGACTCATTGCCATGTTATATTTGAAATGTAACCGTGAAGAATAATGGTTGGTTTTCCGTACTGAAAATGTATTCATGAACCCACTGGCCACTGCCCTTAAAAATAAAAGAAAGAAAAGGTGGGTATCGTATTCGATAATAAGGTTGGAAATCACCAGCAAAAAGAAATTAAATATAACAAACGTATCGAACTAGATTAATTGATATGTTTGCATTCACTCCAATCCTTTATTGCCTTATGCACTATCTGAATTTCTATCCCAATCTTATCTATCATTAAAGACTTAATCATTCCTTCGTTTCCAAAGACTGGTAATGCTGTGAAATTCACACGGGAGTCACTAGTACACTACGCTCCCCTTCCCTCTACCAATTTTATATTGCCTGTGTATTGTGTAACATGAAACCACTACTTTTTTGGGGTGATAGAAACCTCGTCCTTTAATTTTATTTTAAATTGTTTTTATCCTAAATATTTTTAAAACTCGAGGTTCATCTCATCACTAACTTCATTAGAAACTATAATATAAGCACAAAGTATCCTTGCTTGACATGATACTTTTTATATAAGCACAAGTGCACAATTGACACTTTACTATGTAAGTCTGTGTTACATTTTGTCTCAAATCTTTTGAAAACTTACCAACTTTTAATCACATATTTCAAAAAGAGTTATATCTTGACATAGTGCCAATTATGCACTTGTGTCGTCCAATTCCATTAATATGTCTTAACAGAGTTGGTGATTTAGCCGAAATAGGTAGATTTTTGAAAAAAAAATTAAAGATAAAAAATATAATTATGACATGGAAAGAAAGCCTAAGACAGAGATAAAGAACTACAATTGTTACTTGTCATATAAAAAATAAAATAAAAAGCACATTTGTGTTTTCTAGGGACTTATGATTTTTCATAGAAACAAAGTGAAGGAGAAAAAGTAAAAAATACCAATTATATATTAATAGTGTATGGTTGGAATCTATCTACAAGCCCAATATGTTTCCAGTATGGATTATACTCCCAGCATATGTAAAGACCAAGCTAGGAAGTACTATCTCAAATATGAGTATTACTAATGAAAAATGATGTGTGTGTAAGACCTAAGCTTGTAAACTAAGAGGGTAACGGTATATAAGATACCCTTTCCCTGGTGCTGAAGATGTATTTATAAGAGAAGGGGGAACTCACCTTATATGGGTAGGTGTGCTGGGGTGTAGGAGGGTATTTTCCATTTAAGGGCTTGGGGTGATCTTCCTGTAATGTCTGATCCCAAGATAAGATATTTAGGTGTTTTATCTTGGGCACACTGTCACCGCCAGAGGGACAGGAGGTGAGGAGAGTTGGTGACTTTTGGTCAGGAGAACTGGTGTCTCTATTTGACTTTTTCCTTTTTTTTTTTTTGTAATTTATTTATTATATATCTTGTGCTAAGAGTGTTTTATGCGATTTCCAAAAAACGAGTGTTTTATGCGATTAGTGAGCTAGATACTTATTCTATCATTTAATGTGATAAAATAAGTATTCACAAAGTCTTAGTCTTGTGATAGTTACCACTTATACCTAAGAAAAGTATACAACTTTGAGCATTCTGGAATTTAAAATCTTGGCTTAATCATGAGAATAATTTGAAAGAGCTACTCAACTTCGAGCTTCGTTGGATGACATGGGCTTCTCGTAACAAATACCAATTATATATCAAAACAATATTATTTTATCTAAAATAACTTAAAAATTGTGTCATTTAAAATAATAAATGACTCACCACTTTTTTTTAATAAACCGCAGCAGTAAAAGAAAATCATTTAAGCAACTTGAGTAAACGTGCGGGTTTGCGTGTCGTGGCAATTGGCCAACGAGATACATACACTGCAACATGTTCCAAATTACTTAATTATAGGTTTCACACTCTCACTCACTCACAAATCACAATAATATAGAACTTATTTTACTTATTTACCTTTTACCTTATTATTTCGAAAAAATAAAAATACACTGACCGAACCCAAATCTAATCTCGGTCGCGTGCGTGCGTTACTCATTTTTTTTCGTTTTCATTTTTCTTTCAACGCACTAATTCAAAAAGCGTCGAACGAACCCAAAATCTCAATTCTCTGTATCGAAGAGCTTCCTCAATTGTGCTGCTTCTTACGGTGTTGGAGACCAGTTAGGGATTTTTTTTTCCATTTCCGCTTCAGGATTGTGCTATTCCACTTTTTCGCTCTCAGTGTTTTCTCGATCTTCTAATTCTTCGGTTACAAACCTTGAGTTTCTGGTGAATTTCTCCACGGGGATTCGTTTTCCCTCACTCGTCGAGCTCCTGGGGTGCAATTGCGGTAAGAGTCGCGTTTGTGTTGTTCGAGAAGGTGAAATTAGGGTTTCGTGTCTTTCCTAGAGTGGAATTTGCGAAACAGCTTTTGGTTTCTGGTTTTGTTGTTGTGCTTGGTTATGGGGATTTGAGATTTGGGAGAGTTGGTGTTTTGTTTGGAGTGGGAAATTTTGTGAAGGTGAAGAGAAATGTTTTACTCTCAGTTTATATTGGCCAAAAAAGGGCCTCTTGGGACTATATGGATAGCTGCACATCTGGAGAGGAAGCTCCGCAAGAATCAGGTGGCAGATACTGACATTGGCGTCTCTGTAGGTCAGTTTCTTTTTTTTTTTCTTTTTAATTTATTTATTATATATCTTGTGCTTAGAGTGCTTTATGCGATTAGTGAGCTAGATACTTATTCTATCATTTAATGTGATAGAATAAGTATTCGCAAAGTCTTAGTCTTGTGATAGTTACCACTTATACCTAAGAAAAGTATACAACTTTGAGCATTCTGGAATTTAAAATCTTGGCTTAGTCATGAGAATAATTTGAAAGAGCTACTCAACTTCGAGCTTCGTTGGATTGCACAAACAGATCAACACACACACACACAAATGCGACAAACCAAAAAAAGAGAGGAAGAGCTACTGCTTAAACTTGTGATTATGCTTTGTGTAACAAATTCAGTAGAATTTGAGAGTTGTAAGGATCCAATGGTTATTTGGTCAGTGCATTCTATGTAGTTATATGTCTAAGCGGTTGGAGTATTTTCCCAAGATTTCATGAGCAAGCTTTTTCTCTTGGCATCCTTGTGGCAATTTGCTAATGGGGCTACGTTTGTTGAGGCAATGAGCATCCTTGTTTATATGCAGAGAAACTAGAGGGCTCTTTTGTGATTTTCCTTTAGATAGAGGAGGAAATATATTATTGTAGTTGAGAATAAGAAGGTACAGTGGAGAATGAGGATTAGAAAAGCTTGCTAAATGAGGGCTCAAAAGAGAAACAAAGAATGGACAGGCAAACATGTTCAACAATAGAGCTTTCGACTCCATTTGCATATCTGCTATGGCCAACCCCTTAAAGTTACCATGATCTGCACACAAAAGAGAGGTAAAAAAGATCATCTTGTCCTATAGCAGATTTGTTGGCTGAGAAGAACTCTTAATATACAAGCATTTCCCTCGAGGAAAATACTCCAAAGAGCAGCATAGATTGCTCATTGATCTAGAATCTTTCCTTCCGCAGTCCTAATGAAACCCCTGAAGTTGATTGTAAGAAATTGATGTAGAATCTACTTCAAATAGTCTATATCAGATGGATCTGGCCGTAGGGCTGTGTTAAAAAAAAGAAAAGAAAAGTGAGCTACTGGTTCTGAACTAGAGCCACACACACATGACACAGATGGCAGGAGACAGAACCTTTTGTGGTCCCCTAATTTGTGGCATATCATTAGTCTGTTGATCCTCCAGATTCCTTGTACATTTCTTCTCTTCATCTTAATGAAATTATTTTCTTAGCAAAAAAAAGGGTATATTGCTCTTGTTAAGAACTGTACCTTGGTTGGGATAATTGTTTTAGTGGCTATACTTTTGAACTTTTTTATTATCTGTAGTCTGATTGTAAAAAGCAAGAGTTAGGACTAGCTTATGCTGATGTGAAATCCTTGCTGTTGCATAAATTTTGTTATGATACCTGTGGTGGAGAGTAATATTCCTCATTACATTTTACATGCCTGTGCCGCATTTTCTGCTGTCTAATTTTGACTACATTTTATCATCTCAGATTATTTATGTAGTGTATTTTATGAATGTGAACAGATTCCATTCTTTTTCCTGAAGTACCAATCGCACTCCGCTTGTCCAGTCATCTTCTGCTTGGTGTGGTGAGGATATATTCTAGAAAGGTGAATTACCTTTTTGATGACTGCAGTGAAGCCTTGCTTAAGGTAAAGCAAGCTTTTCGCTCCACTGCAGTTGATTTGCCACCGGAAGAGTCCACTGCACCTTACCATTCCATCACCTTACCTGAGACTTTTGATCTTGATGATTTTGAACTACCAGACAATGACATCTTTCAAGGGTTAGTTCCAAAGTGCTTGATGATATCATCAATTGTAGCTCTAGCTGTTGTTTAGTGCAACAACATTTTTTTACTTAATTGAGCTGGTTTTTGTCTAATTTAATTTATTTCCTTTCATTTGTAAGCATTTGTCAGTGGTTTTATCTGATCTTATGTATCAGCTTTTTCCTTGGTATTTTCAGATGATTGATAGAAGAAATTTCACAGTAATACTATAATTTTGTTTTTAGTTTAAGATCTTTCATTTGGTTGTGTTTTTTCAGAATTGATCCATATTCTAAACATGTTTTTATGTAATATGGTTCATGTGGAAGATCTATTGGTTTATTAATAGAAGAGTATATATGTTGTGAACAGTAACTACGTTGATCACCATGTCAGCACAAGGGAGCAGATTACACTGCAAGATACTATGGAGGGTGTGGTTTACACTACTTCACAGTTTGGATTGGATGGTTAGTATTACCGTTTGTCTCTTTTTCTATTTCTCTTTGTACTGGTCACTTGATAGTGAAATTTAATTACGGAGAGATCTGTGCCAAGTAATGATTAATGGCAAAACGTGTATTACAGAGCGTTTTGGTGATGGTGATGCCTCTCAAATTGGTTTAGACCTTGATGAGGTAAATTTTCATGTTTATTTTTTCCCTGAGCATCCTATGCCTGGATCTGATTGCTGAAATGTGATTTATGTTGTTTAAGGTCCCAAAATACTGATTTGGATGTTACAGTTTTGTTGTCTGGTTATGACTAGGAAGCATAGATGTGCCTCATTGGTGGTAGTATACTAGAGTGATATATGCATCTGACATGTAGTTGTACAAGCCTCTGGCAGGCCTGATATAAATCTGATGCTAGACAAGTAAAACTGAAAAGGAGGGGTTCATTTAATTTTTCTTTAATGAATATGTTGGTGTCTCGTTGGTGTGGAGATCTGTTGGCCTAAGAACCAAGAGAAATTGGGTCTTGGAAATTTGATGTCTAAAAACATTTGCAGCCTAGTGAAGCCCTGCCATTCTGCCTAAGAATTAATCAAGAACAGTATATGTAGCCCACTGCCACAAAGCCATGTCCTCCTTGCTCCTTCAAAAATCTTTTAATATAATTGATAAGAATTGATGTCGACACCCAATATCAATTTATCATCTCCTTTACTTCTCATTTGCAACTTCAATTCAGTTGATAGTTGATAAATGATTTTTTATTTTATATATAACATTTTTTTATCCCAAAAATTTATGCATTTTTTTATTCTCAATTCTGTATCACTATCATCATTGCATTCCTAGATCAGCATTTTGCATTATCTTTATCCCGAAATGATCCTATGCTTTGCTGTTGCTACCATCATTTTGATAAGTATAGCTGAGAAACTTTGGTTGTAGTTGGAGCACTGCTATGTCAGATTTGAATTGACACAGTTGGGAAACAAAATATCTTGATGTGTATATCTATGGAGAATAATTGACTATGTAGATACATTTTTCTGGTTTACTTTTGGAGGTTTTTAACTTGATTTGGTAAAATCAGGTTTTGTTACTAGACAAAGCTGCTACTTTGGAGCATGATGACCTAACTGCAAGTCCTCAAGTATCTCATCAAAAAGATGAAAAGGTGAGTGAAACTTCAGACAGAATGCAAGTGAAAGACAGTTGAAGCAAGAAAAATTTATATTTTAAAATATCTGCATGCCTATCAATGTTTGCTTTTATTCCTTGTCACTGTCTTCAATTTTCTCTCTTTTTTCTGGTGGAGAGTGGATGAAGCGAAAGCAGTTCTGTTGATTATAGATTGTAGTTTCTTCTGGTTTTAATCAATGACTTGATCCGTTTTGAACAGTTTGATGCTTTACCCGCTGCTGCTGAAGTCAGTGGGTATGCTCAAGGTCCATCTACTCCTGGACTAGAAGAGCCAAACTTGATTGGTACTCTGGTGGATCTGGTCAATAATGAAGTTGATTATCATAATTCAGCAGATTTAGTATCAATGGAGACCATGCAAAAAGAATCCTCTGCTGACCACAGGGAGAATGATGCAATTGATTGCTCCTTGCAAAATAATGGGAAGCATGTTGATGCTGATTTGCATCATGAGGACAATGACAGCACTCTGGTTGAAGTGGAAAGCAAAAGAGAGGAACAGGAACATTTGGCATGTATGGTTGTTATGAAGGATCAAGAAAATTTGGTGCCTAATGATCATTGCTTAACATCATCACCCTTGGTGGACTCATCCAATAAAGAGTACCAGACCACCCTGTTACAAGAATGTGCAGGTAAGACGACCAATGCTTCTGATATACTCGAGAAGGTAAAAGACTCACATGATGGAGTTGTGATGAACGATGAACTAGTTGTGGCTCCTTTGGACCAAACTGTTACAAAATGTGTTGTTTTTGGAGGTGTTAATGTAAATGAAACTGTTGCATCTCCTAATTGTTCTCATGTGACATCTGACCAAGAAGACCTCTCTGGTAAACTGTTGTCTGGCATGGATGGATCTCAGAGGCCAGAATCAGATGGTCATGTAGAGGATGATAAAACATTGTCAAAGCATGAAGTTCTGAATGACATTGAAATTTCTAAGAGTGAGGGGCAATCCTTTCTGTTTGATGGGGCTCAAGTATCCAATGTTATAAGTCCTCCAGGATCACCTGGAAGACCTGAAGTCGTTGATGTGGAAGCACAGGCTTCTCAAGAAGTGAAGGAAGCAGAGGCTAACCTTGTATCTCATGAAGCTGTGCAACCCACTGAGTCATACCTTCGGCCATGCACCTCTCATCCGAGCCAGCCTTCTCTGTCATCTTTTGAAGGTATTAATGCAAATAATTCATCTTGCATAATTTTACAGATATCTAATTATTCATTTTTCTCTTTTTACCTGTGGAGTTAAATGAGTACATTACAGGGAATTCTGTTATTAGAATATAACTTTACATTTCTTTATTGCATGTTGCATATTGCTTGTGATATTTGACAGCCATGTCACCATGATGCTGTGTTGACTTTTAATTGGCCTATGGACTTCATATCATGCATTCCATTTATTTTTTCCCCTTGTGTGTGAGACAATCGACTTTATAGAAATAATACCTATTTTTTGTACTTTGAGTTGATTCTGTTTTCTTTTAAGAAGCTACTTTAAGTATCTGTTTGATGGACATATTTAAAGATGAGGAATTCCAAAATAATCAATTGCTTTTTCTTTTTACAGGTGAAAAGTGTCATGAAACTGATGTTTCAGATCCTGCTTTAGGTTATCATGAGATTATGGAGCCATCTGTGTGTAAAGGAACACCACATTTGGAGAAGTCAGATGTGCAACTTGGGAGCCAGATATTTAGTAATGGAGTCGAAAGTATAAACAAATCTGCTGCTTCTGACATTCCAGAGCCTGAAAAAATGCTCTTCTTAGCTTATCAACATGGTGGTGGTGAAGCAAATGATTTACTGATGGAGTCTACTCCTGACAAGCAGGGTATATCTGAAGGCCAAACAGATGCTACAGGAGTAAAATCCATCTCTGGTAAAAAGCGCAGCTTCACAGAAAGTACGCTCACAATGCAGAGTGTGGATTTGGTTGAATCATATGGAGGGGCTCAATCCAAGAGAATTGCAGAGTCTATACCTGATGATGATGATCTATTGTCTTCAATATTAGGTATAACAGTGGTCCTTAATGCTTTTTGCTACATATTTTTAGTTAAGCATTTATTTTCCTTGAGAACAAGGTAGTGGCTTAAAAGAATTTTTGTTGCTCCAGTTGGTAGAAGATCTTCAGTTTTAAAAGTGAAACCCAGTCCAGCAGCCCCTGAAATAGCATCAACGAAACGCTTACGTTCTGGAACACGCACTAGTGCCTTAAAGAGAAAGGTGCTTATGGATGATATGATGGTCTTGCATGGCGAGTACGTTTTTATAGTTTTCCATTCATTCATTTTCCACTTTATTTTATGTTTGCTTATAATAGAGTGAAAAAATGATATTTTTTGCCCACTTTCTTGTCTTTCAAAGATCTATCATTCTCCCATCCTTTTGCCATTTCTTCTGTCGTTATTTAAATGCCAAGGAGAAACTGACTGAGTGATTTATTAATTTGTATTAGAGGTAATAAAATAGCCAAAAGTGCTCAGCACTTCATTGGAAGAAGAGAAAGTTTTTTATATCTGCTGAAGCTTTTTGTACCTTTAATCTCTGATATATAATATGTCAAGAATTATTGAGATGAATATTGGATGCTTACAAAGTTACCCTGCAAGATAGCAGACCTATTTATTTAGAGGTCTGGTTGTTTCATTTTGTGCCTTATATGCTTATCCTTTATTTTGGTCCCAGATTAATGACACCTAGCTCTTCCTATGGGGTAGGAGTAGATTAACTTTGAATTGTTATAAACTTACAAAAGGATAACTTGAGGACTGATATCCTGCATGAATTAACTGGTGAATGGTGATAGTTGTCCAATTTTTATTTTTTTTATTTTCTTACTTAGTTTTTTTCTTTAATTTATTATCATATTTATATTTTACCTTATATAGTATACCATATTCCTTTTTTCTTGCGTCAGAATACTAATAGTTTTTTTTCCCTGAAGTACAATACGCCAACAGTTGACAAATACTGAGGACATACGTCGCACACGGAAAAAAGCTCCTTGCACTCGCCATGAGATTTCAATGATTCAAAGACAATTTTTGGAGGATGCAATTTTCCACGAATCAATATTTACAGGTTAGTTATGTGTTTGGCATGTATATATTGTGGTGTTAATTATTTGGAGCATTTTGCTCAAATGTCTCCAGCTACCCCCCCTTAAACAATTTCAAATCCCTGAAATACCCACCTGTTATAGTGTGATTATGCTCACTCTTCATGGATAGTAAAAGATGTGTGTTTGGTTTGTGTATATTCTATTGCCATTTTTGTGGGGGTACACATTTTTATTTTCACTAATAACGCAAAACAATTATAAAAATATGTTTGGTTGGCTTTTAGTGAAAAAACAATTTCTTAAAATGAGCCTAAATATGAAAACATTGCTTTCATCATTTACTTCTCGAAATTTCTTAAATAAAGACACTAATTGAATAGAATGACCAAGAGAGGATGCGTTTTTCTACATCAAATGCAATAGATAAACGTTCTGTTTATTCCAGTTTTATACACTCTTGGGAACAATTATATAAACTTAAATTTAACAATCTGAATATGTAATTCCTGCTAACTTGAATACTATACTTGATATAGTTAATTTTGTATGCAAAGACTTATAATAGTTAATTTGTGATTGTATTCATCACACTGTTTGCATTGAACACGTGCTTGACTGGTATGGTTGGTCTATTCTATCTCAAATTCCCAATATTATAATATTTCATGATATTCAACAATATATGCTAGATATAAATACAATATCTAACTTCCTATGATAGAATTGGATACTGAATGGGCTAGTTTTATTCAATTGTCCAATGTCGACAAAAGAACTCTACTAGCTACTGATTTAGGAGAGTAATCCGCAAGACAAAATGAAAATGGTTGCAGACTCTTTGAGGGTTCTGTTGACTCCCTTCCACCATTTTTCACTCAGAACTCCTCCTCTCCTGTAGTCGTTCCTTCCTTTATACCCTTGCTAACCAAATGCTCTCCCAACTGATACTGGCCCACCTGCACACATGCAGGTGGTTACAATGGGATCCCTGAGCTACGTTTCTGACACCAAAAACGTGTTGAAACGGTGGTAGAAACGGATTTTGAGTTGACTCGGTTGAAATGACGAGTCAACTCGATTAACTCGGTTGACTCGACGAGTTTATCGAGTTGACTCAGTTAAAAAAAAAGGAAAAAGAAAAGAAATGGAGCTTACCGACAAACTCGCTCTCTTCTTTCTTCTTTCTCGGCCTTGGACGACCAAGGTACCAGTAAGAACAACCACAACCACAACCACAACCATGGTGGCACCGTGGCTAACAACAACAACAATGGCTATAGCGATGATGTGTGTTGGTTTAACTTGCCTGAAGAAACGAGATCTGAGAAGGTGATAGTGTGGAGCTTCTAACCTTCACCGAAATGGGAAAGAATCGAATTGGGTCCAAAAGCGATTGGTTCTTAACCATCCTTCACTGCTTCTATATGCGAAGCAACCTGAACTACTCCTTTCACCTTTCGATTTATGAGCGCCACCAAGAACCCTGCATCGGTCCCGTACCGAACCGCCGAGTCTTGTCGGAGCTTTTGCAATTCGCCTCCACGTATTGCGTTGGAGGAGGAGGAGCTTGTGGCGATAACGTGATGATGATTCTTCAGCCATCGAAATTCAACGAATGCATTGGAATTGGTTTTTTATGGAATTTGTGTGGAGAGAGAAGAGAACGCTCCCATTTTCAAGTTCACATATAATTTTGTATATATATTCTTTTCTCATTGTCATGTTCACTGAGTTCTATAAATATGTAGATAATTCAAAAAATAATTGAAAATTATAAATATATGCATATTATATGTTATTACTTTGATGTTTTGATTTTAATATTTATTATGATTACGGAATTTGAACTTAATTTTTATTTCCTTGGACTTAAATTTGTAATGACTTATATATTGGTGTGTTTTGATTTTATATATGTTGGATATATATATATATATATATATATATATATATATATATATTAATACTTAGTAAACTCTTACGTTTCGTTTACGTTTCACGATTTTACGATTTTGCCCACCCCTATCGTTTCTACATAGAAACTAAGTTTTAACAACATTGGAAACAACACTCACTTTCACAGAAACACAAATAAAGACACTAAAGATCTTCAAGGTTCTTTTTCCTTGCTACCCAGAGGCCCCAATTCCTCACTGGATGACCGCCTCTTCCTACTCTCTCTTCTTTTCACATTTAGCTCACTCACCCCCACCGAGTTCCCCCTTCTTCCTCATTTGCCACTGCCCTATAGGTGTTCTTATATGCTGCTGGTGATTAACTTGTATTCCCCAATCCTTCCTCCTAACCAATTGTGCTGATCCTCTACTTCAGATCCCCTTCCATGTGTCACATACTTTGGTACTTGGGGTCTATCGTAAACCTATGCCCTGAACAAAATCCTATTTATTTTTATAATAAATTTATGCACTAAACAAGTCACTCTTCATTAAACCCCGACCAGTGAGGGTGGCGTGAGGGCAATCCTTGTACGTAACTTTACTCTTACATGTTTGCAAAGAGGCTGTTTCCCGGATTGAAACCCGTGACTTTTTAGAAATTTAGGAGCAGTTTTACCACTGCTCAAGGTTTGCCCTCTTTAAATTATGCAAAAAAAAAATGTATACTAAGATTTTTTTTTATGTTTAAGAGTTGTTAGACTACTCTCTATGTTTAAGGGGGCGAACCGGAGCAGTGGTAAAGCTGTTTTTTATGACCGAAAGGTCATGGGTTCGAATTCAGGAAACTGCTTCTTTGCAATTATGTAAGGGTAAGGCTGCGTACAAAGATTACCTCCACCCCACACTCGCTAATCTTTTTTGACGAGGAGTGGTTTTGGTTGAAGAGTTGTTAGAGAATAATATAAATCATTAAAAAGGCCCTCACCCAATACTTTAAGGTTTTGGTTTAAAGTGGTTCTTTATATGGTATCAAAGTTTCAGTGACCACGAGGTCACTAGTTTAATCCTCACCGCCCTCCACTTTCTATTGGAATTAAATAAGCACAAGGTAAACCAAAAATTGAGCCTGTCTAATATCCACGCTTCAAGCCCAAAGGGCTCTTGCGCGATGGGGGTGTGTTAGAGAATAATATAAACCATTAAAAAGGCCCTCACCCAATACTTTAAGGTTTTGGGTTGAAGTGGTTTTTTACAAGAGTTTAGTATTCAAAAAATTTCAATAGCAATTATATTCCTATTACTCAAGTTTAATTTTAAATTTTGAGTTTATTCATTCAAAATAGGTTAAACAAACGTATTTGAATTGTTTATTTTCTGGTAACAGTATTTAATTATGCTAACCATACATGTTTCTAAAATTTGAAAAGATGAGAATGAAAATCATTTTCAAGAAATGGAAATAGAAAGTGAAAACAAATTGTGTTTGGTTTGTTTTCTGTCGTCATTTTCAGCTGCTATATTTTTATCATTTCCTCAGAACTCCGAAAACACGGAAGAGATGAAACAAGGTGGCATATTTGTAATTTTTAGTGAAAACACATTGGCTGGAAATGAAAATAGAAAACAAACCAAGTATGCTCTATGTTTTACAAGGCAACCTAGTTTGGTGGTATGTTAGTTTTGAAATCAGGAAAAGGAATACTTTTAATATCAAGGGTTCCATGAAGTTATTGACAGACCACATTTTTCTGTGAGGCTGTCAGTTATTCCTAAAACTGTTCTTCCCATGTATTCTGTTTCCTCTCCATAACATTTTTATAATGTTGGTTATTAATTTAAAAAACAACGAGGATGATATTTGACAAATCCACCCTTGAACTTTTGGGTGGGTTGAAGTGGTCTGCCAAATGTTGTCTCTACATCTGTGGGATGGTCATAGCTGTTCGTTTTGAATTTTACCAAATGTTTTTCAAAAATTAATTTTTAGGAGAGCATGTGACCGTAATTATTGTGATGATAATTTTACAAAGAGCATCATCATATTCATTTATGAAATTCTCTTCTAACATATCTAAGTCAATTTTCTCATATCTTCCAGGTTTGTCTGCTGATTTGACTATTCTGCGAAATGAGGCATTAGATCTGACTGGAATCATGGTTTTTGATCATGGTTTAGATAATTCTTTCATAGAAAAAACAAATGATCAAGAGTCCTATCCTAGAACAAATACTGAAATTCATGGTGTGGAAGGGAATAATGAACCTATGGCAGTCCCACTCCAAGAAGATGCAGAAGCACAACCTACTGAGATTCCTCTTTTTTCTGAGAGCCATCAATCTGAAGTTAACTTGGGCTCTCATGATATTGAGGGTCATGGGCATACAAATATTATTTCTCATGTGAAGCAGCTTGACAGTTCTGAAAATGCTGAAATGAACAATGCTGATGGAAATATAAAGGTTTCTGAAGCAGAGAATTGCTCTGTTGGCCCTGGGCATGAATCTTCATCCGTAGCTGAAGTCTTTGAAAATGACCTTTGCATGGCAAATGATTTTGTTGCATCGCTGCCTCTTCTAGATAAAACCAATGATCTTGGAGATTCTATGCATACTGATATATTGAGCATACCAAATGCCCAGAATTTGAATACAAACCCTATTCTAGAGGATGAGTTTATTGAGAATAAAGGTGATAGTAGTGGAGTAGGTGCTATTGAATTTTTAGAGCATAGCATGGAGATTAGGACACAAGTTCAAACAGATGGTTTGGAAGCTAATGATTTATATGCATCCTTGGATATTGGCTCTAAGGAAACTAATGAATATACTGATAATCAGGCTCCGTTTAATGGGGACCTGCCTATGGAGGAAAATGGACACAGCATGCTAGGGGGCTTAAATGAGGATCAAATTGTTGCTTCTGGCTTGGGGTGTGATGACAAGGACGCCAAATCTGGCTGCACATTTAGTGAAAATACTGAAGTAGATTGTTTACATTCTGTAGCACTTGTTTTGGATGAAAAAGAGATTCCTCTGAATGATGAAGAAAACCCAGTCTGTCGGGAAGCTGGACTACAAAGTACAATGTGCCCTGAAATCTCAGCTATAAGGAGTCCTTTTGTAGATCATAATGATGTAAGTTCTCAAATTTTCCCTACAAAGTTGGATGTTTCTTTTGATATCTCTTGTTTGTTTGACTAGACACATTTAACATACCTGATACTTTACAAAAAAATTATGAGTTTTGTTTGTTAACATTGTGAATTGAAATTTATTGTCAGAAATATGCTTTTATTTCAAGAATTCATTTTCTTGCTAAATGAAATTCTAATACTGAATGTGGGCACATAGAAAATTTGGTAATTAAGTTTGGATTTGAAGCAGGAGCAGGAATTGGTTTTTGAAAGTGAAGGTCTTCACATATCATTTTTTGCTTTCCTCTCAACAATAATTAGTAATTACCGTTATTTAAAGCTAATGTGTTGGGGCCAGTGTAATTTGGTTGTTAATTTTTATCTTTCTTGTCACTCTCTTGTTGCTTTGTATCATGCCGTATTTAGTGTTGTTTCCTGAAGCAGATCATTCTCAATATATGCTGTAGCTTGACATACAGGATAATATGGAAGTACTGTTAACTATAAATGCATTTAGAAGCATGCATTCATTTACCTCCTGTGTTGGCTTCCAAAAATATTAAATTTGAATTACGAATGTGTATGAGTGTATCTATGGTGATTAACGACGAAAGGCTCCCTTAAGGCGCTAGGGGGTTTTAATGCCTAGAGGTGAGAAATCTAAGAAGTGCATACTTTCCTGAAGAAAGGCCTTTATGTTAGAGAGAGAAGAAAGCAGTAAAATATTTACTGTTTTTCTTGAACTTTCCATGTATTTTAACTACCCAAGCCTAACATTTATTGTGAAAATCAAACATTAAAATATTCATAACCAAAATAAACGTGGCAGCCCTAAAAATTAAAATTGGTACCAAAGAGATAAATAGCCAAAGGTTAGGCTACCCTAAGTTCCTAAAGTTCATCAGAAAAATAGAAATCAGTGTGAATGGTAGCCAAGTGGCAGCCTGTTTTTCATTAACTTTCCATATAAATTAATCTAACATTTATAGTGAAAATCAAACATTAAAATATTCGCAACCAAAATGAACGTGGCAGCCCTAAAAATTGAAATTGGTACGAGAGATAAACAACCAAAATTAGGCAACCCTAAGTTCCTAAAGTTCATCAGAAAAATAGAAATCAGTGTCAATGGTAGCCACTAGCCCGTATTTTTTAAGACACTGACAATTTTACCCACCCTTTTTAGCATCACAATTAGTATGTTAGATGGCTGGATTTATTAGTTTTTTACAGTTATTATTAAGGTAATAACGGTGAGCGCCTCACCTAAACTGAAAGGCACTGCACCTCTACCTGCAAGTGACACTAACCGTATCTGGCACCTTGCCTCTCCTCATTGCCTTAACTGCACCTTTTACCACATTGTAACTTTGGTATGAGGTATTAGAATATGCAATTTTGTTAATTTCATTAGTCATAATCTTGGCATATAGGTTCTACTCTCTTTTTTTAATACTAGTCGGATTTAACGGGGAGTGGTTTTGGTTTTAAGCTTGTACATGCTCTCTCTTCTAAAGTGGTTTATATCTGCATCCTTATGGTTCTTGGATCTTGGGATAATTGGCATTTGATACATTCTCATTTGCTTTTGAAACAAAATGTGATGTGCTTTTCCTAGCCGACGGCAGGTTGGTTTTGCGATGCTGCTGTTTGTAATTGAAAGTAAACTTGCTATCTACCCTTTCCAGGATGTATGTAATATTCCTTTATTGTTTTATGCATGTCTAATTAAGTTCTATGGCTACATGGTGCAGGAAAATGACATGGTTGCTAATGACACAGGTTTGCTTCTAAATCTTTTTCTTTGTCCATTTTATTCAAATGCTTAATGTGTCAACATATTTTCAACCATATGAAATGGACCTATACGTTGTTTTCTGGTTTAACAAGCTGTGTGTTGGAATACTAGTCTAGATTCAACATATTTAGTCCATGCTAATGTAACTATTCAATTATAGTTATGACTGTGTTCAATAGATGTTAATTAACTCTGTAACTAGTCCTTGATTAGTTCCTTTACTTTAATGCACTCCTATCATAAATATGATGGGCTGTGTATGCAACACAATTTCTGTCACAAACTGTCTTTTTCAGTATGGTATCGGAGTGGTACTATCCTTCACAATACACAATTTTCTCTTTGCCACAGCTTCAGCCTCTGGCTTTTGCCTCTTCCGGTGCTCTGTGTTTCATGAATACGGGTATGGGTTACAACAAAATTTATGTAGCTAGGATATGGGTTACGGGAGGATGTATCATATAGAAATATAAGAACATAAAGTATTAAAATATAATATAAATACAATTTTCATAATGTTCAAACTGAAGTAAACAAAAATATCTAAAGAACTTACATGTTTTGAAGGGAATGAAATATCAGTTCGTTTCATTTAGTAACAAACCATATAACATAGAAACAAAACTTGTGTTATGCATAGACTAATTTGTACTTGAGTGGTACCGAGTATGTACCCGGTAGGGTATGCCAACTATTTAGGAGTACCCATGCATCACAGCTGGTGCTAGATTGGCAATTTGATTCCAATATTGGGATCAGTAGGAGCCAATCTGTCAAAGCCTGAAACTTCATGTCCATCAGCCTCTAATCATGTTACCTCTCTCCAGCATCTTTCTGGTCATGCGACAGCTCATCTGTGCCCCATTTCTGGCCATCTTTCTGTGAGGATCGAACTCATGACCTTATGGTCACTGAAGCTCTGATATCATGTAAAGAACCATTTCAACCCCAAACCTTAAGGTGTTGGGGGAAGGTCTTTTTAATGGTTTATATTATTATTTAACACAGCATTAGACTTGAAATACCAAGCCACCATGATCAGTTCTATGAAGACCCATAATAATATAACCTATCACAGGCAACGTATTAGCAAACAGTGGAATTTGGCAGCATATCAAGCTTTAAACCTCAACTTGTTTATGGGGTTTGGTCTATTGGAGCATACTAGTCACTAATGGTGGGTTCCAATCATAGTGGATGGGTGAACCAATAATGAACAGCTACAAAGAAAACAATGTTGGGCTAGATTTAGACTTCTAAGCAGATTTGTTCACAAAGGCAATCAGACAAATAGGGAAGTGATGATCCTCCTTCGAGGAGGGTATTAGTTTTTTATAAAACTTTTTATGTTCTTTTTTGATGAAGCTAGAGCTAGAATGATAGAAAGTGAAGTGTGATGTCTTACATTGGAAATGAATGAACTATGTGATGGAAATGACTAATGGACCTAATATCTTAAGGTATTGGGTCAAGATTATGGAATCAAAGTAGATGGTTTGGTTGGCCTGAGTATACAAGATCGTGGTTGGGATTCTCATGGTTGTTGCGTCCATGGAGGAAGAAGAGCCATGAACCACAATAAGCCCAAGGGGAGTGGTATGGCATGGCTATTGGCTCCTATGGAAAAATGGGCCTATCTTCCCCGGATGAACAGATGTAGATCTTGAAACCAGGCTTGGTGGAAGTTGGAATGTGCTTATTTGAACATTATGAAAATACTAACCAAAAAAAAAAGGCTTCCACTTGAGGGGTAGCATACTTGTGTGAGGACTCATTTGAGGGGGAGATTTTTGTGAATTCAAGTGAGGCAAAACAACACTTCCCATGAGCATTTCATAGAAGCAAATAAATATTTCTTTCTTTTCAATGCCCATTGGTGTTTGATGGAATGTAAAACAAACATGCTTTAAGTGGAATGACCTATACTCCTGAATGCCTTATGTTTTGGGATCGAAATATGGTGTTAAGCCCTCAAGTGTGGTTCCTTGCTCAGTCATGGTAGGAGATTCCCCGATGTTTGGGGTCCCTCACCTAACATATAGCCTGGGTTTATGGTGGATGATACTGCTTTCGTTCTATATTAAAAAATTAGAGAGAAAATAAGAGTATGAAAATGTTTGGAGTGGGAATGTTTTGGTCTTATACTAGGATATCTCCACAGTACTGTTGTGAAACTGATAGAATCCCAGATATTTGATTATAGAAAGTGGGAATAATTCCACTTTCTATATTAAAAAATTAGAGAGAAAATAAGAGTATGAAAATGTTTGGAGTGGGAATGTTTTGGTCTTATACTAGGATATCTCCACAGTACTGTTGTGAAACTGATAGAATCCCAGATATTTGATTATAGAAAGTGGGAATAATTCCCAATTACATGAGCAGAAATCACAGAACAGAGCCCTCTCACTATCACTCACAGAAACAGAAAATAGAAAGGAAAAGAAAACAATAGAGACAATGCAACTAACACTTCTCTTTCCCCTGTTGTCACCTCACCTCCCCTTGCTCACCTGAGTCATTAACCCATTTCTTTTCCCTTTATTTATCCTCCAAAAGACTCTAGTAATAGGAGGATATCTATCAGAGGCTTTCCACTTAAACACCGTCCGTACTAGGTGGCCCTCCATTTCCTTCTCCAGGGAATGTAGAAAAGATGTATTTATACTGGAGGGAAAAGTATACTACATTACTACTGTAGAGTTGATCTATCAATCAGCCTTCTAATTAATAGCAATCAATCAACCAATTAATCACCCGGAAACAATCGTTCTTCATTTTAGGTGTCAGCTTCTCAAGACTTCCCTCACTCCTTTCCTATATTTACAACAGTAGTCATTATGTGGAGCTTATTATTACTGGACTCTGGCTCCACCATTTGCTTTGTGGGAAAATGCAATTGAATCATTAATTTGACACAAATGTAGGCAATAGTTATTGAAACAGGAGAATGAAGCTTTTGTTGCTGCTATTTTGAATTCTTTCACACACACTCTCTCTTCCCAGGGTTTTTGAATGTTGGTGATGATGAGATAATTGAAGATGATGATGATTTTATACCACGTGCTGAAGGAACTCACCTCGAAAATAGTGGATGGTCTTCCCGAACCAGGTCTGTTTATGCAAATCTGTAGTAGCTCAGCTTTCTCTGCATTGAAAGTAACTGCACTTAAACATTTCTATGCTCTATTGTTGGTTGCTACTCATTTCATGCATATATGTGAAACTCTGACCTAAAATTATATATTTTGCCATGCCTATGGTTATATACATATGCTATATCCTGAGTTCTCTATTACGCTGCTGTTTGAAATAGTTTCTTTTCCCCTGACCATTGCCTTAGGGGGTTTTCTTGAGTGCTGTCTATGAAGGTTCAACATTTACACTTAAAAGGAGATTTTTCCACTTGAAAGAAGCCCAGTAATTGAGGATGTGTGCAGATGGTTTAGTTTGAGTTATCACGACACAGTCTAAATAAGTTTTATGTGAATAGCTTTGGGATAGACCCACCATAACTAAGGTATATTGTGGGAGGAATAAGGTGAGAAACTAGGGATCAACCCTTGGGTAAGCAACAAGGAAACCATTGTAAAGAACCTTGGGATACACCACCCCAAAAGCTAGCTCAAAGGGTGGGAGTACCCAAGGCCTTATAAAGGCCACATTAGTTGCCCACACAATCAATGTGGGACTACATATCTCAACACGCCCCCTCACACGAGAGCCCATTGGGCTTGAAGCGTGGATTATGCACAGGCCCAATTTTTGGTTTACCTTTTTGTGCTTTTTATTTTTAATTTCACTTTAAAGTAGGAGGCAGTGAGGATCAAGCTCTGATACCATGTAAAGAACCTTGGGATACACCACCCCAAAAGCTAGCTCAAAGGGTGGGAGTGCCCAAGGCCTTATAAAGGCCACATTAGTTGCCTACACAATATGTTGAGATATATAGTCCCACATTGATTGTGTGGGCAACTAATGTGGCCTTTATAAGGCCTTGGGCACTCCCACCCTTTGAGCTAGCTTTTGAGGTGGTGTATCCCAAGGTTCTTTACATGGTGTATCCCATAACTAAGGTATATTGTGGGAGGAATAAGGTGAGAAACTAGGGATCAACCCTTGGGTAAGCAACAAGGAAACCATGAAGAATATTCATGTTGGGGATGGGCTGCATAACAAAATGGACATTTGGCAGAAAGAGAATGGGTCAGACGAGAATTCAGTTGAGAGGGGAGTATAAAGGGTGGGGGGGTTGAGAAAGTAGGTAAGAGAGACGATTGTTTTTGGGGTGGGAGGAAGCAGGACCCTCGAAGTTCCTGCATTTTTCTCGGATTTTTTCTTGTTGCATTTTTCTTATGTTTGTGAATCTGTACAGTCTCGGGACCAATATCTTGATGATATCGGTTTTATAGTTCATAAATAGATAATTTACACATAACACAGATTCAGTTTCAGATACCTATCATTAGGATCATATAACTAATTTTTCTGTTGTGAATTCGTTTGAGTTGGGTAACATTCATATGTGCAGTGATTCCGAGTTCCATGCATGTTATATTTGAATAGCTATCTAATGCATTTATCCACAGGGCTGTTGCCAAGTATCTGCAGACTGTGTTTGATAAGGAAGATCTACAAGGACGGCAGAACCTGCATCTTGACAATTTATTAGTTGGTAAAACACGGAAGGAAGCATCAAGGATGTTTTTTGAAACACTGGTATGTTATTGAGGATTATTTCAACTGACATATATACTGTCTAATTGTTTGATTTGACGTATCTTCATGTTTAGGATAATAATAGTTGAAATATTGTACGCCCTCTGTTTTACATGATAAGAAAAATAAATTTTATTAGAGAGAAGAGAATGAAAGTTGTAAAATTGGACCGAGGATAAGGTATCCTTTAAAATCACCCAAAACAGGAAGTGAGGAAAGTGAAGGAGAAAAACTAAGAATGCAGCAGGGCTACCCAGTCCTTTTACAAATCTGAGATTGAAATATCCTTAAAAAATAACTGAGCTGAACACGAGGGGCTGAGGACATTATCTAGTATGATATTGAATACGATTATATCGTCTGTATGTGACATTCATTTGTTCCCAATATAAAATAATGTTCTCCACTGATTGAGCTTTAGTTGTAGTTCTTAGATTGAATATGCTTTGGAGGGTCACAGCTTACTTTTATGGAGTGAGTTTTTGTAGTGCACTGACACCTTGTATGTGTTACTTAATATGCTTTGTTTGAATTCTTCAAAGCGTTCAGTTCTTCTGGTGTGCCTCCTTGGCAACTTTTGTATTGGTTCAAATTTAATTTCAACCATGTTTGCAGGTTCTCAAGACAAGGGATTATGTTCATGTTGAACAGACAAAACCCTTTGCCAATGTTAACATCAAACCTCGAATGAAGCTTATGAAGTCAGATTTCTGAACCTCATGTAGGAGTGACGGATATAGTTGTAAAGATCCAAGTGGTGGTAGTTTGGTTGAAATCTGCAGGGTTGGAATAATCCTTTCAACGTTTCTCCCCAATCTTAGTTATTGCTTTTCATTTATAATTTTTGAGGTAGGATTTAGCTATTTAGTTTTAGTTCTTGAAGGGCTTGGGGGGATTGAAGTGGCATGTGTATCATCTTATTGATTATTATGGGTCTTAATGTATATATTTTTGTAAAATATCACCATTTGTAACTTTAAAGGCGCTAATTTGTATGTTGTTTAACCACATCCCTCCAAGCAAGAATGATATTCTGCTTTCTTTAGGCATCAAGTTTCTGTAACTAAAAGCGCCTTGTAATTTAGCTGTCGTTGGAAGACAAGGATCATCATTTCTGTACCTATTTTATTTGTATAGTATCTAACCGTATTTATCCGTTTAAGAGTATGTACTTCTCTCTGTACTTGGTCCACTTTTAGGTTTCATCGTATTGCGTTGCCCTTAATTGTTAGGGACTATGCCTTGGCGCAAAATTCCTTTATTTCTTTTGTTATTTTTGATTTGTGGTTGGCAATTTCAAGTATAAGGGGTTTGCGCTCCCATCAAAGTTGACATATCTCCTATGATCCTAATAGTTATCGTTCTGCTATATTAATAAGCGGGGGGGAAAGGCTATCTAAACAGCAAATTTTGGTAAATAAGATTTATTTTATGAGATACAATATCTAAAACAGAATGTTTTATATTATATGATTTGGAGGGGGGTGGGGACTGGGGACCTTTGTGAAAGAGTTTATTCTTTAAAATTACGATGTAATCCCTAATTTGTATTTAAATATATTAACTAATGTATGTCTAAAATTATATTTCATGTATTTTATTTCTCATTTAACTAAAAGTTCTTTAATTATAAAGCTTCTCTCCAAAACATAGCTATAGTATACTAATTATCTCAAATCAAACTAATTAAGACTTTAATATTATTGGCCCAAAAAAAAACATGCATTCAAATTTGAAACATTGATTCTTTCTTTTTAGTACCCCCAAAAGATAAAGTTTTTATTTTTGACATTTTCACCTCTACGCTTAGAAGAATAATAAATTCACCGTAAGTAACACTTTAGGCACTTCTTATGGTACTTTCAGTATTTACTAAAATCAAAATGTTAAGATATATTTTTAACTCGCCTACGCAAAAGTGAAAATCATTTTAGCACAACTATGTTTACGAATCGGCAGTTACATTTAAAAATTGTAAATTAAAAAGTTCACAATAAACTAAAAAATGAATTGGGGAAGCTAAGAAACAAGTAATCAATCGAAAATAAATAAAAAATAAAAAATGCCAACACAAAAAGATGTTAAAAAAAGAAAAGAAAAAGAAAGAGAATAGGTCTTAGAAACTTACCGTTACAGCAAAGATGGCTTTTAATACTTTCCCCCCAACGGTCATATTCCAACATGAATGACAAAATATGACCGTTGTGCCTGGTGACCCCAGAATCTTACTATATTAACATCAAACCTAGCCAAATCAAAAACAACACAAGACAACCACTTCAGTTCACACATTCCATTGCTTCTTCTTCTTCTTCTTCATACATAGTTTCCAATTCCATACCATAAAGTTGCTTTCTTTTCCTTTCACAACCCAAATGGGTATCTCCATGAACAATGGGTCAGTGACTCCAAAACATTACCACATCCACAAGGTGTTCCTTTTCTGCAACTACATACTCTTGGGTGCAGCCTCTAGTTGCATCTTCCTCACCCTCTCTCTGCGCCTCTTACCTTCTCTGTGTGGCTTCTTCTTGATCCTTCTCCACGTCTTAACCATTGCAGGTGCTGTGGCAGGTTGTGCAGCTGTCTCAGGTGCTAACCGTTGGTATTCTGCTCACATGGTGGCCACAGTGCTCACTGCCATATTTCAGGGTTCAGTTTCGGTGCTGATATTCACAAGGACACAAGATTTTCTTGGGGAGTTGAAGTCTTATGTGAGAGAAGAGGATGCTTCTGTGATACTCAAGTTGGGTGGTGGACTCACTATTTTGATATTTTGCTTGGAGTGGGTGGTTTTGACACTTGCATTTTTCTTGAAGTATTATGCTTATGTTGAAGGTGGTAATAATGGAGTTGTTGCTATGAGGAGTGCTAAGGTGCAGCAAGAAGAGGATTTGAAGGATTGGCCATGGCCTTTTCAAGTTTAATTGCTTTTCAATCAAGAAACAACACTCTTTTTTCTGCTCATGCTTCTTTTTCAGTTACGAGTTCTCTGTTAGTCATATTCTTTGATTCGTTGGAGAATTTGATGTTATTTCTATCTCCTAATAGATGTGTGTTTGCCTTTTAATTACCATTTAAGGATGGCAGGTCAAAAGGGTATCCGTTTCATATTGTAATTAGTTGTTTGGGTGCTTTTTTTTTTTCTTTACTACTATCTTTGTCTTTGTTAGTGTACATCTAATATCTCCTTGTTGTCAATGAGAATTTATGAGAATTTCAGTTATTAAGTAACATTTTTTGGCCCATTTTATTTGGGAAAATATTTGAGTGATCATGGCCCATGTGCTCCTTCCATCAAGTAATACAAAAATTTTAAATAAGTTTCATAAATTTTATTGCAACATTTTTACACTTTTAACATTTAAAAAAATGTAAAGTGATGTTTATAACTATCGAAATTATGTGGAGATTTTAAAAAATCCTAAACCCTAAAACCTTAGATATAATTTTATAATTAATATATCTAAGTGAAAGCTTAATTAAATTGTAAAAATTTTAGAAACAAAAAAATTATAATGAAAATTTGAGAAATCATAAGAGACACGAGATACGAGACACCCTCCACCAATACCACCATAAAAGACACTGTCAAGCCTTTATACACGACCAAATCTGATTGTTTACACGATCAAATCTGATTGTTTTTTTTTCTTGTTTTTTCCACTCAAACTCTCTCTTCAATGGCTAAACCCTAAAACCTTAGATATAATTTTATAATTAATAAATCTAAGTGAAAGCTTAATTAAATTGTAATAAATTTAGAAGCAAAAAAATTATAATGAAAATTTGAGAAATCATAAGAGACACGAGATACGAGACACCCTCCACCAATACCACCATAAAAGACACTGTCAAGCCTTATACACGACCAAAGATCAAATCTGATTGTTTTCTTTTTTCTTGTTTTTTCCACTCAAACTCTCTCTTCAATGGCTGAACCCAGAAGCAAAAAAAAATAGAAGTCATTTGTGATTAAATTTTACATGAATAAAATCCCTAAATCCTAAACCCTAAAAGGCTTAGATATAATTTTATAATTAATAAATATCTAAGTGAGCTTAATTAAATTGTAAAAATTTAGGAAACAAAAAAATTACAATGAAAATTTGAGAAACATAAAAGACACGAGATATGAGACACCCTCCACCAATACCACCATAAAAGACACTGTCAACCTCAACAACAAAACTTACATTGTTTCCACGACCAAATCTGATTATTTTCTTTTTTCTTGTTTTTTCCATTCAAACTCTCTTTTCAATGGCTGAACCCTATAAGTCACTTGTGATTAAGCTTTACATGAATGGTGCAAAACGTTCAAGAACTGTAGAAGAAGAGTGCCAACAATTGGAGATCGCTCATTTTCGTTACAAGAAAATGAGAAACGGGGCTTACGAAATTTCTCCGCCATTGGGAATGAATAGAACGACTCAACACCCACCAACAAAACTATACATGATCAAAACTGATTGTTTTCTTTTTTCTTGTTTTTTCCACTCAAACTCTCTTCAATGGCTGAACCCCAGAAGTCACTTGTGATTAAGCTTTACATGAATGGTGCAAAACGTTCAAGAACTGTAGAAGAAGAGTGCCAACAAATAGAGATCGCTCATTTTCGTTACAAGAAAATGAGAAATGAAATTTCTCTGCCACTAGGAATGAATAGAACGACTGAACACCCACCAACAAAATCTTTCATCAAAGAAAAATCCAAAAGAAAATCCTAAACCCTAATCCCTAATGGCTGAACCCCAGAAGTCACTTGTGATTAAGCTTTACATGAATGGTGCAAAACGTTCAAGAACTGTAGAAGAAGAGTGCCAACAAATGGAGATCGCTGATTTTCGTTACAAGAAAATGAGAAATGAGGCTTCTGAAATTTCTCCGCCAATGGATATGAATAGAACGACAGAACACCCACCAACAAAATCATTCATCAAAGAAAACCCCAGAAGTCACTTGTGATTAAGCTTTACATGAATGGTGCAAAACGTTCAAGAACTGTAGAAGGAGAGTGCCAACAAATGGAGATCGCTCATTTTCGTTACAAGAAAATGAGAAACGAGGCTTATGAAATTTCTCTGCCATTGGGAATGAATAGAACGACTGAACACCCACCAACAAAATCTTTCATCAAAGAAAACTCCCGAAGTCACTTGTGATTAATCTTTACATGAATGGTGCAAAACGTTCAAGAACTGTAGAAGAAGAGTGCCAACAAATGGAGATCGCTCATTTTCGTTACAAGAAAATGAGAAACGAGGCTTACAAAATTTCTCCGCCATTGGGAATGAATAGAACGACTGAACACCCACCAACAAAACTATACAAGAACAAAACTAATTGTTTTCTTTTTTCTTGTTTTTCCACTCAAACTCTCTTCAATGGCTGAACCCCAAAAGTCACTTGTGATTAAGCTTTACATGAATGGTGCAAAACGTTCAAGAACTGTAGAAGAAGAGTGCCAACAAATAGAGATCGCTCATTTTCGTTACAAGAAAATGAGAAATGAAATTTCTCTGCCACTAGGAATGAATAGAACGACTGAACACCCACCAACAAAATCTTTCATCAAAGAAAAATCCAAAAGAAAATCCTAAACCCTAATCCCTAATGGCTGAACCCCAGAAGTCACTTGTGATTAAGCTTTACATGAATGGTGCAAAACGTTCAAGAACTGTAGAAGAAGAGTGCCAACAAATGGAGATCGCTGATTTTCGTTACAAGAAAATGAGAAATGAGGCTTCTGAAATTTCTCCGCCAATGGATATGAATAGAACGACAGAACACCCACCAACAAAATCATTCATCAAAGAAAACCCCAGAAGTCACTTGTGATTAAGCTTTACATGAATGGTGCAAAACGTTCAAGAACTGTAGAAGGAGAGTGCCAACAAATGGAGATCGCTCATTTTCGTTACAAGAAAATGAGAAACGAGGCTTATGAAATTTCTCTGCCATTGGGAATGAATAGAACGACTGAACACCCACCAACAAAATCTTTCATCAAAGAAAACTCCCGAAGTCACTTGTGATTAATATTTACATGAATGGTGCAAAACGTTCAAGAACTGTAGAAGAAGAGTGCCAACAAATGGAGATCGCTCATTTTCGTTACAAGAAAATGAGAAACGAGGCTTACAAAATTTCTCCGCCATTGGGAATGAATAGAACGACTGAACACCCACCAACAAAACTATACAAGACCAAAACTAATTGTTTTCTTTTTTCTTGTTTTTCCACTCAAACTCTCTTCAATGGCTGAACCCCAAAAGTCACTTGTGATTAAGCTTTACATGAATGGTGCAAAACGTTCAAGAACTGTAGAAGAAGAGTGCCAACAAATGGAGATCGCTCATTTTCGTTACAAGAAAATGAGAAATGAAATTTCTCTGCCACTAGGAATGAATAGAACGACTGAACACCCACCAACAAAATCTTTCATCAAAGAAAAATCCAAAAGAAAATCCTAAACCCTAATCCCTAATGGCTGAACCCCATAAGTCACTTGTGATTAAGCTTTACATGAATGGTGCAAAACGTTCAAGAACTGTAGAAGAAGAGTGCCAACAAATGGAGATCGCTGATTTTCGTTACAAGAAAATGAGAAATGAGGCTTCTGAAATTTCTCCGCCAATGGATATGAATAGAACGACAGAACACCCACCAACAAAATCATTCATCAAAGAAAACCCCAGAAGTCACTTGTGATTAAGCTTTACATGAATGGTGCAAAACGTTCAAGAACTGTAGAAGGAGAGTGCCAACAAATGGAGATCGCTCATTTTCGTTACAAGAAAATGAGAAACGAGGCTTATGAAATTTCTCTGCCATTGGGAATGAATAGAACGACTGAACACCCACCAACAAAATCTTTCATCAAAGAAAACTCCCGAAGTCACTTGTGATTAATCTTTACATGAATGGTGCAAAACGTTCAAGAACTGTAGAAGAAGAGTGCCAACAAATGGAGATCGCTCATTTTCGTTACAAGAAAATGAGAAACGAGGCTTACAAAATTTCTCCGCCATTGGGAATGAATAGAACGACTGAACACCCACCAACAAAACTATACAAGACCAAAACTAATTGTTTTCTTTTTTCTTGTTTTTCCACTCAAACTCTCTTCAATGGCTGAACCCCAAAAGTCACTTGTGATTAAGCTTTACATGAATGGTGCAAAACGTTCAAGAACTGTAGAAGAAGAGTGCCAACAAATGGAGATCGCTCATTTTCGTTACAAGAAAATGAGAAATGAAATTTCTCTGCCACTAGGAATGAATAGAACGACTGAACACCCACCAACAAAATCTTTCATCAAAGAAAAATCCAAAAGAAAATCCTAAACCCTAATCCCTAATGGCTGAACCCCAGAAGTCACTTGTGATTAAGCTTTACATGAATGGTGCAAAACGTAGAACTGTAGAAGAAGAGTGCCAACAAATGGAGATCGCTGATTTTCGTTACAAGAAAATGAGAAATGAGGCTTCTGAAATTTCTCCGCCAATGGATATGAATAGAACGACAGAACACCCACCAACAAAATCATTCATCAAAGAAAACCCCAGAAGTCACTTGTGATTAAGCTTTACATGAATGGTGCAAAACGTTCAAGAACTGTAGAAGGAGAGTGCCAACAAATGGAGATCGCTCATTTTCGTTACAAGAAAATGAGAAACGAGGCTTATGAAATTTCTCTGCCATTGGGAATGAATAGAACGACTGAACACCCACCAACAAAATCTTTCATCAAAGAAAACTCTCGAAGTCACTTGTGATTAATCTTTACATGAATGGTGCAAAACGATCAAGAACTGTAGAAGAAGAGTGCCAACAAATGGAGATCGCTGATTTTCGTTACAAGAAAATAAGAAACGAGGCTTCTGAAATTTCTCCGCCAATAGAAATGAATAAAACGACTGAACACCAACCAACAAAATCTTTCATCAAAGTAAACCCCAGAAGTCACTTGTGATTAAGCTTTACATGAATGGTGCAAAACGTTCAAGAACTGTAGAAGAAGAGTGCCAACAATTGGAGATCGCTCATTTTCGTTACAAGAAAATGAGAAACGAGGCTTACGAAATTTCTCCGCCATTGGGAATGAATAGAACGACTGAACACCCACCAACAAAACTTTACATGACCAAAACTGATTGTTTTCTTTTTTTCTTGTTTTTTCCACTCAAACTCTCTTCAATGGCTGAACCCCAGAAGTTACTTGTGATTAAGCTTTACATGAATGGTGCAAAACGTTCAAGAACTGTAGAAGAAGAGTGCCAACAAATGGAGATCGCTGATTTTCGTTACAAGAAAATTAGAAACGAGGCTTATGAAATTTCTCCGCCATTGGGAATGAATAGAACGACTGAACACCCACCAACAAAATCTTTCATCAAAGAAAACCCTAGAAGTCACTTGTGATTAAGCTTTACACGAATGGTGCAAAACGTTCAAGAACTATAGAAGAAGAGTGCCAACAAATGGAGATCACTGATTTTCGTTACAAGAAAATGAGAAACGAGGCTTATGAAATTTCTCCGCCATTGGGAATGAATAGAACGACTGAACACCCACCAACAAATCTATACATGACCAAAATTGATTGTTTTCTTTTTTCTTATTTTTCCACTCAAACTCTCTTTAATGGCTAAACCCCAGAAGTCACTTGTGATTAAGCTTTACATGAATGGTGCAAAACGTTCAAGAACTGTAGAAGAAGAGTGCCAACAAATGGAGATCGCTAATTTTCGTTACAAGAAAATGAAAAAACGAGGCTTCTGAAATTTCTCCGCCCATGGAAATGAATAGAACGACTGAACACCCACCAACAAAATCTCTCATCAAAGAAAACCCCAGAAGTCACTTGTGATTAAGCTTTACATGAATGGTGCAAAACGTTCAAGAACTGTAGAAGAAGAGTGCCAACAAATGGAGATCGCTCATGTTCGTTACAAGAAAATGAGAAACGAGGCTTACGAAATTTCTCCGCCATTGGGAATGAATAGAACGAATGAACACCCACCAACAAAACTATACAAGACCAAAACTGATTGTTTTCTTTTTTCTTGTTTTCTCCACTCAAACTCTCTTCAATGGCTGAACCCCAGAAGTCACTTGTGATTAAGCTTTACATGAATTGTGCAAAACGTTCAAGAACTGTAGAAGAAGAGTGGCAACAAATGGAGATCGCTGATTTTCGTTACAAGAAAATGAGAAATGAAATTTCTCCGCCACTAGGAATGAATAGAACGACTGAACACCCACCAACAAAATCTTTCATCAAAGAAAACTCCAGAAGAAAATCCTAAACCTAATCCCTAATGGCTGAACCCCAGAAGTCACTTGTGATTAAGCTTTACATGAATGGTGCAAAACGTTCAAGAACTGTAGAAGAAGAGTGCCAACAAATGGATATCGCAGATTTTCGTTACAAGAAAATGAGAAACGAGGCTTCTGAAATTTCTCCGCGAATGGAAATGAATAGAACGACTGAACACCCACCGACAAAATCTTTCATCGAAGAAAACCCCAGAAGTCACTTGTGATTAAGCTTTACATGAATGGTGCAAAATGTTCAAGAACTGTAGAAGAAGAGTGCCAACAAATGGAGATCACCCATTTTCATTACAAGAAAATGAGAAACGAGACTTATGAAATTTCTCCGCGATTGGGAATGAATAGAACGACTGAACACCCCACCAACAAAACTATACATGACCAAAACTCATTGTTTTCTTTTTTCTTGTTTTTTCCACTCAAACTCTCTTCAATGGCTGAACCCCAGAAGTCACTTGTGATTAAGATTTACATGAATGGTGCAAAACGTTCAAGAACTGTAGAGCTGATTTTCGTTACAAGAAAATGAGAAACGAGGCTTCTGAAATTTCTCTCTGTCACTGGGAATGAATAGAACGCCTAAACACTCACCAACAAAATCTTTCATCAAAGAAAACTCCACAATATTGTGAAGAACTGCATCCCAAGTTTGTGAGTTGAAGAAGGAAGGTACAGAGAGCAAGAATGAGAAGAAACAAAGGGCAGATAACATGGACAGAAACAAAAAGATGGAGTGTTGGGGATGGTGTCCAAAGACGACAATGGCCGTAATGGGAATCATAAGCCGGATGATCAAACTCGGGTTACAGAGGTTGAAAACCAAGGAGGATCCAACCCTGGAACTACATTGGGTCAATGCCCCATGTGCTTCCATCAAGAGATTGACACTTGTATAAAAAAAAAAAATTCTCTCTTCTTTCTCTTCTATCCCAATTAGTTGTTTGTGCAAAAATGAGTTTTATATGATAGTAAATTAAAATTAAATCCAAAGTATATTTTTTTATATAACAAAAATGCCATTCAAAAAAGAAAATCAAAAGAATTGTTTGTGCTTTCCATTTGGATAAGTAAATTAAAATTAAATCCAAAGTATTGTTTTATATATAACAAAAATGCCATTCGAAAAAGAAAACCAAATTAATTGTTGTGCTTTCCATTTGGATAAAGATTTGTTTTTTACTATGAAATTAAATGTGTTTATTGTCATTTGTACTCGTTCGATTGGACATTCATTGCTCAGACATGGATTAATATGAAATATAAGTTTAAGTAAATGAGTTTTATATGACAGTAAATTAAAATTAAATACATAAAGTGTTTTTATGTATTAAAAAAAAAAGGCCATTCGAAAAAGAAAATCAAAAGAATTTTCCTATTTTCTTCTTACTTCTTAAAAACTTTTTGGGAATACATCTGGAGCTTTCACGGAAAGAAAATCTGAAACTGTGTATGGAGTTTTTGGTCACACTGAGAGTACAAGAGTTTTGCAGCCACCATTTTGTGCAAACAAAATATCAGTGTCTATCTAATCTGTCCCAAACATAATTTACTTTTCTGATTGATCAATCAACCTTAAAAAACCAATATGAAACATAAATTAAAATAAACACCAAGTAAAATTGTGAACAAGTTTTATATCAACAGCAATTTAAAATTAAAATAACATAAAAACCATTTGAAAAAGAAAATGAAAAGAATTTTATTTTATTTTAATTATACTTCTTAAAGTAAAATAATTAAGAAAAACTTGTACAAACATTATCCTCAGCCCACCATTTACTTCTTAGATATACTATTTGGGGATAATCTCATAAAGTGTGTAGTCATACAGGTGCAGCTTTCAGGGAAAGAAAATCTGAAATTTTGTTGGTATAGAAGTCTGGTTGTATGGCGTTGTTAGGACTCTGAAGCATGGCCAGTGTGGTGACCCCTGAGAGGACAAGAAGGGTTTTGCAGCCACCATTTTGTCCAAACAAAATATCAGTGTCTAATCTGTCCCCAACCATACATATCTGTGACTTCGAAATGCCAAATCTGTTACAATAAAATTACAACAGAGTCAAGGGTCTTGAGCAAATTTTTTTTTTTTTTTTATGAGAAACATTAAACTCATTTGAGAAGAAAAAAGAGAAGAAGAAAACATGGACCCACGTCCTTTTGTGTGTGTGTAGGAGATAAATAAAATTAAACCCTTTATTTATACTGTAAAATTATGCATCTTATTTATATGTGTGCCTCTGGGTATAATATAGACATGCATAATAATGTTACATGCAAAATAACTATATGGGGACAAGGACACTTTGTCAAATAGTTTGATTTTTTTTTGGTAAACAAATAGTTAGATTTTTATTATGCAACATGTCTTCTCATAGGAAAACCATGTAAAAACTAACCAAACAACAATATGCCATTCACTTAAGAATATGAAATAAGGCAATAGAAAAACTTCACTTGTTTGCCAAGTAGTCCATCATAAAAGTAGAGGGTTTTCCAACGACTAGTGGTTCACGTTGAGTAGATCCACTGATAGCACTAACCATGGAGCCCCCACCTGAAATTAAAGTGCAACAAAGTATAGCATATTTGAATATTTGAATACAAATTTAAGAATGATTAGCTATGGGGATAATAACAAGCAACTGCAATATCATATTCCACCACGTAATTGATTGTGTTGAATATAATTATAGTAGAGTTTGTAATATAGCCTGCTTGGAACCACCTATTTGGCTATTTTGTTAATGCAATCTAACTTTCTAATTGTAGTATGATAATGAAAATTTGAAAAACTCACTTGATTATTATTATTATGTACAATGTCATAAATCAATAGTAAGAGGGAAGAAGGACAAACCTGCCCATTCTTGAGCGTCTGTGAGATGAGTGACAGCATCTCGATTTGTAGCAATGAAAAGACATCCAGGGTTTTCACGTATACAAAGTGTTCCATACCTATCAACAAGGAGTAAAAAGTGGTATTTAATAAATTATACAGAATTTCTATTCACCTTATCAGAATTTTGAAATAGAACTTTCACACTTGCTAAAATACATCATGTAGTTTTGTAAAATATTTCATGCTGATATAACCCAGAATTGGTTCACAAAGGGGAAAAAAGTCATCTTCTGCATGTACAACTACAAATCTAAAAAAACATATCTTTTGCATGGAATTTGAATCCACTTACTGCAACACTTTATTTGGGGGGAAAAGTGTTACATGTTTTTTTTTCAACCACGACTTCTTAATTTTTCAATCACAAGGTGTCGGTGTTTGAAATCTTACTGGACTTTATAGTAGTTGAAGTAGCGATCAAACCCAACAACAACCGCTCCAACCTAATAATAAACACTCTTTTGATATGAACTACAAATAATATTAAATAAAAAATCGGCAATTATCAAGAAAGGCATAAGTACATACATTTTTATCATGCTCCATCAAATACCCTGGCTTCAGCTCTATCTTTTTCCCACCGTCTTCCTAAAGAACAATGCACACAAAGAAGAGCAAGAGAGAATCATACATAATATATAATTCCATACTAAAAGAAATATTTAATATATGCATTCCATATGAAATTATGTTTAATCAACAAAACCTCAACGCAATTAGGTCGCCCTTGTTCATTAGAACAAGAAATGTTTGAGCGACAAGAAGATTTCACCTAATCGATGACACAAGCAACCCTGAACTAAATTTGGCTTTCAAGTAATGTCTCTCATTCTTAGGAAATGTCTTCTCTGACATGCATAGATAAATGTCCTCTGACTCCTTTCATGCCTGTCAATGATCAGCTCTCCCAAGAGCTTATGCTATTAGGTGAAAGCTCATGAATGGTTTTATATCTAACAATGTCATTCTTTCATATTATGATATGAAGCAAAGTGAATCTGTCTGGATCATTTTCTCTACATTTAATTATTATTTTAGGATTATATTTCTTATTAGCTTCTCCTTCACCCTTGGAAACACCTACAAGTATGATATACATCTTGTTGTACACTAGTTTTTCTTAGGTAAATGATGTACACTAGTTTTTGTTAGACTTTTAACTACCTTGCTTCTGCTTCTATTAATCTGAAACCCATTCACCCATGCAACAGATGATGGAGACTATTTTATGCCATGCATTATCACCCAAACCCAGTCTAAAAGAGCAGATTTAAAAGCATATAAAAGATTTAAAAAAACATATGGTAAGAGCAAAGTAATCAGATTTAAAAGCATATAACAGAGTCGGCAGTAAAACTTTTGCATATTGGAACTCAATACATACTGGCCCACCAAGGTACTGATATCCAGCAAGCTCAAGCTCCTTCAAGATGCCATCTTCTCCAATTACATAAACCTAAATCATGCTCATATATCAGTCCTTCACTTTCAATTTCATACACTGGTTTTAGTAATAGTTAAGATAGTGAAAGATATTGCATTCAAGCGTAACATAAATAAAAAGAAGATAATTTTGTATAGTATTGCTCGAGAAATAAAGTTTACATAAACCAAGCAAGCATTAAGTTCAGCAATGCAATTACTATAAGAGTTTGCAAATGAATATGGCCAGCTTTACTTATCCCTTGGTTGGCCCTAAAATCACTTAAATTCCAAGCTTCAAAATGTGTCATATAATTTATCTTAGGCCATATGGTATTCTAATTAGCAGTAGGTGCCTCTCCATTACTACAGAAACAACCAAGCCTGGTCCCACTAGGTGTCTCAACTACATGGATCAATCAATGCCGCTGCCAACTAGGCTCTATCAAAAACCAAATTTTCAACAAATACATTTTGAGCAAGGCCTCTTTTAATGGTTTCTTCTAAAGCTTTCTTGGTTCTTCCTCTACCCCTTTTAAACCTATAGGAAAATCTTTTGTTAGACCTCCATACTAATGATTACTAGGAGCCTCATCATACATATCCTTTATAGATCAAATATACTTTAACACGAACTCCTTTGCCCCACCATTATACCAAACAAAACAACAACAAAAAATGGTGCTTCTTACTGGTGCAGCTTTACAGAAGGCATATGAGTAAAGGACACACTTCGCATTTCAGGAATTAAGTGATTTCAAATTCTAATATTTGAATATTCTATCAACAGAAGTAACAAACAGGGAACTTTATACTGGCAGAAAAAACCACAGGGCTGAAACGACACATTCTAAGAGCCCGACTTAAATTATTTTGGGCTTAATTATAAAGGGTAGAGTGAATTTATTTACAAATGTAAAGAGAAAATGCCAAACAGAATTATGGCAAAAAAATTTAAAGAAAGGGGGAAAAGGTCCAATGCAGAAAATGGTTTGCTAGAGGATGCAAAGCATCCCCCTCTACTAGTCAACTACATCAATATAAACTACTTTGTAAATCATCTTTTAAATGAATATATATTGTAATGATATCATGGCTAGTATCGATAAATTAAGGTAGCAAGTATTAAACAGATCAAAACTAAAATGTAAAATTTTTGGACTTCTAAATTTTAGGAGAATTACACTGACCTTCCCTAAAGTTAGCATATATTACACTGACACCTGTCTTGTTCGGGAAATTGCACTGGCATCCGTTACTTTATGTATTGTTCTTAGACCCTGATACCCTTCTTTGTCTAATGAATTGCACATACCCCCCTACTTTATGTACGAACCCTATACAAAGTCCTCTTGAAAATAAAAAGCAAGGGAGGTAGATGAAATTTCCCAAACAAAAAGGGTGTCAATGAAATAATCACTGAATTCAAGGGAGCTCAGTGAAATTACCCCTAAATTTTAACTGGTGCTCCATCATAGGTTAGAAAAGTTCCAGGCTTGGGGATTCAATGCTTAATATTAGTTTCAATCATACTGATAGGCAAAAGATGCTACATGTTACCTTTTTATCTTTTGGGAAATCAATGGACTTCAAATATGCAGCAGTTGCAAAAGATGATGCAAAAATCTCCTCCTGAAATAACTCAATAGTTAAAGATCATGATTATTAATTAAACAATTTCTGTGCAAACATAGGAAGTGAAGAACAACAAATGTGGACTAACCTCGCTGACATCCAGGCCAAGTGTCTCAAACTTCTTTCCATATTGCTTCCTAGACTTTGTAGAGTTGTTGGTGACAAAAACTAATCTTTTGCCCTAAAACAGTTTTTCAATAGACCCGAATCTCAGTTTGTAGATAAGGAACAATAATAAATTGAAAAACAGTTAATATTCACACTTGTTGGTAAATGCCTAGTGTTTCAGTAGTACACAAACCTTTGACCGAAGCATGTCAAGTGTTTGAGGCACTCCTTCTATTAAGCTGTCACCCTTCCATATAACTCCTGCAAATTAAATTTTAATGGAAAAGGAAACTCTAATAAGAAGGTATATTAAAGAAACCAAGGGTATAAATTAAGAAAAATAGAATAACAAGCAAGAGAGAGTGAACACTTGGAGAGGATCAAGCCTCCAAAGCCTTGAGCTTATAAGTATCATATGATAAGAACCCCAAGACCATAACATCTGTGAGGGACCAAACTGAATGTACATCTAAGGCAATAAAACATTGTTTTACAAAAGAAAGAAAGAAAACACATGTAGTTAAGTTCATGCGATTTCCATCAAATGTGAAATATTCCCGTTTTGCCACCTCCTGGAAGTTTTCACAAAGTGGAAGCAAAGCAATGATTATAACACTAACCTTAAAATGATCCATAATTAGAATTCAAAAAATGAAAAAAAAAAAAAAAAAAAAATGCTTTTAGATCCTAGCAAAATTAACAGGATGTACCTATCATCTAATAATGTTACTAACACAGACATTCCTTCTCATAGAACTTACAACAAAATTTTAATCATCCCCATTTATTAAATCAATACAACTTTGACTTTGAACAAGTTTCTATAGAAAAAAAAAAAAAAACTCATTTGTAAAATCACTAAAATGAAATAAGATATACTTTATTTTAGAGATTCCTAGAAGAATAACTCAAATTTTCATGGGAGGGGAAGTGAGAATCAGATTAACATACCATCACAATCGAAGATAAACGTCTCAACAGAATCAATGAGCTCATCGGCATTCTTGAGTGGCTGCGCCAATGCACGAGTTGTGAAGGTTCCCATTCCAGAACGATTAGAATTAGATTTTGCCTTTCTTTTCCACGTGATAATAGCAGAGTTTGATAATAATGAAGGGTTATTACGGGAAGGGTAAGAGAATCTAAAATTTCTAGGAATTGAATGGAACCATGACATATGATTATAACAAACACCAGTAACACTCTGAACTATAGTGCTGCTCCTAAGCATCTTTATATTTTTTGCTTTTTTCTTTTTTATTCTTGTGGTGCTGTGTGTTGGTGACACCCAACTAACAAAGCCAAGTATAACTAAGATTTAGCAGGAGCCGCACGTTTGAGTGGACGAGGAACATGCCTTTTTGGATCATAATCTCATGCCCAACCTGAATTTTGTTATTTTGTATGGATGCAAATTTGTAGAGGTGGTAAAACGAGTCCGTCCCGTCCTGTCGCCCACCTGTCAACAGTGGGTTGGTCTATTCTGTTCTGTATTTTGATATGGGTTGAAAATCGCAATCCACTCTATTTTGTGATGGATTGGCGGGTCAACCCGTCTAAAAAATAAAATAAAAATTAAAAATAAATTATATTTTATTAATTTTATAATACTTCTTAATTTCATTTCACAATCCTTTAACTTTTTTTCAATCTCAAACCTAAATGTATAATATTATTCAGTCAAATACTTTTATGAACTTATTTTTGCCTCAATATATGAATAACCTTTGTAATAAATAAAAAATTTCTTCTTTATTTTTTTTTTGGGGAGTACTAAGACAAAAAAAAAAAATTCATATCACAAAAGCTCAAGAACAAATAAAATACTACCAATTAGTAAAAAAAAAAAAGATGACCTGCGAGCCAACCTGCCCCAACCCACTGCAACCCATTTTGACCCACAACTAAGCGGGGCGGGTTGAGGTGGGTTGGTGGGATGGAAAGTATAACCCAACCCGCCCTGTTTAGGCGGGTTGGCATGTTGACCCGTCGGGTTCAACCCAAATTGTCACCTTTACAAATTTCACATTAACTTCTATATGAAAAATGAGTTTAGTGTTTGTCATCTTAAATGATATAAGTTATGTCATTTTAGGAGAGAGATAGACACAGAAAAAATGAAAAACATGGGAGAGAGAAAGTGTGTGGTTTTTTTTTTAATTTAAAATTTAAATATTTTTTTGTGTGTGTCTGTCTCTTCCTTAAAAAGGCAGAGTGTTATGTCATTTAAAATGACAAACATTTTTCCTATGAAAAATTTGTGTGTTTATGGATAAAAAAAATTGGGTTGTTTTTTTCTTCGGCAGTCACTATAGATAAATTGTCTACGTTTCAAAATCACGTCATTTTGAGGTAAAAATTAAGGTATTTTTATAAGGCTTTAATGTTTCTACAGTGAATGTAGATAAGTTATCTACATTCGCTCCCAAAACGACGTCGTTTTGGGTTTAAAAGTTTTAAAAATATAATGAAAAAGACTATCATAAAGCTGAAATAAATTATAATTACAAAAATATCTTGATTTTTGCCTCAAAACTACGTCATTTTGGGCTTAATGTAGATGAATTATGTACATTTACTGTAGAAAAAACGAACCCTTTTTATAAGTATAATTTATTCCAGGGTTATAGTAGTCTTTCTAATTATAATTTTTTAATTTTTCAACCCAAAACTATGTCGTTTTAGGAGAGATATAGATAATTTATCTACATTGTAGAAACATTAAAGCCAAAAAATTTATGGATTAATATTTCTCATGTTTTATGAGATAAATTTTATCTCTTATACATATAAAGGGCATGGGACTCATATGAAAAGAAGCAAGAGAAAGAGAAAATATGGATATCATATAATGTGTATAGAAAGTAAATTTATTTCCTATAACATAAAAAACAATAAACCCAAATTTTTAATAGGTCGCACTAATTTAATATTATGAGAGGTTATATTTACAATCTATTCTTTCTTACAATTATTTTTATAGTTGATGGATCAAAATTAAATTAATGGTTATAAATCATTGATTTGATTTAATAATCATAAAATTATTATTAGAGGTTACAAGAGAAAAGAGGTGATAAATATAATCACCCTCCTTAATATCTACAAAAATAAGGAATATGTGATTCTGCCTACTCTTATTTTGCCTATCTTCGCTTACCTCTCTCAACATCATTAGATTACAATCTCCACTGTTAGATGATATTGTAATCTAATGATATTGACAAAGAGATAGACACAGATAGATAAAATAAGAGTAGACAGAATAATCTATCTCATAAAAAAATAGACAAGGTATCATATAACTAACAAGCTTGTTCATCGCTGGCGAATAGAAAGAAATATTCCTCGGGATATATCCTCATTTAAGTGTAAAATAATAAAATGACGATATTATGTAAATGACTTTTGTGCATGAGAATTTTTATATGTATTTTGTATAAGGTTTTATTAGTGTTATGTTACATGATTTAAGTGTTGTTTCCAACACACACAAACAAATGGAGAGAGAAAGTGGAATGATGAAAGAGAAAGAAAAATATGTGGACCTTATCTCTTTAATGTGTGTGTAAGAAAGTGATATTATATCATGTTACATGATATTTTGTATAACAGAAAAAGACTTCGAGAAACACTGATAATGTAATTTTTTTATCTCTTATTTTTTATTGCAAGGGACCAAATTTTCGACAACAATGTGAAAAAAAGGTCGTCATACGTATCATGAGAGAAAATATGTGCTTCATGATGAATCATTACGGGCACAAGATCAGCTTTGTTCAATTTCCTCAAAGGTTTGAAAGTTGACTATAACCCCTTCTAATAGCTATGGCAATCATTAACGTATTCTTTAATGTAATCACTAAGTTTATCTTGAATATGATGAGGCTCTAAACTTATGTTACAAGATTCTATCTGGACTTTGTAATTTGAATTCATTCAGGTTTTTATTGCTTTACATGAAGGGTTATATTTATGTTATGTTATAGGAAAATGGTTATATCATATTATAGAAATAAAATTACAGATGAGACCCGTATATAATAGCAGAGAAAAAAAATAGATGTGGGATCCACTTTTATTCTGTGTGTGTAAAAAATTTATTTATCTTATGCAATATAAGATAAATATAACCCTTATATGAATAATATGGTTTTGTTTTTTCATTTCTTCTCTCAATATCAATGCTTGTAATTGATTGATCGCTAAATATACTTATCTTGAAGCCTTTATAATATATTTGTTGCAACTCGAGTGTTTTACTATAATTACGGATAATATATATGAAAAAATATTTTTTCATGTTACATGAGAATTCAATTATCATGTTGTGACTCTTCGATTTGCGTGCAAACTTTTTTTTCTCTTTTTAATAAATGTGGAACCCACCACTAGTTGAGTGACAACATGAGAATTCAATTTTCATGCAACATGATAAAATCAAATCCCAATATATATATGACTAAAAAGCTTCTCTTGTCGCTGCAAGAATCATATTCTTCTGCCACTCTCATGTTAAAAAACAGGCCGCTTCTTTTTTTTTCTTTTAAAAAATGGCGAGCCTAGTTTTTTTGAGTCAGCTGCAAAAAAATCCTTGCTACCGTCGCCGAAGAAGTATAAAGCCCCACGTATATTAAGAAATTTTACTTCTCGTCTTAATCATTGCTTTCTATCCTTTTAACAAGTATAACTTGTTGAGTTAAATTTATTAGTTAATTATTAATTCAAATAACGGATAAAAATTAATGGTTAAAACGAATAATAAGGTTTCTTAATTTTATATTTGAGTCAAAAGATCCTGCCTATGTAGATATATGTAGAACAAAATTTTCTTACATCAATATAAGACTAAGAAGTGTTATACTTAATTATAGTTATTGATCAATTATAATTAACGTCTTCATAATTAAAAATTAGAGTCATTAAATACAAATGAAATCAACGACAAAAATTAAAGGTGTAACTTATATCGATGTAACTTATACCAATATAAAATAATCCTGCAAAATATATATATTAGCCCCGCATAATTGTTAATTAGGTTTCTCTTACCTAAATATAAAGTTATAAACGTTTGAGTGTTTTTGACTAGCAAAAAAAATTCTTTAATAATTTATAAGAAAGAATTGTGTGAATTCCTATAGATAATGAACTTAATGCTAATTTATTACTATTCTTTAATATTTTACTTAGTACTTTTAAAAAAAATTATTTATTTATTTTCCCCGTTTCATTTATCATTTTTTCTTCCATTATTTGTTAATCTTAATTATTCTTAATTAATATATACGTTTATGGAAAGTGAATGGTTGAACTTTTGGAACTGGAGCCAAAACCCGGAACACTTGGCGCCAAAATCTAAATCTCACTTTCTTATTTTTTTTTTTATATTGACAAAATTCGTCGTTTCATTTCATTTTGGAGTCAAAAGCACACACCAGAGGAATTAGGGTTCATAGATTCTGTTATTTTCAACACAAATTCTCAGATCTAGGGTTCCGATCTGTGTTTTTTCAAGTCGCGCGTATGTTCTGAGGGAGGTGGAAATGGCAGATACCACAATAATCGACGTTGATGTTCCTCCTGAAGATCCAAAAAATAATCGTGCCAAAAACCGAAAGCAGAAGAAGGTTTCGCCGTTGCTTCAAAATCTGAAGAGCGCGGAAGAGAAACAAGCGCACATCGAAGGCCTCGAGAAGGAGCTAGTGGAATTGTTCGGATACTACAAGGAAATGATGGATCAGAAAGTGAGCATTGAGCTTAGCCAGTGCGGTGGCTCGAGGAACGCGGTGGTTGCGGCGCTGATGGAGGAAAGCGACCTTCCGTTGTCGAGGCTCGTCGACGAGATTCACGATGATTTGAACAAAGAGGTAGCGAATGGGACGGTCGTGTTGGCGGAGCCTGTGACGCATGCGTTGGTGAAGAGTAGCGTGCTGATTGTAGGGCAGAGGATGATGTACGGCGTGCCCAATGCTGATGCTGATATGTTGGAGGACCATTCTGAATCCTGTCTTTGGTGTTGGGAGGTTGATTATGCTTCTTTCATTATTTGCAATCGTGTTCATAAACCTTCGAGTTGATTTGTTTACTACTTATGAAGCTTTTTTCATGGTTACATTGATTGACTTGCTATATTGTTAATGCAGACAAGGGATGTGAAATTGATCCCGAAATCTGTTCGAGGACTGTTGGTTGTTCGACGCACTTGCCGGAGAAGGATCAATGAGAGGATTATGGCTGTCTCTGGTATTTTGTTTCCTTGCTCATAATAGGCTAGTTTTTGGTTATCCAGCCACCGTACTTGGAATTTTATTAATTAATTTAGTTTGGTTCACTTTCGTTGTCCTAATTTTGCAAGAAATGAGATGTGCATTTTATGTAATTTTTTGTGTCCTTAAAAAGACTTAATGTTGAAATTCGGAATTTCTGATTTTAATTTGACATTCAATTCCTTTGTAAGAAGGGCTATATAGCGGATAATTATACCAAGAACTGCCCTTAATTGATATTTATAGCATTGTTTCCTTATGTTTGGTCTTTTCTATGAATTTTTTATTTTGACTAAAGTTTAGAGAAAGGGTAGTTTGCTTGTTTACCGAGTATTTTATTAAATTTGGATTGTTTTACAGAAATGATAGAATCACTGAAGAAGCTAGAGAGTGAACTGAACTACGATCGTAGCTTAATAAAGGCATCAGCAAAGCTCAGTAAAGCTTTTACCGAGGCAGATATCCGCTTGTTAGTGGATGGCTTGTTACAGAAAAACAGTGAAAACATGTACATAACCACAGTATTCCTGACTTTTCATTGTTGTTTCAAATATATAAATCTGCTTAGTTTGATTTATCTAAATTATAATTTTAGGGATAAGAAAAAATCGAACCACGAAGAAAGATTGCTAATTAAACAATTGGAGAAAAATAGAAGAGAAGCCGAGAAAGAGAAAGAAGGCAAGCACAATGAATTGCGAGAAGAAACACTGCTCAATGTAAGTGCTGTTTTGATTGATCCTGTAATGTGTTGTTTATAGCTGAAGTTGCTTCTTCCTTGATGTTGCTCTGATTGGCAGAGGCCTTTTGCAATCATATTTTATCTGTATTACCAAGATGTCGAAGATAATAAATAGAGACTGTAAAAACAAAAAAGCAAATAAGTATTTGCAGGAGGTTTAAGTAGGATGGGCAGCTAGCTCGCGCAGTATTGTGTTGGTTGGTCTGTTGCATTTGATAATATTTCTTATAAACGCAAGTCATTAATAGATTTATTCTTAATTTCTGACTTCTAATCATCTAATGAAAATGATTTATCTCTTGACAATTAAGGACTGTCCTTTTCTCCAGGAATCAGATTTGAAATTGTTGCAAGGTGAGGCAAGAAATGATGAGAAATATTGTGAAAAGAGAAAACAACAAAAGAAGCAGGTAGAGGAAGTAGAAAAGAATCAGCGGCGCCGCGAGAAAGAAGAAGCTGAATTAAAAAAGAAACGTGGTTTACAAAAGCAAGCCTCGATCATGGAGCGTTTTCTTAAAAGAAGTAAAATCAATCCCTCGTGTCAGAATGACAACATTTCAACTAAATCAACTGCATCTGATTCATCAAGCTGCAAGAGTGAAGTTGTGTCTGAGTCAGTTACTCATTCAATGGATTATACTCTTGCATCAAGTAGTGATGTTACACTTGAGGATATTCGCAAGTAAGTTCCACTTACTTTTTACCTTTCAGTTTGATCATATATTAGCCCTGCTGTTGACAGATCTTAGGGTAAATGTCTGATTTTACAGGTTACACTTTTCTTCGTGGCGCTATTTAGGACAATCTATTCGCTCAAACAAAAACCAGAGATGGGGCTTACGTCAGAATCCTAGGACCCAGCTTGTTAAGGAACTTAAGCTGACAGCTACTAAAGCAGCAGTTCATGATGATGAGCCGAGCATGGAGAAGCTTGTACACAGATTCGGAGAATGTAGTTCTGATATTGGTTCATGCCCACTGAATGCTGATAGTTCTCTTGATGCCAAGAAGTACACCCGGGGCAGACAATTATTGCAATTTGATAAATCTCATAGACCTGCCTTTTATGGCGTCTGGTCCACAAAAAGGTTAGATCATGCTTCATGAGTGAATTGCAAATTATACTTTTAATAGGCTATGTCTATACTTAAAAGTGGAAATCTCCAAAAATTCAATTGTTTTACTTGAGAGTCTCTTCTCATTATGCAGATATTTAGTCACTACTACTAGAGGCTCATTGGCTGGTTAAATAAATGCCTATATTTGCTTTAGATCTAATATAGACAGTAATTTGCTTGTGTCTGTTGTAATATGTATTTCAGTATTTCTAGTTAAGATTGCTTACTCGTGTTGAAATATGTATTTCTAGTCATGTTGTTGGACCACGCCATCCTTTAAGGAGGGACCCAAGCCTGGATTATGATGTTAGCAGTGATGACGAATGGGAAGAGGTGCATTGAATTTCTGTATTTAATTGAATTTATATATAATGGATACCATCTGTTAACAACATTCTCTATTTTTTAGGAGGAACCTGGTGAAAGTCTTTCAGATTGTGATAAAGATGAAGAGGAATGTCAAGAGGAATGTTCAAAATCTGACGGAGAAAGTGAAGATGGGTTTTTTGTACCTGATGGATATCTCTCAGAAGATGAGGTAGAGACTTGGTGTTTTTTCCGTAATGAAGCTGCATTAGTTGTTACAATGTCTTGCATTGCAATAATTCCAAGTAGATAAATGATATTTTGGACCTTTTGGTGTTTCAATATTTGTGCATGTTATGTATATTTTATCAGCCAATGACAATGGCTGGGTGTGTGCAGTAAGTTTTCTCAGATTTCATCACCTTGAGCACTTGTACTAGCAACTGGTATCTGTTTGTGAATTTGAAAGCCGCTACAATTTGTTAATAAACTTTCTATTTATGTGTAGGGTGCTCAAGTGGACAGAATGGATACAGATATTGACATTGAGGGGGCTGATAGATCACCTAGCTGTAAGGATGACATAGAGAGTGAGGAGTTTTGTGCTTTACTTAGACAGCAGAAGTATGTAAACAATTTGACAGAGCATGCTCTTCGAAAAAGTCAACCCTTGATTATACCAAATTTCATTCATAACAAGGAATTCTTGTTATTGGATCACAATATTAGTGGTACTCTTAAGCTGGAGCATATGTGCTTGCAAGCCTTGTGTATGTATGCAATTCCTGGTAGCTCATATATAGAAATATCTATGGATAAAACGCAAAATGAGAACAAAGAAGCCTGCCTCTCTAATGGTAAAGGCGGTGCTACTCCAGTATCTGATGTGGCTACCATACCAGACTCAGATCTTCCTATAATTGTAAGTTATGCATTTGAGTTGCGTTAATTTCAATTATCTCTTAAGGATGTGTTTTACTTGCTAGATACAATGCAGTCAAAATTTAAAGTTAAGTTGGTTGAGGGACAAGCCAAAATTACAATTTAGATCTATCAAAAAAAAAAAAAAATCAATTTAGCTGACACTTGCCAGGGGCAGGTTGATTTGGGAAAGCTTCCCTTTTATTTTTCTCTTGCTTTTTTTGAATTTGCAGCTGATTTTATGGTGTAGCATGCAAATTTTATCACCTTACAGAGATTTTATGAATTTCTCAGGTGACTACTATTCAGAATTGTTCTCAGGGCATGAATAAAGTGTTAGGGTCTTTGCAACAGAAATTCCCTTCTGCATCGAAGTCTTTACTGAGAAATAAAGTGCGTGAAGTATCAGACTATGTTGATAACCGTTTGCAGGTTTGTGAGGGTGGAGATCCCACAATTAGTGATTGCTGCTAATTTTTATGATGAGAATCTTTAAAAAATTGGTGGATCAGATATAACTGGGAAGGGCTTAAATATTAGCAGACCAACTGCATAGATTTTTGAATCTGAGTACAATAGATCCCAATTAAACCTTTTATAATTGTAGTGGCTCTCCTGTTATTAATCAGGCAGGCAGTAAATGTGACTTTATTGTTTATCATTATAGGGAAATATAATATAATATAAAATAATTAATGTGGTCTTCACCTAATAATTTAGGTTTTTAAGTTGAATGGGTTCTTGATATGGTATGTGAGTTTGTGCATTGTCTATCCTTCAGGTCCAGTAGATTCTCATGTGATGGGGCGTGTAAGTTTTTAGGTGAAGGCCACATTAATAATTTTAAGTTTTTAAGTTGAATGGGTTCTTGATATGGTATGTGGGTTTGTGCATTGTCTATCCTTCAGGTTCAATAGATTCTCATGTGAGGGGGCGTGTAAGTTTTTAGGTGAAGGCCACGTTAATAATTTTATATTATATTTTTCTAACAATCATCATTTGGTTGAACTTAGAAATGTCTACCAAATCTTGCAAGCTGGATCCCTCTTTATGGTTATGAAAGGATACATAAATTCAATGAGGGATCCTTTACTCTTATTTTATCTTAGACCCGAAGAATGGATATTTTCCTCGAACTAATTATTTTTCCTTCCACCATTGTGGCTTCTGGTGCTGGCGTCTGTCACATTTCATATAAAGTTTTCTTGGTCATTAAGATGCTGACCTATGAATGTTGAATTCGTGATTCATGTGCTTAAATAATGCTGTTTTTGACAGAGTCTGAGGATTGTATATTGTGCTTTATGATTGAGTCTGAGTTTGTACCTAATTATGCTGAACTTTTGATCCCATCTTTATCCAGGTGAAGAAAGAAGTTTTGGTCAGGTTTGGCTTAGCAGTTAAGCCTGGTATGCTATCTTTGACTGTCCCAAGCGCTTGATCCCAAGTTTTGATTCTGATGTTTTTGTTTCTAATTTAAATGTCTGGTTGAATTGGCAGAAAAGAGCAGTGGGAGACCTAGGAGTATCGCTGCATTTTTTTCAAAAAGGTGCTTGCCGCCCGCTGATGAAAGCGTGAAACCTGGTGAAACTTCACCACTGCCATCCTTGAAATCATAATCTGTCATTCATGAACGATGTCAGAGTTCATAGAAAATTTAATGTCTGATATCCTGTATAATGGAATTTTTGCAACTTTCAGATTTCTTTATTTAGACTTTGTAATAGTTGGGGATGGTGGGTTGCACTTGATACTGGTCTACCAACATGTAAGCAAGTTTCTGATTACCATTTGACAATACTGTCCTCACTTTTCTTCAAGTCTGGATCAAATGGAAATTTAACTTAATATATATTGTAAAAAGAGTAATGGTATTTGTACATTTTTTAGTCTCTGCCTCAGTTAACAAGACATGCTACGCTATTTGATAAAGCGGTATTATAAATTCATAATTGGATTGTAGAAGACACATTTTATGCTAAGCATGTCGCATTTTTTTTTGGGTACATATTTCGCATTTCAATCAAATTGATCCTATTTAAATTTCAAACTGGTTTGCATTAATTTTGCTGTATTATTGTTTTTAAAAGCCTTGCTTTAGCAGATGGTAAAGGCCAAGTAAGGATAACAAAATTTCATGTGATTGAAATTCAATAGTTTTAAGTTAATCGATCCAATTGTTAAATAGAAAATTTCATAAGTTGATAAAGCTAGTAAAATTTAAAAGTTACCGAGCACTTCATTGCATTTATTTTTTTATTTTAACATATATGTTTTCAAAATATAAAGGAGTTACACTTATACATATTTAACACTTATGAATTCTTTTAAATTTGGTATGCATGATCATCTCTATAATACTACATAATTCAAAAGTTAATTAGTAAATTTGCATTCGATGAAATCCTGTTCAATATTGTAAAGTCTTACAAAGTGACTCATCCATCACAATTTTCTGAATATTTTGTATTTGTTGATTGTGTAAAGCAGTTTAGTCATTTGATTAAATTGAGTAACAATGGAGGCTTACGAGGCTAGTGAGAAATTATTTTCGCAGAGTGTATGCGCGTGCGTGCGTGTGAGAGAAAGTAACAATGAGGAGATGTTCATATTCTAATTACATCTGGCAATTGCAAAAAATTTAGTTGTTTTCAAAAAATTATAAAAACTTTCTAAATTAAAAAAAGAAGAAGGATTCATTAGGCTAAATAAGGAAGAAGCCAAATTAGTACCTTACGGTTATAACCGAGAATAACATGGGGTAGATGTGGCATCGTGGTTATTTTGCATCAAGCATCACCTTATGGTAGTGATTGTCGGCTATTTTTTTTATTCGCATTGTTTCCTCTCGTAACAAAGTATTTATTTGAATTGGAAAAAATATTATTCTAATAGATAGTGGCTTTGGATGGCTAAGATCGCACCGCATGACGCGATCTATGAGTTCCCTCAGGGGGGCCGTGAAACTTGAAACGGGAAATAAAAAAAAATGTGAGAAGGGTAATGAAAAAATGTGAGGCAAATTGATTATTTGGTTCATCATGTACAGCGAATTGATTATTTGGTTGAGTTGAGAGAAGGGTAATGAAAAAATGTGAGGCAACTCAAAAATAGCCTACTCATTTTCCAATTTTTTCTATCAATGAGCTTATTCAGAGCAACTATCAATGTGTCATATTTTTTAAATTATTTAATTAAATATCACTTCGTAAGAGTATTTTCCTATTATACTATTTCTCAATATTTTTGTATTCATGTGGCAATTACAAAATTTCTAGTTGTGACAATTACAAAATTTCTAGTTGTTTTCAAAAAAATTAAAACAAATTCAACATTGAAATTAATAAAATTAGAGGAATAACTCTCCTTTTTTTTTTTCCTTTCCTTTTGTTTCTTCCACGTTAAATAGTAGCAAAGAGTGATTTTAAGGAGAAAAAACTAGCCGATACATTTTAAAATTGGACAAAATCTCACTATAAATTAGGAACCAAAATCTGATAGAATCATCAATCATCTTGTGCCCAGATATTTGAAGAGATTCACAACCAGATATTGGATTCCCTTTCAAAAGATGCAGAGCCAAGATCAGGTGATTTTCTTCCTCTAGTTAGGCATAGTCCGAATTAGCTCGTCAGTGGTAGAAGCTGGTTCATCGGCTTAAGCCAGTCAATCTATCCAAAGAGCCTACCCTACGCCTCCTATAATAGATTCAGCTCCAGTTACGCTTTGCTGATTTCTTTCTCAATCCTAAATCCGAACTTGCAACTTTCATCACGAAAGACGCTTTCTCAGTATCTATTCAATTCGGACTTCATGCTCACTTCAGAAAGCTAATAAGAACCTGGCAATGAAAAAAATATAATTCTTAAGTTGAACATTAAATGTAATTCTCCATGTTACTTGCAAGTTCTTTGGAATGGGAAAAAATGAAAGTTTTACCCTTTTATAACAATTCATGAGTGATAGCCTATAACTTTACCTTATTTTGGTTCATCATGTAGATGGGCTCGATTATTTGGTTGAGAGAATGGTAGTAAAAACATGTGAGGCAACTGAAAAAATGACCCACTCATTTTCTAATTTTTTTTTTTATCAATTAACTTATCAGGAGCAACTATATAATGTGTCATATATATTTTTTAAATTATTTATTCAAATATCACGTCATAAGAATATTTTCCTTTGTATTATTTTTGTACTTGTTCATTGTGTAAAGCAGTTTAAGACCTGTTTGGTGTGATATATCAAATGAGACCTGATAATATAAAAACTGATTATATAAGACCTGATAATATAAAAACTGATTATATAAGACCTGATTAAATTTTAATTCTATCAAGCATTTGGCATGGTACTGTATAAAATAATGTATTGTATAAGATGATATTATCCAATATTTGATAATGCACTATATAATACTATATAGGATAAAAATAAGTATTTTTGACAAAACTACCTTTTAATAAAAAATTTATATAATTCTTCCATACATATCTTGTAATTGGATTAGAGTAATGCTGGTTTCTCTCATAATAATTTGTCGCATACTTCTTCAACCCATGCACTGGCATAGTGCATACTGCATAGGCCTTTCTTTTTCTTCTTCTCTCTTTTTTTTGCTTCTAACAGGCTAAAAGCCTAAAATACAGGGGACAAGGCCTACGAATATAGGTAACAGAAACATCATCATAGAATGAGGCATTTGGGTGAGAAGAGGAAAACCAAAGGCAGATTATGTGCACGGTTTGCTAAACAACAAGCACTCCTGTTGCCTCTCAATAGACATAGAACATTTGTTGAGCCTGCCGAGTTTCAACCAATTTTAACACCGACCTCACACACAACCACACGTGCATCCTCTCTATGTACTCGGGCATACTTGGTCAAGGCCAGTACTTGTGAACCCTTCGAACAAGTGTTATTGGGCACTTCTGGTTTCGCTGATAGCATATGCCAACAACAAAGGAATTGAAAGACCATAGCCCAGGAAATGGAGTAATGGGTTCATCTCATAAGCTTTTATCAGAGTTCTGCAATTCTGTAATGGAATAGTTAAGTAAATGACAAAAAATGAACAAAACAAGACAAGAAAAAAAGGAAAATGCAAGGGCAACCCAAAAACTATCTTGAAATAGTAAAATACCAATCCAAGAGCAAGTTTTTTTCTCATTTTCAAAAGACTTACCCTCCCAAAAATAAAAAATAAAAATTGAGACTTGAATGTCATCCATGTTAAACCAGTTTTACTTTTCTTTCTGTAAATGCAAAACATTCTTAACTAACTATCCTTTAGGCTCCTCTATGAAATGAATGTACTATATATCCACATTTTTGCATGGACCGCTCTGCAAAGTACTAGTTTAAGCCTTACCATAAAATGCTTCCAACATATTGCCAAGCATATCACACACAGAAGCTTCCGAATCCGTCGCTTGCCGGGGTGGAAATTAGATGGTATCCTGCTCTGGTTGCCATTTATTCTAGAGTTCAAATCAATATCATCTTTTTTCTTCCCTGAAAATGCTAACATTTGTTCCCGGTAAATCGCCCTTTCAGCAGTCACAGCACTAGTGACCAAAATCGCAGGCAAAACCACAAATAATAGATGGGGAAGAACCACCACCATAATATCTGGCGAGCCAACATACTCATGCTTCCCCTTTCCATTAGAAGTCTCTATAGCCCAGCCCATATAGGTCATGTATGCCATATTTTCCCCTTCAGTAAAAACTTGCCCAATAAACCAAGGGAACAATATAAGATAGAATAAATATCCTATCCAACCAAACCATACCGTGCGAACCCTACAGAGCTCCTGGAGAACCCATAATACACCATTTGCTAAGCCTTTATTAGCGACGAAGTTCTTGTAAGTGTATATCCTCTTTGGAAAAACAAGGAGAGCTTTTGGAAGAAGAAGAAAGAAGAACATAAAGCACAGAGCAGAACAGAATAGTGGATAATACAAGGCAGCCCATTGACATCCCATGACCAGAAATTCCTTCCAGCTCCAAGAAAGCTTGACGCTATGACCATTTATTGAAAATGGCCTTAATTCAGTCAAAGTTGATCTGCCCATGATGTCATTTGCTTCAATTTGAAGCCAGAATCTATCAGGAGAAGCATCCTCAAAGGCTTTGTAATTCCATGGAGCAACATAGAGGTCACCCCTGGAGTTATTGTCAGCATGTTTGATCATATTTGCTTCTATAACTAAAACAATATTTCCAGATCGTGAATCATAGACCCTAGCAACAACTGACATAACTGGAGAAACAGAAAATACCAGAGCTCGAATTGTCTCATAAGATGAAGGGAGCACGGATTGACATTCATAGTTATGATGGCATAAAGATGTCAACATGAAGCGGGAGTCTAAAGGAAAAGTGGGCAATATAATTGCATGTTTGGTTCCTGATTTGAAATCAACATCAACATATGAAACATAACCTCTATCAATGGCCAAAATTCGAAAGACTCTATTCTTTCTCCAATCACCCATCTCCCACTCCCAAAACTCTTGAATTGGCCGTGCTCCCAATGAACAATTTACATTACTTTCAAAAGAACTCTGGTGTATGTTAAACTGAAAAAATTTCTGCAAGGATAAAAAATGATCACCCAACTGATGGTGCCGCTTTAAGTTCTTACCAAATTTGGTATGGAGATGCCCACACAAGTAAGCTGCTATGGAATGTTTCAGGAAAACATCTTCCAAGGTCCTTCCAGAACTAGAGGGTGTAGAAAATGAGAGTGGAAAATGCCCAAAGGATATTTTGGTAACTGGCTTTTCTGACTGAGAATCCCAGTGTGAGAGTTCCAAGTCTAGATCCTTTAGTAATTGATCTGTCGGATGCCCAAAAAGATTGGTTGGACCGCGTAAGCCAGCTGACATTGTGCTATCAATCCCAACAAAGAGATGTTTCCGCTCCTGAGTCTGAGTGAGATAGAATGCAAGCATGTGCAAAGAGTAAGAAAGAGCTTCATAGCCTCAAGCAATATAATAATATTCAAATTTCAACCCCACAGTTTTAGAGCTCTCAATTCTTTAGTCTAGTCCAAACATACATACATTTAAACTCAGTTTTTCCAGCATTTTTATTCAAAAGTGAAGAATTTTTTAACAGACAAAAATGATTCAATGGTCAATCCACAAAATGTGACAGAGAGGACAAAATAACATTTTTGGAATTCCAATTAATATACTGTCTAATTCTTCCGGCAAAAGTACGCCTAAGTCAGAATTGCAAAACATATATTGGTGCAAGAAAGGATAAGAGCCCTTCCCTCAATTGTATTAGTATTGATATATAGTCTCTAAGGACTTGACTGCTCTAAAGTAAGGCTTCATAAAGGAAAAAGTAGGGATTTATAACCACGGTTGAGAAAACCATTAATATACATGATGTTCTCATCTACCATTACAACTATTCACTTTTCCCTCTAAAAGTAAACCCCTCATTTTAGATGAGCCAAATCCTTACATGATCCATTTAAATTTCTCAAAGCTACAATTTTCTTATTGTAATGTTAATAACAATACTTTTAAAATTTGTTCCTATGGGAGGGAAACAAGTATATTTCAAATTTCATAGAATGATAGTCACTTAAGAGTAAAAAAAATGGGCCACACTGACCTCAATGGTGACACTGTTGACACTCCCAGTTCTTCCTAACTGCCCATTAATACTATATTTAGAAAAGAAATCAAAGGAACCACCAATAACCGGAACACCAAAATTATCATGGTTGCCTCTGAGATCAAAGAACAAGCTCTTGTTGAGTCCACTTCTGTCAATAACAGTGTCCATTACATTCTGGTATTCTACCCATTCATCCTCATTCTGCTTCATCGTTAACAAATCCTCACTTTTACCATCTGGGAAACAGTAACATTAAAGTAACAACCCACAACATTATTACCTTAAAAATTGAAAATTTAAAGAGTAAATATAATACAAGTAACAATTTTTTTAAAAAAATTTCAGGATTAAATTGAATATTCACTCAAATTAAAATGGTATAGAAAGGAACCTGTGAGGTCGCCAGTGATGAGAACGAGGGAAGGGTTGATCATGGAAAGAGTGGAGCCCATTAATTTGTTGAATTCGAAGGCTCTGTTTGGATTGTGAACGCTGAAATGAAGATCAGAAAGCTGAACCACCCAAATCACTGAATCAGGACCTTCCTCTACGTGTATCACTCTTTCATTGCCTGCACCTGCACCTACAGGGGAACACGAAATGCCATAGAGAATCACGATAGCAACAACGACAACAATGTTCATGTTCTTTCCTTGTTGGGGTGAAATCGCGTTACCCTTTTGGTTTTGGGTTTGGGAATTTGGGATGCTTTCTGCGTTTATGTGTTCATATTTTTATGCTTAGACCATATAATATAAGATTCTTTTTTTAAGTGATAAATTAGTTTAATTACAGTGGTTAGTTCAGTTAATTACACGAGTGAGAAAGCAATTTAACTAGATTATAACATGGCATGTTAAATGGGGTAATATTTAAATATTGATGGACGAAACTTATGCTTATAAATATTAGAGAAATAAATTGATATTTCATGTAGATTCATGAGATGAAATTATTTACTTTAATAAACTATCAAAGTAAATTATGTATCTCCGTGGCTTGTTGAAATGACTTATTTGCTTCCTTTGAATGAGTATGGAACTCACAAAGGAAAATCTAGTCTTTATTGGATTGATTTTCAAGAGTGAATGGAAATGTTAGGCGTTTGGTAGTCAGTATTTTTCAGAAATCTCAAGGAAACTAAATGTTTTTATCATATCTCTGAAAATTGAGATTCTCGGATAATTTTTTTTTTTCCTACCAAAAACATCCGGTGTCTATTAGGGAAATTTATTCCCAGCTCCCCCTTCCCTTTTTATTCTCCCGCTCTCTCTGCTCTCTCTTCTCTTTCTCTCCACCTTTTTATCTCTTGCGGGACCACAAGTGCCGTGAGCTTCAAATATTATCTTGTTTATTAGGGGTATTTATCAATCAATCCAAACCGATTCAAACTGCGTTGATCGAACCGAAAAATCGATAACCAAATAAATCGAAAACAAACAAAAATTCGCAAATTTTAATTGGATTAAAGCGATTTTTGGATAGGTTGATGAAAACTGATTCAATATATTAATTCTTCTCTACCTACTTGGGTCTTTCCCTAATCATAGCCTAAAAATTTCTAAACCCAAGACTCATTACTGATTACCCCATCAACTAAATCCAAGAAAAAATTTAGTCACTTCTCATCAACAAAATTTTATCTTTGTAGAACTTCATATCTCATTGTAAAAAAAAAACTATATTATAGTTTACTAATGCTTTTGTATTTCTATTTTTTTTTTTTACAGAATCAATATATACAAAAGATGTTATTTGCACAATAATCATGAAATAAATTTTAAGATTTTCAAAAAACCGAAAACCGATCCAATACAAACCGAAAAAAATTGGATTTGATCGGATCGGATTTGAAAAAAAATCCAAATCAAATGGATGATTATATGATCAAACCAAAGGGATTAGATCAGATGATTTTTGCTTCTAAAATGGATCCAATCCAGACCGCGAACACCCTAATGTTTGTTGTCATCTTCTTACTCACTGGTTCATTAGGTGTTAGAAATAAATTAAGAGAAAAGAGTAATATTATACGGTTGATCAATTGATAATGAATTGTTTTACTATGAATGATTTGAAGTTTGGGTTTTGGGAATATAATTATATTAAAAATTTGATAAGATGAAACCTTTACTGTTTCTGTGATCCTATCTAATTCAATCAAATTAATCGAATAATTAATAAATTAATAAGAAAAAAAAAAGAGATCAATTTTGAGAACTTAGGACATGTTTGAATTGTGTTTCGAAAAATAATTTTTTTATTTTCAAAATAAAAAACCCATTTGATAAAAATTATTCTATAAAAATAATTCTAAAAATTATAACTATTTTTTAATTTTTAGAATCAAATTTAGAGACTATGTATCAGTTTTTGTATTTTGTAAATTAGTTAATGAAATAAGTGTTTTTTTGTGTTTTTTTTTAAAGTTAAAAATCAAATTACAAAACAAAAACAACTAAGATACGTTTTCTAAATTTAATTCTAAAAATCAAAAAATAATAATAATTTTTAAAACTATTTTTATAAAACATGTCTTATCAAACAGAAACTTTTATTTTTTTTAAAAAAATCAAAAAATAATTTTGGAAACAGAAATCGAACAACCTCTTAGTATCTAATAGTGGTTGACATGTCTTTGGCCCAATTTTTTTTTTTTTTTTTGCAATGTGTGAAGGGAACCGCAAGCCATCTTTGTCACTGTATTTCAAAGGAAATTCAACAACTATCCACCATACACACCACCTCAAGCCCACACCTGCAAACTGCAAAATATGAATCATCAACCCAAACACATATATATAGACCAACACCAACTCCCAAATTCTTCTTAAACAGTTGGCACAACTTCTATTCAGATTCCAAAACAGAACCATAGTATATACTAATAAGGGAAATAGTTTTCTCATTCTACATGAGAAAATTTTCTTATGCTACATTCACAATACATGAGTGGGTCCCATCTTGACTTTTTTGTCTTCTCACCTTTTTGTGGACCCCACTCATGTATTGTGAGTGCAACATGAGAAAATTTTCTCATGTAAAATGAGAAAATTATTTCCCATATACTAATCCTTGATCTAAGCCTCTACTGAAAACAAAATCAAATTTACTAATATGAACTAACTTTAAGTTATTCATTTTAATTCTTTTCCATCTTTAACAAACTAATTTTAAGAACTAATATGAAATAAGTTTGAGTAATTTAAGGACTTAATCAAATATTTAACTAATCAAGGATTAAAGTGAAAATAGAATGTATTTCTTAGAACTATATTGCCATTTTGCTATAAAATTTAAGATAATAAAATGGGAATGATTCATGTTAGAAAGTAAATATAAGATAAATAAAATGGGTTTGAATAGGCCTAACCTCAGTCTGAGAATTAAAAGGGGCCTTAAATCAAGGCTCTATCCCAACCTTAAAATTAAAAGTGTTGCTTCGGCAGCACTAACAAAATGAACTCAGGCCTAAACTAGAAGAGGAAAAAGGAGAAGTATGCCCTTAATGAAGTCCAAGCATGCCTTTATTAATTAGCTCCAGAAAAATCAAAAAGTGGCTTAGGAATGTTTAACTTATTTTTAGGATAGTTAAAAGGGAAAAATGTGTATCATTTTGAATGACACAAAATTGTGTCATTGTTTCATTTTAAGTGAGAGAAAGAGATAAATCATGAGAGAGAGAATAGATGAAAAAAATTTTAAAAGTGTGAATCTCACCTCTTTGTGAGAGTGAAAGAATATAAGGTGTTTCATTTAAAATGACACATATTTTTCCCTTGAGTAAGTACGATGTATGGTTCTGTTGATAACATAAACTTTATATATCCAAACGAAAACTAAATAAAAAACATAAAAGTTTAATTAATAAATACCAAACTTAATTTTCAATTGTCAAGTAAAATTAAAATACGACTGAAAATTTATAGATTAAATTAAAATTTTAATAAATTAATTTTCAAAGTAAGCCAACTCATCAATTCACTCATGTTAACTCATCTGTTAAAGGAAAAATAAATTGTTAGGTTTAGTTAATTCACTTTAAATACATATTTAATCATGTTTTTAACCTAACTAGTCATTTAAGTAGTTGGGCTAAGTTGATCCATAGGGCATAACTCATATAACTTCAAAGCCCTTGCTATATAATTTTTTTTTTTATAAAATGATGATCCTGAAGTTAGGATTCATTATCGGATACAAATTACTTAAACTCTTTACCACCACCACTAGATCAATTCTAATGACCTGCTCATGCCATGCAAAGAAGAGTTTCATGAATGTTCTCAGAGCATTAACTAAAGAGTTAGAAATAATAAATATTTCAAAAATATTAAATTTGATATATTTGAGGACTCAAAAAAACATTTTTAAATAAATGAAAAATATTAAATACACCTTTAACTAATGGGTTCATTTTTTCTGCTGTGTTGCTTCAGAAAGTAAAATTTTGCAGCAAATACAAAAAAATGAACCCACTAATTTTATTTTCTTTAAAGAAAATGACAGAATCCAACGTTATACTGGTTAATACGTGTTTGCTGCAAAAGAACTCTTTTTGCTGTGACATGAACTAATATTCTTGAAAGCATTAATAAGGAAAGCACTTTTTCAAAATTCAAAAACCCGTATGTATATATATTCTAATAAACGAGAGTGGATCTTCAAATGTGGAAAAGTTGTCATGATGTAGTCATGTTATTTGATCATAATCACTCATTTAAAAATTATATATTTTTCTCTCTCTTATCTCATCATCAATGAGTGATTGGGATCAAATAACATGATCACATGACCATTTTTTATGATAAAAAGAGATCATCGGTTTAAAAAAAAATTACAGCTAGTCCATGATTCATGTACATGTAGGTCTTGACACTACAAGCAGTAGGTCAAAAGTAGCTTTCTCGATCAAATTACGAGGCTTCTTCAAGTCGAGTGGGTATAATATTTCAGGGAACCACTGTAAATATTCAATTTAACATTTTGGACATGCTAATGTATACTTAAATGCTTGAGCGTTACAGTTTTATTTTTATTTTTATTTTTTTGAATCACAAGGCACAAATCCTTAATTTTATTGTATCATTCAAAGGTGAGAAATTGATAATGTTTTAGCGCATATGCAATTGATCTTATAACATATATATAGTAAACCTGATCATATTATATGAAATTTTTTCAATAATTAATTTATAAATCAACGGTCACAACATTAAATATATATATGTATAAGATTTTACAATTATGTTAAATTTTTTTTTTTTGAGAGATCATGTTAAAAATGTACTACGTACACATGTTACTGTTAAATGAACTATATATATGGAATGAGTTAATTAAGTCCAGCGCATGTCTATGATTACAATTCCAATAAGGTCATTTATTACCCATGTTTTTACGGTGGCAAAAGGGGATGGCACCAAGAACAGGTTTTAATTTAATAATCATCACTTTTTTTTATATATATATATTTAAGAAAATGTGGTTAAGGCCATGTGTTTTACCGTCTTTGATTCCTTTCTTGACGGTCAAACTTACAGTATGAAATTGCACCCTTCGAGATCAATCTTTATCTATCATCACCCCAACCCCCATTATAATATTCTTATGTTATCACTCTCTTCGTACCTATGTCTCCTTCTCTGCACTGTTTTATTTTTCTACTTTCTAATATTTTAACACTTCAACTTCAATATGATGAAATGCGCCCATTATGTATGACTCAAATAATTTCAATTTGAAAACTAACAAAATAGATACTTTTGACTTTTGCTTCTGGCGCAGGTAATTATGACTTATTCAAGAACTCAATACCTTTTTTTTTAATTAAACATCAATGCACCGTGTGTCCATAATTATATATATATTGAATCTGAGAAATTCCATATTGGAAGCTTGAGAGTTAGATTTTCCTCCAATTTGTCCCTTCACAAACTTTTGAGAATGAAATATATATAACCCGCAAGACAAGGGTTGTTGTCCTCGTATAGGGGCACAAGGTGCAAACCCCGCGCATTACTATAATTTTGGTTATTATATCTTTTTGCTAATATATTTAAGTTTATATAAAAATTATTAGTGCTTATAGTATCCCTAGAATATATAATATATTACAATAATGTTGAATATGACCCATTTAAAACAAAAAAAGTTGTCTGTCATGCATGAATTATTGTTTGTGGGTTTGTGCAGAGAAAAGAGAGTATCTTACTCTCACTTCTCACATAGAAAAGTAGCAAAAGAGAAAGAGACACACCCGTTTGTAACGGGGGAGCAGATTGATGATTAGGACGAGGAGATAATAGTTAAATATGTGATATATGGATGGAGGGAATGTGAGAAAGTTATGGGTGTTAATTTGTTGGTGGCATTATGGCATATATAAAGATAGCAAATGATGGTAGTTTAGTTGATGCATAAGAGTTGAGGAGGTGAAGATGAAAACATATGTTTGATTTTTTTCAATATAAATACCATCTTTGAGAAATATTTAAAATCTTAATTATAAATATGTTCCGAACTCTGAATTAGTCTTTAGAGAATTTATGAAATTATCAGGAGATAATTAAAAAAAGTATATATAGAGAGAGAAAAGAAAATTGAAAAGCAACAAAGGTTTCTGACTTCTGAGTCTCATAATAGGTCTGACATGAGGTGACTAATGTCCAAATGGGTGTGAATAAATGGGTGTGGAGAGGGGCTGCGTGTGGTTTTTTGTCACGCTAATTTGTCAGAAATTATTATTTCTTTCATCTTCACCCTATACAGGTGTTTACAGCCAAGAAAGAGAGAAAATGGAATGGAAATAGATTATGCATGTATTCTATACTTTGTTGGATCCTTGTGTTCAATGTGGTAATTAACAAAAACAAAGTATGATGATTTGAAGTCCAAAGGTTGACACGATCACTAAAAGATAATACCATGTGTAAAGTACTATAGAGGATGTTTCAAGATTTGGCAAATACATTCATATGGTTAATTTACGATTCCTTGTGTACTTAATCCATGATTCAGATTAAATTTTTTTAATTTTAAAATATATATAATTAAAATTTTATCAAAAGAGGTTTTGAAAATAAATAAATAAATCACATAGAGATGATAGTATATATGTATTTATTGTAAAACATGTTTAATATTCAGGATTATGAAAGTTTAAGCATATACTTTATGCTTCCATTTATAATTAACAAATGTTTTTAATCAACTAAATTTATATTTAAAATGATATATAATAAAATAAAATTGATTTTTTTTTTTAAAATCAAAACCAAACATCTCTATTAGTCTTATTGTAACCTCTCACAAAATAACATTTCAAACCTAGCTAACATGTTTCAATTGTAGGGCCAAAAAAATACCTTTAAAAAACACTGCTACACAGGCTGAATAAATTAATTTTATTGTTTGTAATAAGACTTTTCGTTTTTATATAAATCATCGTTATACATTATTTCTTTTAATTAGAGATTAGATTCTGCATATAATAACTCAATCACTCAAACGTATTTATGCATAAGAAATAACAGCTTATAATCTCTGTAAAAAAGTCATAATATATAACTCGGCACTTAATTAACACCATATATATATTACAATTAAGAACGTATTTGTTTATTTATTTTATTTTTAATGATCTGAGAGCAACGAGTCTGTTTGAACAAGTACATGCATCAATTACGAAATGGTCCCCAAGTGCCCTAGAATAAGAGGCGTCCCATTTAATATGTACGCGTGTGTGTATGTGCATACAACATATATATATATATATATATCATATATATATATATATCATATATCATATGAGCCTGAAGAAAGAGAAATATCAGTATGTATAAGTTAACTATACTATAAATGTTTTCTCATCTCTACTATTAATGTTTTTTTTCAATTTTTGAGCTCTTCAAGAATTTGACCTTTCTTCTTCTTTTCTCTTTCTTTCTTTCTTTCTCTTCTGGCCTTCTCAAATAAGCTGTGATGCCTCTATCTACTTCATGCATAAGCTGCTATTTCTTCTTCCACTGATTACAAAGTGGGCTTAGCGATCTCTCTGATTTTTATTATTATCATTATTATCAGTATCATACATACATGGCTTCTATGAACTTGTTGGGTTTCTCTCTCTCATCCCCTCAAGAACATCCATCTAGTACTCAAGACCATTCTCAAACGGCACCGTCTCGTTTTGGTTTCAACCCTGATGGAATCTCAGCCTCTGATGTACAAGGAGAGTGCTTTGATCTCACTTCTCACTCAACTTCTCATTCACTCAACCTTCCTCCTTTTGGCATATATGAAGCTTTCAACAGAAATAATAATATTCATACCACTCAAGGTTTTTCACTTCTTCTTTCACAAGTTTATATCATATGATTAATTAATATATATTTTTTACAGAAGTCATGGGTTCAAATCTTAAAAACAATCTGCTTGAAAATATACAAGAATAAGGTTGCATATAAAGAATTTTCTCATCCATCCTCGTTATTTGGGGTTTGATGGGAAGAGTTTTTTTCCCTCAAGAACATCAACATCACGATTCACAAACTAAACGAAGAAAAACATCAAGGAATAATATGTTCAAGCTTTTTTTTATTTTTATTTTTTACTTATTTCTACTAAGGATTCATTTTTTTGTTAGCACTTTTCATTAATTTTATGAAATTAAAGAGAAACTTTGATTTTTTGAATACTTTTTCAGATTGGAAGGAGGACTACAACAACCAAAACTTGCTATTGGGAACTTCATGCAATAACCAAAATGTGAACAACCATCACCAACAACAACAACAGCCAAAGCTTGAAAACTTCCTTGGACACTCTTTTGGTGATTATGAGCACCCAACCTACGGTGCTAATAACTCATCCTCAGCAGATTTTATGTTTCCAAACTGTTCATTACAACTTCCTGCTCAGCCCGCAACGGCCGGTGTCGGTGGTGATAGCGGTGGTGGTGGTAGTACAAGTACCGGTAGCTCGATCGGTTTGTCCATGATAAAGACATGGCTGAGGAACCAACCACCTCAAACAGACAACAACATTAACAACAATGAAAACTGTGGCAGTGCAGCACCTGCACCAGCATCTAGAACAAGTGTGCAGACACTTTCGCTTTCCATGAGCACTGGTTCACAATCAAGCTCATCAAAGGCAAATGTGGGTGGAGAGGGTTCTTCTTCCGATAACAAGCAACCACCAACCACCACATCCCTTGATACCAACCAAACCGGAGCTATTGACACTGTGCAGAGAAAGTCCATTGACACCTTTGGACAAAGAACTTCCATATACCGTGGTGTAACAAGGTTTTTATTCTATTCCCAAACATATATAAATATTTATATGTATGTATAATATTTCAGATATATACAGTACTGATTCATCGATTATCCGACTAATCTGATTCAACCACACTCGGATATAATCTTTTATGTATATCTCAGTTAAAATGTTCCTATAATTAATTATCAGTTTCAGTTGGCACTTGATCTCCTTTTTATTTTTACTTTTGAGATAATGATTAAATTAGGGTTTTGAATTAATTTGAAGGCATAGGTGGACGGGGAGATATGAGGCTCACCTTTGGGATAATAGTTGTAGAAGAGAAGGACAAACTCGCAAAGGAAGGCAAGGTATGTATATGAACATTTATTTTTGTATTTTTATATATATTTTTTATAATATTAACATGTGTTCTTCACTTGTATTTCTTCTCGATCTACCATTCAATGTGGTATTTATGGCCTTCATCAACATACATGGTTTTGCAGTTTATTTGGGTGAGTAGAAAAAGATTCTTTTAAATAATTACCTGTTCTTACCTCTTTTGTTTTTCTATGATTTTTCTATTTTTGCCACAAAGTGAAAAGAGAATTTTAAAATTTTGTTCTTAGTTGGTTATGTGTGATACAATTGTTGTCTCTTGTAGGAGGTTATGACAAAGAAGAAAAGGCAGCTAGAGCCTACGATTTAGCAGCACTAAAATACTGGGGAACAAATACCACAACAAATTTTCCTGTTAAGTTTCCACTTTAATTTTTTGTTTCTTTTGTTCTCACTTTTTATTATTTTCCTGCTAACCCTCAATAAATCAAGGGTTGTGTTGCGTATAGCTCTAGGCAGTAGGCAATGTTGGCATTAGCATTAACAAGTAACATTGGTGAATATATAGGGAAGCTTTGACATATGGTAATATACTAGAGGGCACATTGTGTATTTGTGTACTGTACAACCCAAAAAGTTTCCTCATTTGGTGGAATTTGTCTGTTAATAGAAGAAACTAATTAATTAATTTGGATTATATGCCTTATAATGCAAACTATGTATACATGATCACTTGTTCTAGTCTTTTGACATTTGATACTTTATGTCTTCGTCAACAATGAATAATGAATTTTATAGATTAGCCACTATGAAAAAGAGTTGGAAGAAATGAAGCACATGACCAGGCAAGAGTATGTTGCGTCATTGAGAAGGTATTAATTTGCAAATTCCACAACTAATCTCAATTTTAGATTTATTTTTATTAATTTTATTTAAAGGTGGATTATTTATTAATTTATGTTCCCACAGGAAGAGTAGTGGGTTTTCTCGCGGTGCATCCATTTATCGAGGAGTAACGAGGTACAGTTGACCAGATATTAATACACAATTTTCTCGATCGACTATGTATGCATACAATAAAATTGATTATTTATGAATGTCCACGTGACATCTTAATTTTTATCAGAATTGGTTCTTGAAATAACTTACCATCAACGTTTTTTTTTTTAAAGGAGTGAAATTAATTATGCGGTATCGTTTGAGTTGTGTTTTATTTGAGTAGATAAAACTTTAAAAAAAAATGAGATAAAAATTACTTTATACTTAATAGGACAAAATATGAAAATATAAGAGAGTAAAATGAGTATCTTGCTAAAGAATTTCTTGTTATTTTAATAATATGATTGCAGACATCATCAACATGGGAGATGGCAAGCTAGGATTGGAAGAGTTGCAGGCAACAAAGATCTCTACTTGGGAACTTTCAGTAAGCTATAATCTAGATATTTAATCTTTCACGCACGGAAATGATATATGTACATATGATATATAGTCTCACCTACCTAACATTTTATCCCATATAAATATTGGAATAATAGGTTCTCATGTTCAGGATTTTGAAGTTTTTCTACAAATTATGTATTTCATGGAGTATTGCATACCTCTAATAATTATATATTCCAGAAGAATATAGTTATAATATTAAAAATTACTTTTTTTCTTATATTATAATTATGTATTTCCTAGAGTCCATAGTTTGCTGAAGAATTTCAAATTCGTGCAATACGAGAAAAAAGAGACCCATAAATAATCTACTAAACACAATCAAAACATGGTTTATGATGGTTGATCAATAAAATTAATTATCACCCAATGGGTCAGTTGCGGTGGTTAAAAATGATTGTTTGAACCCTAATATTGAAAGTTCGATTCTTGAAGAAACATTCTTGGAGAGACTTTTGACTTTCATCACACCCGAATTGAAATTGAGAAAATAATGTATATAACTAAAAAATTTAATTATCCAATTTGGTATGTGTTGTATGGGTACTAAATTGCATCTGTAGAACTATCATAACTCATATATATATATATGCATATATGCATGTGAATTATTATATACTAACAAAGAATATTTCAGGCACCCAAGAAGAGGCAGCAGAAGCATATGATGTAGCAGCCATCAAATTCCGAGGGTTGAGTGCTGTTACAAACTTTGACATGAGCAGATACGATGTGAAGAGCATACTTGAAAGCAGCACTTTACCCATTGGTGGTGCTGCAAAGCGTTTGAAGGATATGGAGCAAGTTGAATTGAGTGTGGATGTTCATAGGACAGAAGAAGATAATAGCATGAACTCACACTTAACTGAAGGAATCAATAACTATGGAATAACAAACCATCATGGTTGGCCTCATGCTCTTGCTTTTCAGCAACCATGTACTACTACCATGCAATATTACCCTTATGGACAGAGGCTATGGTGCAAACAAGAACAAGATTCTGATGCCTCTCACACTTTCCCTTCAGATCATAATTATCAACTACAGTTAGGGAATACTCACAATTTCTTTCAGTCAAATCCTGGGTTGCATGGTTTCATGAGCATGGATAATTCTGCATCCATGGACAATAGCTCTGGATCTAACTCTGTAGTTTATGGTGGGGATGGTAATAATAATGGTTATGGAGGTGGTGGTGGTGGCTACGTGATTCCCATGGGTGGTACTACTACAACTAATGTTATTGCAAATGATGGTAACCAAAGTCAAAGAAGTCATGCTTTTGGTGATAGTGAGATAAAGACACTTGGTTATGAAAGTGTTTATGGCTCTAGTACTATTGATCCTTATCAAGCACATGCAAGGAACTTGTATTATCTTTCGCAGCATCAATCATCTGTAGATGCAGTTAAGGCTAGTAGTGCATATGATGAAGGATCCACATGCAATACTTGGGTTCCAACAGCTATTCCAACTCTTGCACCAAGACCTACCAATATGGCTCTCTGCCCCGGAGTTCCACCATTCACGTTATTGCATGAATAGTTAGAAAAGAAAACTAGGGAGAGAGGGAAGTGTCACCAAGGTGAAAAATTCTTGTTTTTTTCCTCTTATGAAGTTACTAATTTAATAGTGATGATGTGGAAGAAGGAAGAATGATATAGGTTTAGTTTCTTTCACTTTTGGAAGGGTTCCTCGGGGGCAATCTCTAACTTTTACATGGTTCATATTTTACGAGGGTCTAATCTATAGCTTCATCAAGTTTAGTCGTGGCAGAACAACTTGGTGTGAATTTTGGGAATTGACTTTGAGATTGTGGAGATATATATATATATATATCCTAGAGAAGTTAATTTTATTATCACCAGAATTTGTAATTTTTGGAATAACAAGGATCATACATGCAAAGGATGGAGTTTTTTCTATGCATATATGCTTGAATTTGTACTAATTTTTCTTAACCAAATTCTTTCTATCTATGCATATATTCTTTCTATGCATATATATATGCTTGATTTTGTAGTCATCACCGATTCAAGTGATAAAAAATTTGTTTCCCTTAATAAAAAATTTGAGTACGAATACTCGCAATAGAAAAAATATTATTAGAAGAATCGTCCTAATAGAGATTAAACCATATTGTTTTATCTATATAGTCATCCACTTTGCATGATCTGATTATGATAATCAAATGGATCAACCAATATAAGAGAAATAATAATGTAAAAATCTTATATTAACTATAGAGGATAATGAAATAAACTCAAGTTCAGCGGCCAACGATCAAATTATAATCTGATTTCTTTTTTAAAATTGATTTAACGCAAATATTTAATCTGTTTATTCTTACTTGAAAGTTAATAATAATTGTAGATAAAAATTAGTTAAAAATACGAAATTGGATGGTATGCATGTAGGTATGGCTCATTCAAATCATGGAAAGAAATGCCACGCTTCAAAAACAATGTTCTTTAACCTTAATTTATTCTACGTTTACCTAGCTAGGACTCTTTTGTTGGTCATCAATGTCTTCTGTCAACTGATTCATTCAATGAGAAAACAACAAAAGTGAATCTTTCTTTGTATACATTTTTATTTTATTTTATCTGCCCTTTTTAAGCCATTGGAATACCACTCATACTAATTATGAACATATATAAGAATAATTGATAATTGATAAAATCAAACAAATAAGTCCAAATGGCATGAAAACCGATGATGGTGTGTAAGATATATTGAAGGGGGGGTAATAAACTCCAGTGGGGAACCGATATTTCATCGGAGAAATCAGCGTTACCCGTGCCTCCTCGGAAAAATATACCTATTATTTTATCAATTCTCTCACTGAATCTGCTTTGTTTGCAGCATTGTTTTCACCTTTATCCATGCACAAACCCTACCTCTCATCAAAGAGATTTCCAAGAAAAGTGAACTTTGTTAAAGTATAGTAGCGTGTAGTGGGTCGCAATCCTTTCCCTACTTTTTGTTCCCTTGCTCTTTTTATCTCTATATATCTATTAAAATAGATATTCTATAAAGTGTTGTATATATTACCAATATACATTTACCCAGCCTTACCAAGCTTTTATCTCTTGCTAATTCAATCCGAAATGAATTTTTTATGTGTGATTTCACATAATTACATTACGATAAAGATTCTTGAGTGTTAATATATAGACAAACCAACGGTGACAAGAGAGGATAGAGACCAAATATTGATAGCTCATTTGGTAACAAGGGAGTTGAGTAAGAGGAAAAAAAAGGATATCGGTTCGATCCTCACATGCTACAATTAGAAAAAGTTTAAATATTTTTATCCATGACCTTAGGATTGAGTTAACTCCAAAAAAAAAAAAGGGGCAGAGAAAAAATATTGAAATACAGGATAAGAAAAAAATAATAGTTGATTTGTCTATTAATTAATTGTTAAGAACTTTTCACATAATTCCATCATTTGAAATCATATGTGAGAACATTCACTCCCAAGTCAATCCCTAAGCTTTGCCCCATTAAATACTCCTAAACTCTAGATGACTCGAAAGACTCTATTTTCTATTTTTATTTTATTTTAATGTGTTTTGAGTGTGAACTTTTCTTTTGGCTCAAAATGATATTAGACTTTGGTTGGATGAGATATTTTTATAACTCAAACTTTTATCTTATAGAATAATTTGCTTATCAATATACCTAATCCTATGTTGAAAATCACATTTTGTTTTATTGTTTGTTTTTTGTAAATAAAAAGTTGTGTTTGGACGGGATGAGAGAGAGACAAGAGATGGGATTTGGGTTCGAATAGTCCAATATTATAAAATTGCATGCTTCATGTGCATCTGTGTCGTCTAACCCTTATTTTCTCGAATAAATCCTATAACGTAAGCTAACAAGCTCTGGGAATGCTCATTCGTGTCTTTTTCTGGGGGTTTACATTAATTTATCAAATCCAAAGCCCTAGCTTTGTGGTTGTGGAAACTTTGTTTGGGATTTAAACCTTTTTGACTTTGACTAGCCTTACATGTACTCTTAACATTCTTTATAATAATATAATTTTAACCTTAGAGGTTTGCCTGCAATAAATATACATAAAAATATATGAGGCTTATACGGGTCCATGTGAAGAGAGGAGAGAGAAAAAGAAAATACGAGTCTTATATATTTTTATGTGTATAAGATAAAATCATCTCTTACAACATGCGAAACACTAATCTCATCCTTTAATAATATAAATGTAAAAAAAACTTTTATTTTAAATTTACTTATTACTTAAGTCATTTCTTGTAAATTAATACCCTTTATTTTATTTTATTTTTCTTTCACTAGACCATCCTTTATCTTGGAATATATATAGCATATGTAAAATATTTTTACTACGTACATATAGAAGTGATTCTTGGATTCTGTTTGATAATTTGCTATAGTGAAACTTTTTATTGCATTACATATAATGGATCTAATTGAAGTGAAATATCAATAAGTTCATTCAAAACATGAACATAACTAAGTATTTAAGAAGACAAAGACGAACAATGCTTGATTCATTGCATTGTGAGAGAACAAGGAATGCTTGCAATGGAGTGAAAAGGACACTGGTGGTGTTGGTAAATGTGTCTTGATGGATCATGTGCTTATGTACATCTTATTTAGCGTGGAAGGCACAAAAATATATTCAATGTACGTAGTGAACTTAAACGGCTCAACCCACTTGTTTAGGGTAATTATTTATCTCAAATATATATATATATATATATATATATATATATATATAAATAAGGAGAGAGTTATGTTTACAAACTCTTATAAACTACACTATATATTCTGGAGAGTACACTCACTTAGCAATGTACTTCCTGGAGTATATAGTGTAGTTTGTAAATAAAAAATTTGTAAATATAAACTCTTCCTAAAAAATCACTCCCCATTTAACCCGACTAGCGAATGTGGGGTGAAGACAATCTTTGTACACAACTTTACGCTTACATAATTGCAAAGAAGCTGTTTCTTGGATTTGAACACATGACCTTTCAGTCATGATCTTTGACATTCAAGTGTGTGTGTGTGTGTGTGATCTTTGACACCGGTGTCAACTTTAAAATATAAATGGGGCATGATCTTTGACACTGGTGTCAAACTTTAAAATTTGACACCAAATCCTAACCGTGGATTTCCGCCAATCAACGGTTATCATTTATTGAGAATTAATAATTAATTCATAAGTTTGATTGGTAGAAATTATAACCGTTGATTGACGAAAATCAACGATTAGGATTTGACGTCAAATTTTAAAGTTTGACACCGGTGTCAAATGATCTTCTTACAAATATATATATATGTGTGTGTGTGCCAGCGTGCGCATGATCTTCTTATATTAGTATAAGAATAATAAATCTTACACTCAATCTTAACTGTTGATTTTGGTAAATCTGACTGTTGTACTTTCTTGGAAATGAATAATTAATTAATGAAAATAACTCAATCAATTACAGTCGTTTGATTGACTGAAAAGATTGAGTGTAAGACTTATTATTCTTACTCCGAGGCATATTATTTTTATATTAGTGTAAGAATAAAAAGTCTTATTTCCAAAAAAAAAAGAATAAAAAGTCTTACACCAAATCTTAGTTATTAATTGGGTAGGATTTAACAGCTTACGTATCTAATAAATCAGAACTGTTAAATATAAATAGGATTACACCAAGATTGAAATTATAACTTATACCAGTGTAAAATGATCATGACCCTATATATATTGAATATTATTCGTCAGTTCATTAATTACTCGACTAGTTCATTTCGAATTAGGTTGGATCATATAGAGATAAATTTCTTCCCATCAAATTTTAACACAAGGACTCGAACTCTAAAACCACCGATTAACTTAGAGTTTAAGTGATTGAGGTACTATTTAAGTGGAAGTAATGAATCGAAGCTCAAACTAAGCATTTATTTAAGCAATCGGCTCATGTGAGGCATTCCTTCCCCGCACAAATAAAGTTGAGGTTCAACTTTTTTACTTTGAATTTTTTTTCTTGTCTTATTCAAACTTGCAGATATCGGCTACCATATGACTGGAGCATCAAAAATAGTAAAAGGTATAACGATGATGCTATATTTAGGTACTTGAATGGACATGTGCTAATTAAACAATTTCATTTATTTTAAGAGTTTTATTAGAAATTAACAAATATTTATATTAATAGAAAATAATATGCAGTTTAAATCAGAAATTAAACAAGTATTTTTTCATTAATAATATAAATGAAAGATTATAAATATAAATATTATTATTGTATTTTTTAATGTTAAATCAAAAATAGAACAATAAACTATCAAAGTAAATAATAATTAAATATTTAAATTATTATTTGTTGTATTTTCATTATATTTTATATATAATTATATTTATTTTTTTATTTTTAAGATTTAATTTTTTTATATATATATATATATAATAGGCATTTTAATGAATAATTTAACAGACGATAGAAATATCATATAAATAAATGGTTAGAATTTTGATAAATCATAATATATGAGTAACTGTGATTGAATAAAAATACTGATTAATATAGAATAGCCATAGTTCAGGAACTAAATAAGAACATTTTAAATTTCAGTGTAAATTTTAAAAATAAACAAATAAAAGCTCACAAATGTTTTTTTTCCCGTAATAAATGAGTCAAACTATATATATATATATATATGGAAAAACGTTTCTCCGGCAACTTGAGATAAGTTTATCTCCGGCTATCTCAAAACGACGTCGTTTTGTTTTTTTATTTTCTTATATTAATTGATTCACTTTTGAATGATTATGATTCTCTTTTTCTCTCTCTTCTTTTATCACCATTGATCCATCTTTGTACTGTTATGATTTAGTAGCCGGAGATAAAATTATCTCCGGCAGCTTGAGAAATGATAAGCCCATATATATATATATATATATATATATATATATATATATATGGGGCAAGATCATTTTACACCGGTGTAAGAATAATAAGTCTTACACCAAATTTTAACCATTGATTTTCTTCATCTAACTATATGTATATATATATTAGTCTATATTTCCACTCTACACTTATCTAAAATTTTAATAACAATTAACTTTGAATGTAAAAATCACTTTTACTCTTTCAAGACTCGTAATTGTTCAATTACTCCCACCAGCCTGATTTCTTCCCCGAGCCCCACGTCTCTTCTCTCAGCAGTTGAAAACTTTTCAACTTCTGTTGTTCCATTTCTCATGTGGCTAATAACAGAGAGTAAAGACATCATTGTAAACCCAATTTCCTATAGATTAATTTATTAAAAAAATAAAAGGACAACATACTGGAAAAAAATGTTTTATTTGATTTTTAAAGTAGTATAACTATTCAAAAATAGCCCAAAAGAGAGTATAAAAAGTTGTATTTTATTTATTTATTAAATCAAGTTATAAAATTTTATATGTAGCACCAAAAGGGGAAGAGACCAATAATTGTTATTTTTTATTTTTTTTATTTTTTATCCTTGAAATAATATACAACCCTAAAAATATTAGATTAAATTTTATATTGTTTTATTCAATATTTCCGCATATTAAACGGTAAATATCAGGAAAAAAAATTAGAATATTAATAATTCAAATGGGGCAGTGGATCTATAGTTTAACCGCTTAAATTGAATTTATATAATAATATATAAACAGAAATAATATAACAAGTAAAGTGAGGCTTTTTGACCCTTATAACCCTTTATTAATAATTAATTACCAATTTGACCTTCATTTTAAACTAATTTGAAAATTTAACCCCCTCCAAAAACATAACACCAATCTGCCCATGTTTGACCGTTGACCACCAAGCCTACCCGGGTACACCCGGGTATTTTTTGAAAATTTTTGTCTACCCGGGTATGAAGGGGTGTACCCGGGTATTTTTCTTCGCACCTGAGAAATTGCTTGAATTATTTACCCGGGTAGGGAGGGGTGTACCCGGGTAAAGCCTTTATTTTTTTTTTTTAACCGGCAAGAGGAACAAGTTACGAACTAATGTCGTCGAGCTGGAGACAGGAGGGTGCAAAGATCGTCGAACTGAAAGCGAAGGTGAATTGAGTAAATTGAAAGAATTTTGCTATCCTTACTGTGTTCACATATTTATAGATTGAAAGAATCATGCTATTTTGAGATCAAAGCTTGAACAATGCTACCTTTGGTTTCTTTAGTGAGCCTTGAAATAACTTTTTACGATTTTCTACTCTCCTTGTAGATTTTTTAGTGTGAAGTTATTGATTTAGGAAAAGTAGTCTCTTTAACAGAGTTCAGCCTCATTTGCATGGTTCTGATGTTATTCTTCTCCTAGTTAATTTCTTTTCGTTTTCCTTTTAATTTCCTTTTAAAGGAAGAGTTTCAAAAACAATATCATCATCCACATTCACAGTCTTATTTACAGACTCCAGAATATATTCACATGTATTAGGGAAAAAAAAATCAGAAAAAGAAAACAATTATGATGCGGTGGTGATGGGTTTACAGCAACATGTGGCTCATACATGTGTTGACTTCGGAATGAATGAAAAAAGGTAGATGCTATAGTAGATCTTTTGGGATCCAACAAAGAAATACACACTGAAAAAGGGAATGAATTTTATAACAACCTGTAGGGGAAGTTCAAGCTTTAATCTCAAAATAGCATGATTCTTTCAATCTATAAATATGTGAACACAGTAAGGATAGCAAAATTCTTTCAATTTACTCAATTCACCTTCGCTTTCAGTTCGACAATCTTTGCACCCTGCTGTCTCCAGCTCGACGACATTAGTTCATAACTTGTTCCTCTTGCCGGTTTAAAAAAATAAAAAAAGGCTGTACCCGGGTACACTCCTCCCTACCCGGGTAAATAATTCAAGCAATTTTTCAGGTACGAAGAAAAATATCCGGGTACACTCTTCTATACTCGGGTAGACAAATTTTTTCAAAAATTACCCGGGTAGGAAGGGGTGTACCCGGGTAGACTTGGTGGTCAATGGTCAAACAGGGGGCAGATTGGTGTTATGTTTTTTGAGAGGGTCAAAATTTTAAATTAGTTTAAAATGAAGGTCAAATTGATAATTAATTATTAATAAAATATTATAAGGGTGAAAAAACCAGTAAAGTGATCTGCCTTAGTGGTTAGCATTTTTTTTCTTTCAACTTGTTAGTATAAGTTAAACCCAATTTACCATTGGTTCACGGGTCTTGACCAGGTTGCATGCATAACTAACTAATTGACTAAACTGAATCGGTTAATGATTTGGTTCCCAATACAACCGGTTTGACCAGCCGGATTGGACCGATTTAGAAAAGTTCAAAATCTGTATCCAAAAAAAAGAAAAGTTCAAAATCTCATAATTTAACACAGGTCGAATTCGAGTTAGATATTTTTTGTTTTTAAGAATAGAAAAAATAAACCTTGTATGATAACACATAAGACTTAGGTATTTGCTTGAGTTATTCGTCCAAAACATCGACATTAATGCGAAGCACCTAATTTTGAGAATATATATAGAGCCAGATCCTTTAATATTGGTGTTAAATTTTTATCTGAGAGTCGTTAGTTCAAAAAAGATCAACGATTCTGATTTGTAAGCATGTGACACCATTGATCTTTTTTTATCTAACGACTCTCAAATGAGGTGTCAAACTCCAAATTTGACACCGGTATCAAATGATCCTATCTCATACATATATATATATATATATGGAGCAAGATCATTTAACATTAATCTGACAATCAACGATTATTATTTATTGGGAATCAAACTTATTAATTAATTATTAATTCCCAATAAATGATAATCGTTGATTGACGGAAATCAACAGTTAAGATTTGATGTCAAATTTCAAAGTTTAACACCAGTATCGAACTAAAAAATTTGATACCAAATCCTAACCATTGATTTCCATCAATTTAACGATTATATATATATATATGATGAGGGATATTCTCATTACCAAAAATTTTCACTACCAACTTACTTTCTATCTAATCATCATTAGATTAGTATTTTCTCTCTCTTCAAAAACTTTTTAGTATTCTCTCTCTTTGATCCAATTGTGATTAGATGAGTAGAAAGTTAATAGTGAAAAATTTTGGTAGTAAGAATATCCTCCTATATATATATATATATAATTCCATTTGACATGAGTCATGACACATGCAAATTTAACATAAATACAAGTAAATCAACACAAACATAACAAATTTAAAAATAAGTCAACACCTTTTATATAAACACGACCAGCTTATTTTATAACTTAACACGACAAATTACAAATACTTGTAACATGAAAATATGTTGCTTATTATATAAATGGGGATTATATCCTTCATATCGTAGGAATTATTTTGTTGTCATGTTAAAAAAAAGATAAGATATATATAGTATTAAAAATAGTGATGGGACACTTTATTCAATGAATTGGTTTGTCTTTTTCTTAATATAATAAAAATTTTGGTTTCAACATAATAGATGCATTTTCCTATATAAATTGGCATAACACGACATAAATAACCTATCAATAACAAAATATAATATAACACAATAATACACGAATAATATATATATACTAAATATTACTTTCATTAATATTGTATTGACACGACACATTCCAAGAAATTAATGCAGATCAATTTCATATTTGAGAGATAACACACAACACAGCCCAAATTTTTGCCAACACAAGAACACGACGTAGATTTTCACCAATACATATACAGAACAAATTTGACAACGGATTAAATCGAATACAAATTTCTCATATCATATTCATGTCGGCGGATCATATTGAAAATTCTTATCCCTATTTCTTCCACCAAATATAGTACACCACAATAATAAATCATACAATATAATGAAATTGTACCAAATGCATCAAATTGTTTATTGCACCAACAACGGGGCTTTAGGTCTTTCTAAGTTCCTTTTCTTCTTCTTTTTTCTAAAATTAATAGCATGGAAAGACACTTTCTTTTTAGTAAACGGAGAACACATACAGAAGTATATGACCTTTCTTTTTCTTTTTGTATTATAGAATCATAGGCTTGCTTGGAACAACATCTGCCACTTTTGATGTCTTAGATTGCTTGCTAACCATTGGCTCAATACCCAACCATTTTTGAATAAGTTGAAACACTGTTTTATCTCGTAATATTTCACGGTGAGCAGAAGCAACTCCCACCCTTTCAGTGGCTTCCAGTCCATCAGCCTGTAATATGACAAGACAAAAAAAAACAAAAAAAAATCATCGAATTAAATTAAAATTTCATGATTAATGACTGCATGACACAAATATAGGATAAGGAATTATAATCAGACGATAAATCTGGAACTACAATATTAACGAAGCATCACATAGTTCAAACTTCAAACAATATCCATCTATCCGGCCTACTTCCATATGCCAGCGAAATGTGTCTATCTTCAAAAGCCAGCAAATAATCACCTTGAACAGTTGAACGACTCTTATTATGGCATGACTGCATGCTTTTAACGTTATAATTTAGCACTACAGCTGTGCCCAAGCAGTTATGAAAATTTCAACATGGGTACAACTAAGTATATATACAGAATGCAGAAAGATCAAAGAGAGCACCTTGGCTGATTCAGTAGGAACTGTTCCATCTCCATCGACGAAAGAATACTGTGGCTGCAAACATAGAGAAGTTTTCTTCACACATGCATACATGCACAACACATACACACACACAGAGAGAGAGAGAGAGAGAGAGAGAGAGCTACATATTATTAGAAAGAAGTTAGAGAATTATATCCTCCTAGAAACAAAACAAAGAGAAAATGCAGAGCCAAAATGGCTAAAAAAGCAATAAAATTATTCAATCTCTTTGCATACCAGTAATAGGTATTCCATGAAATAAGCATGAACTGAAAAACAATGCAGGGGGGAAGATACACACTTCTAAAAATATGCACATTTCTCTCGAACAAGATACGAGGAAGAAACTGAATGTGAAAATAGTAGCTGCTTTACAATGCAAAAGAAATGGTCTATTATTTCTGAACTAAAGCTGCACACAATCCAAAAGGAGATAGAGCTGCCTGAAGTCTACAAATTAGCAACACGTGACTTGCATTACGCCAACTACATACCATTGCCCAAAAAGAAGCTTGATTAGAGAAAGTCTTGGACTTCCAAATGAGTGTCAAGGAGGATCCTTTAGTGGCTATGAGAATGAATTGGAAACAGAGAAAAGGACTTAAAAGAAAACGCGCAAGATAAATCCAAATTTAACTACCTGGGTGGGAGCAGAAGAGAAATGACTAAAAATCAAGTAAAAGCATAAGGGACTTTAATTCACTAGTTTTTCTATCATAAGGTTCCTACCAAAGTGAAAGAGAATTACAAGAAATATCGGGACCTTGAATAAAAAATTATGGGAAACTATGCATAAAGGATAGACTATACAAGTAAGGAAAAGACTCTAAAGGCATATTTTTCAACTCAATTGTCCTCCCTAAACTTGATATGAGAATGATAATCAATCCCAAAGAAACCAATGGTCTACAAGAAGCATATCCCCGAGAATAAACTTCGGTGATCGTTGGATTGGCATCCCACCCATTTTGGTCTAAATCATCTCACAATTACCGAGTACCATAATGAAGTACTTGCTGAAGGAAAACGGCATAGCCAATGTTATAGGATACCAAATTTCCAAACCCCATTCATACTTGGCTTGCAGCAAACCTCCCAACAAAGAAGATGATCTTTTCTCTGCTTTCCCACACCATAGCAAAGTAGTCCATCATAATTTTATTTATCCTCAAAGGCACTCCCACTAGAATCCAGAAATAGAAAAGTTAATAAAGGGGAATCCTTACAGGTCTGAATAAGTCAACCATCCAAAAAGTTTAAAAATAAAATAAAATAAAATAAAAAAACCCTTCCAACTATCCAAGCAGTTATAGACCTTTTGAATCATAAGATCCTAAAAGGAATTAGCCCATGGATTACCACCGAAGGATATACCCAAATGAGTATGAGATTGCTGCAAGATTTGACAACTAGCCAAAGAAGCACGGGAAGAAAGAATCTATCCATAGTCAAAACAAGCCAAATCAAAAAGGTCCCTATCCTTCATTCCTCCATCAAAAAGGAATAGTATGATAAGTAAATTTGAGGAAAGAAAGCAAAACGTTATTTAGCCATACTTTAATATACTTAATGTGACCCCTATCACTAGCCCTGGAAATCAACCAACTTTGAACATCAACCACTAAAGTACACAAGAAAGCAGATAAAGGTTCCCCTTACATAACTCCTTGCTGTGCTTGAAACCAATGCTTAGATTCATAGTTCATCATCACAAAAATAGATGCAGCTGAGATACATAGAGAAATCCACCTTCTCCATCAAGAACTAAAATCCTATCCATCAAGAACCTTATCTAAGAAATCCTGCTCCATCAAATCATACGCTTAATCAAAATCCAGCTTAAAGGGAGGAAAAACTATACCACCAACTTTCATTGTTCTTACAACGTCCACCACTCCATTCACTACTACATCTTCATCTAGGATTTGTTCATCTACAATAAATGAAAAAACCTCATTAATATGCTCATGTACATTGATAACCAGGCTTATCAACCATAGTCCTTCACCTTAGTAGATCTATCCTTCTTAGTTATACGAGCAATGAAAGAAGAATCCATACTCGCACCAATCTTGCCATTACAATGAAATTCAGCAAACATCTTTATGGGATCCTCCTCAAGGATATCCCAACAATTTTGAAACGCAACAGATCTTTGAATTTCTTCTTCCACTGTCTGTATATTTGCAGATTCAGTTCAACCATTTCAAGTTAACTCAAAGCGCTAAAGTTATCAATAGCTAATGATGGGCATAATTAACGTCTAAAGTAAATATCAGAATTCAAGAAGCATGGAGGCTGGAGCAGTAGTGCACTGATTACATGAATGAGTAAGTTGATAGAACTGAACCAGAATTCATGTTAAAGAACGTAATCTTTATCATAAGAACAAACGGTCTCAGGACCTATATCAAGATGATACTGTTGAGAGATTGACGATCAATATTGAACACAATGAAACAGTCTCCTACACCAGGTATTTGACAGACCTGGGCTCTCCCTCCAAAACCAAAGACCTTCACTATTATTTCCCTCATATTATTATACCCTGTCATCAATTAAGACTTCACCTAGTTACTTTTTTAACACTACAGATATCTGACACTAAATGGTCCGATTTTATAGAATATCCACAGAGAAACTTCTCTATTTACTGATCTCAGTGAGAAACCAGTGCCCAGGAAGCAATTACACCTGATCAAGATGAAAGGAAACACTCAAAAACAGAAAAGAAGAAGAAGAAGAAAAGATAACACAGGTTATTAAAGAGACCTATAACCTCCCATGCAATCCCACCCCGAAATCTAGCCTTCCTTTCTCTTTTCCCATCATCCTCTTCTCTTACACCCAGACCCTAACAGAACATACCACCCTTTTACCCCTTCTATGCATTCCTTTCTCTCCTTTTGCCACATAAGCATTCTGTTTTAGGTGTAGTGACTAGTGAATATTCCATCTTTCCTCCCTCACATTCCTTGCGTAGTCCAGCATAAGGCTTCATGACATGAATCATTCTCCAACGAACTTCTAGATCCCCACCAGTAAGTTGTAAATTTGAATTATTATTTCATATTATTTTTTGAAAAAAAAAAGTCATAATATCATTTGTACATTTATTTTTACAGTCTGTAACAAGAGCTTTGAGAGGGAGCCCTACCTCCCAAGAGAAAGAATTGTTTAAAGTTCAAATTTAAAATAAAGGATCTCCTAGGTGTCAAGTTTAGGATTATGGCAAATGCTTGCCTCTCAGTAGAGAAAGAAAATGGTGTAGTATCAATGAAATATTTTAAGAGAATGAAGATATCAGAGTCTCATTACTAGCCTTCATAAAAAGAGAATTAAGTAGCTCACCATTGTGCGGCATACTTCAGATAAGTCCTCTATTGGAGATTTTTCTGAACCATAGCTGCATTAGGCATGGACATCAGAACATGTCATAAGCAAAAATAGTATAGAAAGTAGAAACTTTTGAATATTGAACAGCGGTCATTGCATTTAACCTCTCAAGAGAATGGACTCAATGTGTCAATCACAATTGTCAATATAAGATTATCCTGTTTCTTGAGGATGAGATTATCCTTTTTACATCGACCAAAATTATAAAAAAAAGGGTTTTGAAATTAAATAAAGAAATAAGACAAGTCCAGCTAATCAGGAAATTCAGAAAAAAAAATACTGATCATGGGGCATAGAAAAATTCTGATCAAAGTTGTAAGGGGGATAAACATCGCAATATGATATCAATTTTGTCAAATGATCCAGTTTATTTTCTACCAAACTTCCCCATCTCTCAACCTAAATTAATACTTTTGGTCTATAGTAAGTAGTTCAAAGACATACTTGTTTTTTCCAAGAGCAATTTACTCACATACCAAACATCAAAAGGTGTGTCAAATGATGTCCCATAAATGTTATAGAAGAGGACCCCATCTGGCAGTTTAGCATTACATATAATTTGACGAGTTCTGGCAGCCCATTCTAGAATATCAAAGTTAAAGGGCACTGGGACCGTTTTCCCATTATAATTTAGCTGCAAAAAATAACACTCATAAGTCCATGAAATAACTAATGGGAAAATTATGTGGGAAATGATTTTTGTTTTGATTATAAAAAGAGAAATGACGTGTTGTATGGTTGTCATAATTAACACAAATCCTTTTCTTGGCATTAATTCACATGAAGACATTTGCTTAGTCTAAGTAATGACAGGCAACAATATCCCATCCCTTATGCTGAATCCGCATCTGCCTTTATTAAACAGAGAAGTCACTTCAGCTACAAGCAATGTTCTGAGAACAGGACCAGACCAAACCGGCCAGTTTGACTGATTGAACCTGGAACTGATCCAAGCTTTCTACAGTTCTTCTCTAATAACCATAACATGACCAAGCAAGCCAGCTGGTTTTGAAGAACCAGTCAAACCAACTACAGTGCTTCAGTGGGTCAACCAGTTTACAACATCAGTGACACAACAACTCATAGAGGTGCCATATCACAAATGGCTAGGAGTTGAACCCGAACACTTGACGTGCAGGGTCAAGGAATTTGTCATTAGGCCAAAATGGCTTACAGCTTAACCATTGTATTGTAATATATTTGTTAATCAGTTCTAGTTATAGCTAATCTTCTTACTTCCCTTCTCTTAATGGTATTTCTTTTTCTGTTTTAAAAAAAGTCAGTCATAGACTCATAGTCATAAATGATAAACTTTTAAATGTGGATTTTGACATAAGATTTTTCTTCTTGTTATAGAGGAAGGGAGAAATTAAAACTAGGGGAGGATAAGTTATCCTCCAAACCATCCTCAGCAGTCAGCACACAAGAATGAACATGAAAAAACACTCGAGAAAGCAACAAGTCTGCAACCATGAGCAGAACACCGAAAAGAAGGATAAAAACAAAATCTTATCCCAGAAAAAATTTAGGGGTAAAGAGACACCCTTATTGATGGTGATGGAAATTAATTTTATATAGTACCTTACTTTGTTTAGTCGCTGAATATAAATTTTGAAATTCTAACTACTAAAAACGATGACAAAATTTATTTTAAATTTTTAACAATGATAACAGAATTACCAAATGAAATGTGTATAAATTTTTTAAGAATATTACCATTCATAAAGTTGATTTTAATAATATTAGTTTTATTTGAATTCATTAGTTTATATATTGTCTCATAATTTATTTATCTATCTTCATAGTATTATATTTAAATTACGAATTATATATTTCTTAAAACTTCAAGTATGCTCCTAAATATGTCAACAAATTATAATGTAATAATACAAGTAAAATCAAGGCTTCTAGACATGAATTCCTTGAATATTTCAAAGCATATATATGGGCACATCTTACATTCATCAGCCTAAAGAAAACTTCAATCAGATTACCTCATTGTCCCTCAGTGCTTCTTCAAATAAAGATATACTCTGGACTGGTCCATAAGATTCCAAATTGATGTTAATATCCCCATTTTTGGTTTGCTTTCGCCAAACATGAATTTCTGGCTGCTTTTTCCATTCATATTCCGGATTTGGCAACATCTCATATATTGATGGACACTCAACTACCTAATGTGATATAAAAAATTATCTCAAAAAACTTATTGGCTTTACAACATGTCACAAAAAGAGCATAAGTGACTATTCTCGAAAGAATGATTTGGATGGTGACCGAGCTTTGGATCTCAAGAACTAGCGCACACGGGCTGCAGACATCAGTGAATCACTGTGACGGGTGCCAGAGAGGTCCATCACTGTGGAGCCTTCAATGGCTAAGTTAGAATGAATGGTTAAGCTCTCAGAGAGAGTAAGAAAGTGTATATGTGGGGAATGATCTTAGCCATTGGAGGCTCTACAGAAGAGAACATCTCTAGCATCCCTCACAGCCATTCTGTATTGTACGCAGCTCATATCCAATAGTTCCAAAGGATTCAAAGCTTGGTCACAATCCAACTCATTACTTTGAAGAGCCAATTCATTTGAACTGGACTTTGGCCGCTTCCTTGGCAGCGATACCATGATTAAAAGTGAACGGGTAAATTGGAGATCTTTCCAGGGAAAAATATTGTCCCAATATTCAATTCAAAGACATTGACTGAACAAATTAATTGAGAACAAGAATTTACCAATTGATGCATAGACCACCTTGATACAAAAAAATAGCTTTGAAAGCCATCAACAAACTCTAATCCAGTTAATATAGAATCATTGATGCACCCTGGGGCTCCTGTTCAAGTGGAATTCACATTCAAGCATGGATGGATAAGACATTTATTAAAATGGAAAAAGAGTATAAAGGAAAGGAAAGCTAAGCCCAGTATGTTTGTGATTCAAAGCAGTAGGAATTTTTTTCAATGCACTAGTTGCACATTTTTCTGTCACTTTCATCACATCAATATAAATTATGCAAGAAAAGAGATCTATTACTCTTAATAACGAAATGTTGGAAGATGATTATAATTTGGTATTTATTTCCATCCAATCTGTAGAAAAATGTCAGAAACAAATCAAGCCCCTAGTAAAGAGCAGAACGAACTACAGACAAAATTAAGGAGATGAGAAAGGTCCCTGCTAATCAAACTATTGAGATGAAAACTTACATTCGAGTATGAAGATGGGCAGATAATTAGTCTTGGTAGTTTAACATCACAGAGTTTTAGAATTGCACAATTACCAATAATATTTTTAGAATTACATTAAGAAAATGTTTCAATTTCATATCATGAATTTCACATTGACTATCATTTGGCTATCATGAAGGGTGAGTTAATATTCAGCAAACGAAATATTTTTAAATTTTCAATCATAGACCAATAATATTGACTATTGAGTACCTCCTATATATACTAGAGAGGGTAATCGGCGAAACAAAAGTAAAATACACAAAAACAGAGGAATCACCTTGGAAAGGGCAAGCCAAGCAAATCCATTTATTTACATATTTCGTAAACACCTGCCAAGGAACAATGTAAATTACCACTATTTATCCTTTAACTTTCTTCCCTATATATAGTAGAAACAGCACAAGTGTCATAAGTGGTCATTTAGAAAGAAAAAAAAAAAATATGCGCACATCATTATGAAGTGACATGAAACACAACATCATAAACCCTCCCATGGAATGTGATATTATATTGACTTTTCTTCCACCAGAGGCTTTGTAAGCAGTTTCCAACTTGAGTTTAAGACCTTCCATTAACTTGTCAATCCTGCCAACAAAAAAAATAAAATAAAATAAAATAAGCACATAGTTTTTTGATTCACTTACTTAGTAAACACATTAAATGAAGCTCACACCATTTGCATTGGCATTAACATTACCTATTGCTTTGCCGGAAATCATATCCATAACCAAACAATGTGGTTCCTTTCTTATACCCACATCCAACAAGCATGTCAATCATGTCATGAAAATGATATACCTCTGTCAAATGTATACATTTCGTAAACTGCCACATAACACAAATATAAAAAATACTTAAGAACAACAAGATTTAATTAAATAAATGAATAATTATTGAGTTCATGAGTATTTGTTACTTACCAATGATGGATCTAAAATATCAATCGCGTAGAGACCATAATCATCGTCAGGTACAACAATTTCAGATTTCTTATCTAATGATTCAGTGTAACCTGAAATTTCGTGTTTAATAATCAAAAGTGAAACTGAGAGAGAGAGAGAGAATAGTTAGTACCTGTTTGAGGATTGTAAAGGGACCATATCTTCTTTCGGAACTGCAAGTCCGCGAGGAAGATCCTGACCCAAACCCGAGAGGTGAACCCGAATCCCTTGGGCTTTGAATTGATAATGGAACCACCCATGCCTGTAACCAGTAGGATCGGGTCCCGATCCGAAACTGGCTCGTCGGGTTTTCCAAAACACGGACACGAACGCATAGCTTCTTCTTCTTCTTCTCAACTCTGAACACTGAACTTCAAAACATGCACACCAAACACTCAATTCACTATTAACTTTACTTCACTATTTATTGTGATTATATTAACTTTTATTGGTTCTTAGAGAGTTAATAAATTGCTTTCTCTTTTTTTTTCTTTTTCTTTTTCTGAAAACTGTAACTTTGATTTGCTCTCTCTATGTCTCCGATCACCAATTAGCATTGAATTTCTTGATGTTTCCACTTTAAAAAAATGGATTTGACTGTAAGTGTACGTTATCCGTCGACCAATTTTTGCATATCTGCCCTCCTTCCTTTGTTTATTTGCTTTTTACTCCCTGAGTAGTAAAATGTTTAAAGGAGAAATTTTTTTTTTATCGAAAAATAATAATTTTCAAAAATATGGTGAAAATTTTTTTTTTAGTAAATTATTAAAAGGTGTTTAGTAGGCTAAATTTTTTCAGAGAATGTTAAGTTAATTTTACTGATGTTGTGTGTTAATTTTCTTATCACATGGGAAAAAAATAATTTCACCTCTTCAATGGTAATCTTCCTCAACCATTTTACGGAGAAAAACAAATGATGAGAAAAAAAAAATTCCAGCTATATTTTTATTTCACCTCTTATCAAACATTGGCAAATAATTTTTCCTACCTTATTTTTTTAGGAAAATTTTATTTTACCTCCTACTGAACACTCTTTAGCATGTTTGTTGTTAAAAAATTTACAAACGAAATTAAAAAAAAAATTACCACCAAACACGTGAAACAATCGGTAAAAAATTATTTCAGCTTTGAGTTCAAGTCTCTAAAAATGTCATTGTGTTAAAATTTGATAAGAAAAGCTTTGCTGATCATATAATTTTATTTGACTAAAATCGAAATAGTTGAATAATCGATGAACTTATAAATAATATAAAAAAATTAATCAAATTTCTTAATCTATGTCATGTGTATTTAAGTGACTTGTTAACGTGTTGACATCAATTTCTTTGGTCCAACTAACTGACCAAATACTTTTTTTTCCAAATATATGTGGATGAAGCACAAATTCTCATATTCATAAAAAAAGCAATTTTTTTCCATATTTAGAGGAGTTGCTATTAATAAAATGCATGATATTTCAACGAATTACTAAGCTCTTTGGTAAATTTAAAGAGAGATATGGATTTATAAACGTCTTTATAAAGATTACTAATTAATTCCATATTTAACATACTTTTTTTTTATTGAAATTGTTCTTGGAAGAAGACAAGTGATTAAGGAAACTGTGGCAAACGTTGTAAGAAAAACAAAATAGTGAGGTTGGAAGGAAAATATGTCAAAATGAGGAACCAAAGAATAAATTAAGTTGAAAGCGAGTAAGAGAAAAAAAAAATGTAAATATTAAAATGGCATTCAGTTGAAGATAATAAAATATGCAGCCTCGTGTTTACCTAAAAATCAAAACAAATGCAGCCACGTGGTTTGTGATACGCGAAGTAGAAATTTCTTGTACGAAAATGTTCAAGCATCTAAACGGTATATTCTTTATCCAATAAAGAGTAAGGTGGCACCGAGGGCGAGAGACATCCACGGTTTCGTTTTGTCTTTTTCAAATACAAATTATGTCAACTACTTGTCAGAATCCAAATGGACACTCATTTCCAAATTGGATGCTTGAATTTAGGTGCGATTTACGATTAAATAAACAACAAAGACACGTGATTTTGTAAAATAGATTATGTTCATGGATTCATGTTTCTCGTTTATAATTTATAAGAGATATTTTTATTTTTAATATATATATATATAGGAAGTTTATACTTACAACTTTTTTTTTACAATTTTTTACAACCACATCTTAACACTATTGATTTTCGCCAATCAACGATTGTTATTTATTGTGAATTAATAATTAATTAATGAGTTTAATTTGTAAAAATCATAACCATTAATTGACGAAAATCAATGATGTTAAGATATAATTGTAAGAGGTTATAAAAAAAACAGTTGTAAATATAACCTACCTCATATATATATATATATAGGGAAGGGATCATTTGACTCCAGAGTAAGTCTTACTCTTCATCCTAGCCGTTGATTTCTGTCAATCCAACGGCTATAATTTAGGGAGTTATATTAATTATTTAATTATTAATTACATTATAAATGACAACCGTTGATTTCCGTCCATCAACGACTGAGATTGAGAATATGACTTACAAATCTTACTCTGGAATCAAAAGAACCCTCCCCATATATATCTACGGTTCATATCTCTACGGTTCATATGAGATTATGTAGGGAGAAAATAAATAAAAAAATATGAATTTTATAAATTTTTATATATATATAAAAAATAAAATTATCTGTTAATTAAATCCTATGTTTAGTTATATCAAGTCAAAACTATTTTTCACCTAAAGATAAAAAAATTAAATATTAACTATTTTATTTATGAAAAACATTTAATTCAAATTATTCGAAATTATATTTTTCGAAGCTTACTTAAAGATGCATTCATTAAATTTTAAATGTCAATTACACCCTTACACGGGAAATTTGGGCCTTTGATTTTTGTGACAAGAGGAAGAATGAGAAAAAAAAAAAACTATTTTTATTAATCGAGATAGTTGGAAAATTATAAGGTATATGAGGGACAGGTGTAATGTAGGTGCATGTAATCAGATTTTCTAATCCACTCTAGAATCTCCTGCGCCCATTCTTTATTCCCGTCTCTATCAAATGGTGTCTTGTTCATTTGCCCAAACGATTCATTGAATAAGAATGCAAGAATCACAAGTTTTTCAACATATGTAAGGAGAAACTATCATATTTTGTGAGACGAGCGCACCTTCTTGCCAAGTGGGTTTTTCTGGAAGTTGTACTAGGAGTGATAATTTTTAACACCATCTATTTATATGACATGTAAAATTTGTATTCGATCTATTCATTTTTCTTTATCATTTTGTATGTTAATCAATAAATATAAGAAAAAAGTATTTGTCGTTTTAAATTACACAATTTATTTATTTCATTTTCACAAAGAGGTGAGACTTACATTTTTATTTTATTTTTTGTCTATTCTCTTTTTCTCATAATCTATCTCTTTCTTTCACTTAAAATAATATAACTTACATCCTTTAAAATGATACATATTTTTTTCTAAATATAAAATTGATTCACATTAAACTTTTTATAAATTATTTATGTCATATCAACATGATGTTGATAAAAATAATATTTAGTATATAAATTATTTGTGTCCTATTAACTCGCATAATAAATAACACACATTAGATTGTTGATTGTTCATATCATGTTATATCCTCCCACATAATAAGCCATACATTCTAAAATTAGCAATTTATTCTTATTATATCGTGTGAATTCGCAAAATAGATGAATTGTGTACACATTTTAACCCTTTTTTTTCAATTAGTGTGTGTTCTGTTTTTGTATATTTTCCTTAATTATCCAAAAAAAAAAAATGTCATGTCAATCCGAACTCACATGCCTACGAAAAACTTACATATATATTTAAGGGTGACAATTCGTGTCAACCCGACCCGACCCGAATTTCTCACGACACGAAAAATCTCAACCCGAACATGACCCAATTAATTATTTGTGTCAAAATTCTCAACCCGAACACGACCCGCTTATTTTACGGATTGACACGACACAACACGAATAACTTTATAATGTAACTATGACCCATTATTACACATGTTAACACGACTCGACCCGATCTGACATGAGTTTTAGAATGCTCACATTCAAAACCTGTATTTAGGCACTGATTTTACATCCAATAAAAGCATATACATCCAATAAAGCCATTGCTCAGAGAAAAGGGTTGTTTGAAACCCTAAGTGTATGTTATTTTTTTTATACCACTCGCTAAAATGACTATAATAACCTTATACAAAAACTATTTGCGGGTTAGAGCGAGTTAGTGGGTTGACCCGAACCCGACTCGAATTTTTTCGTGTCATTTTTCTTCAACCCGAACACGACCCAATCAGTAAACGGGTTGACTCAAACACAAAAATTTCGTGTCGGGTTAGCGGGTCGTGTCAGAAATTGCCACCCTATCCATCTATATGTATCCATTTAGATGATGTACTATAAGACCCTTGAAAACCATGGTTGGTATCTTGTAAAGAAATCAGTGCCACGACAGGGGAAGTATTATTGTCACCCGTCTTTAATGGTAGTATCATATAATGAAACCGTTATCATCATGAGGAATAATTGCTAATAAATGTCTTCTGTGACTTCCTATAGGTTATTTGGGTGGAGTTCATACCATCCAATTTTCACTAATACTTTATGGCACGGGACCTGCAGAAAGTGGATTGATAATAATATAATTAGTGTTTGTGATTAGGGATGCTAAACGAATCAGGGACCTTTAGCTCGGCTCGTGAAGGCATGAGCTTATATGTCTAAAATTGATTGTTGTCACAAGGCTTGAAACTTGTATAAAAGCTTGTTTAATAAAAATACCTCAGACTCTAATTCAAAAGCTCGGCTTTAGAGGCTCTCAGGCTGGCCTAATATTTTTATTTTTTATTTTTTTTATATTAAACAGACTTTTTGAATAATTTTGCTCTATATATTATGTTGTTTGGATATACATTGAATTTTAATAAAGAGCCATTTCAACCTAAAACCTTAAGGTGACAGGTGATGGTCTTTTTAATACTTTATATTTTATTCTCCAACACACATCCTCAAGCAAGAGCCCTTTGGGCTGAAAGTGGGGCGGTGAGAATCGAACTTGTGATCTCGTGATTCCTAAAGCTCTGATACCATGTAAAGAACCACTTCAACCCAAAACCTTAAGGTGATAGGTGATGGTCTTTTTAATACTTTATATTTTATTCTCCAACAGAATTATGAATATTTATGAAATTACTAGTGTTGTTGATTGTATATTCTGTTTGAATAAATTTTTGTTGTCTTATTTTTTTAAACAGGCTAGCAGTCTAAACAAGGCTTTTATTTTTTGTAAATAAGGCAGGCCACAGGTCGATAATTATATTTATAACATGTAACAGACTTGGTCAGGCTGACACATTTAAACACAAGCTTCTTTTTAGATCAAAGTTCAGCTCAGCTCGGCCCGTTAATACCCTTATTTGTCATCATACTTTTCATTAGAGTAACAAATGGGCTATCATGTGTTGCCATTTACGGAGGTGCATAATTTCGAAGTTCACCACCTATCATTAGTGGCGGATTTAGGATTTTTTTTTTCCAGGCAAAAAATCAGATGTATGAGTCAAAGTAAATTGAGTTAGGACTTTATTATATAAGTAAATTTGGTGATTATGTCATTGGGTCAGTGTATAGAAGAATGTATGCCAAAATAAATATATAAAAGATATGTCTAACTAAATCGGGGTACTTTAGAAGCCTCTAATGCATATCATTGGACGCCTACCATTAAGAATATTTTTTTTTTCAAATTTTATTCTTATGAGTTTTCTACCTATTTTTCACATCTCGTAGACAAGTCACGGTTTGGGAAAAAAATTTAGTGCTCCGGGACTATGTGCTCCTTTCATTAAGGGGCTAACACTTGATAAAAAAATAATTTTGCTCTCTCCTCTCTAGCAATTTTGATTAGTCCGGACCACTGATTCAATGGTGCTCTTGGAGCATCAAAGTTCTTCTCCACAGTTTGATGCCGCGACACACAAGAGAAATGTACCACATATGTGTGGCTGGACAAAAATTACTGTAAACATCTAAACACAATAATACTTAAGAACTCACAATTGAGAGATTAGAGTGCTCGATGTCATCGGCAGTGTAATTCTGCATAATACCACTTCACTGAAGTCCATTATCTCAAATCTAAAAATCTCCCCCACAGTAACCTCTGCACCGAGGGGATTTAAATAGGTGTGTGTACCTTCACTTTCATAAATCAGGAGGAGCTTTGAAAAGCGATGGTTTTTAACAACTACTAGCAGGGCTCTTGTTTGATTTTTTTTTCTCCTTTATTCTTTAATGGGTGGAGGACCACTCACCCCTGACAAAAAAAAAATTCTAGAAATTTTAATGTGGGATGACCGCCCACCCTAGCACCCGTTTGCCTACCATTCATCCAGCCACCAAATTCAATTATTACAATAACCAAATATGTTAATAAGATGATTCGAAGTTTTTCTACCATATTAATAAGTACTAACTTAATTTTCCAAAGCATTTGTATTGTGTTGAATCCTCCTCCAATAGAAAGGGTTACTCTAAAGCCTAAACCCTATCAGTGACTAATGGGAATACAAGATATAAGAACCTTTTATACCACAATCTTGGTCACTTTATTCATGCTTAATTTGTACATTGTGGTGAGCTACGACTTTTAGAGTTGGATGCTAGAGTGTGATAATTGGCTTGAAAATAATTTAGAATATGAGGTATTAGAAGTTACTTTTGAAGTATAACAATCAAGTTTAATCCACAAATTGAAGATGACGGCTAGTTCAAGAGCTGATCTCATTATTATCAAGAAAATAAGTTATGCTGCTTAATCATATTTACGGGGAAGACAATGCTTGCAATGACTTATTAGCTACATATGTGTTGCTTCTATCTTTCACGACTTAATTTCTTGACGATTCTCTTCTAGAACTTGATATTCACATGTGTTCTTTCTTATTTCCCCGGCTTCTTTTCTCTTATTTCTCACTTAACCCTAATAAAATTAAGGGAGTTATTAATCTCATGTTGTTTGAGATAGTTCTCTCATGTGTGTGAGATAAATATGTGGGGTCCATACTTTAAAAAAGAAAAAAAATAGAAAAAGTTGCTACAAAATTCAATGAGTGTATAATACGAAATAACTATCTCCAACGAAATGAGAAAAATATTTTTCTAAAATTAAATCTGGATTCGATTTATCTACTTCTATAAAACACTATTTGATGTAATTCTTTACACTTCGCGTAATAAAATTAACCGCTCAACTAAAATGTCTAATACATATGCAGCAACAAAAACATGACAATTTTTTTTATCGTGATGTTGAACTTGACATGATAAGTTGAAGATGGCTCATGGCAATAATTTCATTTGATTATATTTTTTATTGGCTTGGACATTTTTATACCTGCATGGCATTATATTTTGTTCACAAGATATGTTTAAGCTACTTGCATTTAATCTTTGTTTGGAAAACATTAGATGCTTAATCTTGTGCGTATGTATATGCTTATATGTATTAAATTCTTTCTTGTTACTTTACTACCGGGGCTTGTGTACAATTATGAGGGGAAAAAAATGCTACATAACAAAAGAGGTGAAAAAGTTTTCAGCCAAAGTAGGACTTTCAATCAATCAGAAGGTATAATCAAGAAACATAAATTTTAAAGCACTAGTAACCTGTTAAGTGAAGATATATAAATACTTTTTTATATCACATCTAACAGGAATATTTAAAAGTTTAAAACCCAAGTGTCCACAAGTACTAGTTTCCACCAAGCCAGCATGAGGGAAACTTGAAAATTAAACACGGTTAAAATTAATCAGATTAAAATGCTGTCGTCCGAGCATATAATTCACAACCAGATGATGGATTCATGACAAATCCGCAAGTGGTAAATCTGTCAGTCTATGACCACTTTATTTTCTTGTCAATAGGTAATACGTATGATAATGGTAGTTAAAATTCCGATTTAAATCTGCGATTTTACGATTTTACGATTTTTTTTAATCAAAACGATTTCATCAAAATTCCAAACGCTTTTACGTTTTTACCATTTTTTACGATTTTTTTTACGTTAGGATTTTACGTTTTACGATTTTTAATCCTCCTTCCAATTTTAGGTAGAATCCCAATTTTAACTACTATGCGTATGATGGATATTAATGAACTCTTTTAAAGTATCAATAAATAGGATGAAGTTTCTTTAAATACAACATTAAAAAAAGACAAGGGATTGGATATTATACAAAAAAAAATTCTACTTTAATTAATTCTCTCCGCAATGATAGATTATAATCTCAACCAACAATAAATGTTGGAGGGAATAAGAGTGACAATTTTCAATACAATCCGCACAAACATGATACAAAAAACTCATGTTTAAGTCAACCTCTTTTTAAATTTGTATATGTGTTTGCAAATACCAATCCCAAAAAATTCATGTCATATCGCACGTCAACCCATGAGTCTGAAATTAATTTCATCAATCTTTTTATAAGTTATTCATATTGTGTCGTGTCATAAATAAATTCTCCATGTCTTATCGTATCGTGTCATCTCGCATAATAAGTAAACATAATTTGAGATTGACAAGTTATTCTGTTTATATCGTGTCAACCCATAAAATAAGTGGGTTATATTCATTGACAAATATTTTAACCTGATTTTAAATTCATATTGTGTTTGAGTTGAGTGTATTGGTTTTGATGTGCACCTGAATTACCACGCCTAAGTGGAAGAGAGAAAGAGGCAAAAAGGATTTATCTGATCATGTAAATCTGTGCCGTTAGTTGAAATTGTAGCCTAACAATGTGGAGAAAAATATGCATAAAAACCCATAAAAGGGGGTAAAATTTAATATAGCAGCGGGAAAAAATAAATAAAATAAAAAGAACATTAAGAGTAAGCACGCCGAACTGGCGGAAGGAAACCTCGTGATGCTAGAGATATACAAATTCAACCTCCAAAATTAAATAGTTCCTGGCAAGGAAAACCTGTCTTATTTGTCATTTTCATCTAATGTTCTAGCTTGATCACCATCTACCACAACCTCTACACAAATTTGATGCAAGTTTGCGTACATTTTCTTCCATTGGTTAACCATTTGCATCGACCTTTGGTAATCATGTTTTAGTTTCTCCATCTCCATTTCAGAAGCAGCATGTGAACCTTGATGCTGAGAGATAGATTATAGAGGTAAGATCAAAATCAGGATTATGTAATAGTTACCCTTTCAAACATTTTTAAAAAAATAAAAATAAAATCAAGACTAAAAACTATAAATATTAAGACAAGAAATCATCAAGACACAAAAACCTGAAGTTCCTTAATGCAATTAGATATCACATGAGAACTGAGGTATGAAACATCCACGCATCTCCTGCCACCCCCAAGGCTGATAACAGTCTTTAGATCAGAGTCTTCATCTGTTGAGTTCGCATATTTTTCCAATGGAGGTAAATAAGCCCCATGCTTTCTTGAGGATGCTTGTACATTAGAAGATATACTATTACTTAAGTCAAATTCTTGTCTAACAACAATAACATTATTTACAGGTCCTGCAGCATCCAGAATAGATTAACATTAAATATAAAAAATGCATGCTTAAGCAGACTTAATATCAAAAACAAACATCATTCATAACACCTCGTGAAGGTGATCTAGTCATGAAACATGCAATCTCAGAGTAAACTACAACAATACCATCTATAAGCATGCAGGATAAGAATATAAAAAGACAATTGCAAGCATTTATATAATCATACAGAGCATATTGAGCTAAAAATATTGGCTATCCTCATCAAAGGAAAATAACATAGTGCAGCATAGTTAACAAATGTATATTAGTTGCTTTAACATATCAGTCAAGAATAGCCAGTTGTCACTAACAGGTTTTAATTTGGAAGCATGGATAAAGCAGAACTTTATTCCATAAAAAAAGATTATAATAAAGAGAAGAACATACAACTATTACTAAACATAGACATGCAATCAGAAAGCCAGTTCTGCAACAACAATACCAAAACGCAAGCGTGCCATATTTCACAAAGTTTATATACAATACCTTTAGCATGTTTAAACATGCGAACAATGTTATGATTTCTCACATCCCAAACACGAACCACTCCATCCTCTGACCCAGATATTAACAAACTCCCGCTCCTGCCATATGCTAAGCAAGTAACTGCCTGACTGTTACAATGAGTAAGATAATCAGTTAAATTACACTGCACAGCTTGAACCAAACTTTTTTTTTTGGGTAACAGACATGGCCAATAGCGATGTTACAAGCAAAATTATAAAGAATTTATATGTTTACGGACAAATAAAGCCTAGCTCATTTACTACATAAATTGTTATGATCAAAATATTCCAATAAACTTTAATTTGGATCTTGATGGGTGTGGGGGATATTTCAATATAATTCAAGCTTAATAAGTTAGAATCAGCTCTGGATAAAAAAAAAAACTAATAATTTCAACATAAACTATCTCAGATTCATCATCCGTTGTGAGCAGTGTGGGGACTAAATGTTCGCTTGAATTCATCATAGCAAAGAGTTATTATGGGTGAACCCTATACTCAGTTTAAGTTATCCACAAAAAACTGAATGCTCCAATCATGTTGCTCTTAAGAACTATACTATTGCTTGCAACTTCCATATATGTAACTAGGAGGGAGCATAAGACAGTCTACATTATCCAGATTCACAAAATATACACAAGGGAAAACAATCCAAAGAGAGAAAGACAGTCATTCCGGTCATAACTGATGCAAATTTGAAAAACTAAGATCATGAAGGGAGGACATCAACAGGCCAATACTTTCAAGATCTGAACAGTACAAGAAGAAAAGATAACCTGTCGCTATGCATCCAATAATTGTTAGTAGCAACGCTTTTAGTGTTAAGTGAAACGATAAATATTCTTCCATCACTACTGCCAGCATAAAAGACATGTTCAGAAGGATCCAATGCAATGGCATGAATTTTTGTAGGGAATACTATATTTCTCAGTAGTTTTCCCTTAGATAAGCTCCATACCTGAAAAAGGAGATAAATTAGAATCCAGATCAGTGAATTGGAAAACATACAAACAACAACGACCAAGTCCTTATACCACAAAATGGGTTTAGCTACAGTAAACGAAAAAACATGATATACATATGATAAATATATGTGTGTGTGTGGAGAGGATCACCTTACACCTTAATCCCTTGGTAAACATACTTCATTGCTTATCTATTTTGCTACGACAACACCGTCACCACACAAAAACAATAAAACAAACCTTACAGGTCCTATCCTCTGAAGCTGACACTATAATTGCATTGCACCCTCCATAACCAATCACAACATCAGTTACACACATGGTGTTCTCTGAAAAACTATGCTCACTTGGAGGATTGGCTTCCCCACATCTCAAACTATCAAATATCCTGAAATATTGAACCATGAAAAGCAGAGCAGCATATGCTGTAATAGTTAGCAATACTAGCGCCCAAGCAGTATATTATCCCAAAAGAAAAGGGAAAAAAAACACTGATACAGGAATAAAAAAAGGAGACATAAGATTAGCATCTAGTACATGAAGAGAGACCAAACTCGTATGCACCCATCTTCAGAACCAGATATCAGGTGTGAGTCATCTTCAGAAAATACCAGGCAAGTAACAGCCCTCAAATGACCCTTCCACTTCGTAAGCAATTTGCCAGTTTCAACCTTAAAAGTAATGCATGTAACTCAGTACAGTACAGTATACCAGTAAACAAAAACACAGAAACAAAAAAACCAACTATTCGATTGTGTTCTGGTTTTTTTGTTCTTAAAACTGTTTTGTAAGATAGTTATGGAAATGGTTGTTTTATATATTTTATTTTTTTTGAAAGTTAAAAACCAAAACCAAAAACAAAAACAACTAAGACATGTTCTCTACATTTGATTCTAAAAACAAAAAAAACAGTTATAGTTTTCAAAACATTTTTTTACAAAAACAGGCCTTACCAAACGAGTTTTTTAGTTTTTTTTTTCTAAAAACTAAAAAACTGTTTTTAAAAACAATAATCAAACAGAGCCAAGTTTCCACTTTCAATTCATAATTCTCCACAACCTAATTCCGGTTAAGTTTGGCAGCAAAAAAAAAACAAAAAAAAAAAAATCAGGCATTAGCTTTGCATAAAATCTTTACATGAAAAATTAACCCATCAATTATACAACCCCAATTCAAAAATGGATCCAAAACCAAATCCATCACCGAAGAAAAACTCACCTCCCACAAGTATATGTTACCAGACAAACCTCCACCAGCAAGATAGGTGCCAGGGTGATTAGCAGCAAGGGGCTTAATGGGTTCAGCAGGAAAACTCTTAACTTCAACTTGAGGCTGCACACCCATTATGCAATAACATTATTACTAATCATCTAATAAATAAGAAAAAAATAATTAAAATTTGGGAAGAATTAAAAGACCTTGGACCATGACCAGAAGAAAACAGAACCAGAGGATTCTGAAGGGTTTCGAATCTGAGAAGAAGCGAGGAAGCGACTACCCACAGAGACAAGGCCATGAGAAGGTGAAGAACACAATTTATAGCGAAGCTGCTCAGCACCTGTCTCAAGCTCCCAGCACCCTATTCCATCATCACCATGCGAAGATGCCACAATAACCTCCATCCTTAATTACCAGGTTCCAAACGATTAATCACTAACGTGAAGAAGTTTTAACCCTAATTATAAATTGCATACACTCCGCACATTACACAGAGGAATTAATTATTATAGAAAGAGAGTTCAGCACCGCATAGTGGAATAAGAAACAAACCTTAACCCAAGGGTTTTTAGGGTTTTAACTAGGGAAAAAAAGGACGGCTAGGGTTTTATTTTATTCTTTTTTTCCTTCTGTATATTTCATTGGATTAAGATTTACCAAAGGTGTATTGGATTAAGATTTTAAAAAATTATTTTGAGATAATTTTTTTTTTATAAATTGTAAAAGATTATCTAGGATTATAAGGACTATAAAAAAAGGTATGATATTGTAACAACTAATTAGTGTTATTATTATTTACAAAAAAAAAATTAGTGTTATTATTAATGTAATTATCAATCAATTTAATCGTTAGATCGATTATGTTGATCCAACGGTTATATTTATTTTCATATTAAATATGGAGAATCATAATCATACAAATGTGAAAATAAATATAAAGTATTAAATATGAGAAATTATAACTATATAAAGATGAAAATAAATATAATCGTCGGATCAACATAATCGATCTAACGGTGAAATTAATTGATAGTAACACTAATTGGTTGTTACAATATCTTTTTCTATTAAAAAAAATTAAATTTTTTTTATAATTAAAATTTTACAAGATTGAATTTTAAATATTTTAATAAAATTTATAACATTTAAAAGCAACAGCAAACTATGAACAAGCAAAGCTTCAAAGATCAGTGTTGTGTCATTTTGTATACCTACTTCTGTATGCTGTGTGATTTGCAGCCATGAAAAAGAGCAATTTATGTAGTTAATTTATTAATCCGTGAACCACTAGAATATGTATTTTAAATATTCTATTAGCAAGGATGACTATATACAAAATTTTCTAAATAGTTCTCTTTGGAATATAGAAACTTATATCACATGGATGTTCACCGACCTGTGTACCTTGTTCATGGAAAAAAGGAATCCCGTGTATATAATTACTTAACAATGGGTGCTTAGAGGTGGCAAAGTGGATAGGGCGGTCAAAAAATGAGTCAGCTTGCTCTGCTTACCTTTTGAAAGTGGGCTGAAAAACTCAACTCATCTCGTCCTGTTTGGTGGGTGGGGTGGGTTAGTCCGTCAGTTCAAGCCTACTTTACATTGACCCACCACGGCTCGCCTATGTCCGCCATCAACCGACCAAAAAATAAGCCTGTCCCGCGCTGCTTTTGAGATAGATTGAAAAACTCAACCCACCTCGCCCCGTTTAGCGGGTTAGACGGGTTGACCCGCCGAGCCGAGCCTGTTTTGCCCGCTCTTGTGCTCTATAAGAATTACTGAATTGATATTGAAATATGTGGAACAGTGACCAATTTGCCACTGTTCATCATAAAATTTACCAGAATGCCACGCGCACAGTAAAATTTCCCAAATTGCCACGCAGGCTAATTCGCTACACAGTGCAGCGAATTAGGCCTGATGATGTGTCACGTCCTCAGTGGTCCACGTATTTCGCTACACAGTGTAGCGAAATACGTGGTCAATTGGTCAGCCCTGTCAGTCACCTTTTGGACACGTGTCAAGCCACCCGTATTTCGCTACTCTGTGTAGCGAAATACGTGGCAAGGGTCACCTGCTGCCCTGCGCATGTCAGACACGTGGCAGCATGGCACTAATTCGCTGCCTTGGGTAGCGAATTAGGTGCAAATTTTTTCCTATATACACCCTTCCGTCCCCACCCCCTCCCCCCACCATTTTCTCTCATCCTCTCCCTCACTCCCTCACTCTCTCTCTCTAAGTGCATTCTCTCTCTACAAGGTTAGTAATTTGTTTTATTGCTTTTATAATATGTTTGTTTCATTAATTATGTTTTTTTTTATAAATATGTTATATTATTTAGTGATTAGGCATGAAACTTTAGGTTAGTAAATATGTTATATTATTTAGTGTTTAGGCTTGAAACTTTAGGTTAGTAAATATGTTGTAGTATTTAGTGTTTATACTTGAAACTTTAGGTTAGTGAATGTGATATATTATTTAATGTTGATATTTCCAACCTTAGACTAGTAAATGTGATAATTTTAAATCATGCATAAATGATTAGGTGTAATTTATTTAATTTATTATTTAAGCTTTAATACATGTGTAATGTTATTTAATTTTGGTTTTTGAAACCTTAGGCTAGTAAAATGTGTTAATGAATTCCATGCTATAATGCTTGGGCTAATATAAATAAAAAAATTTATTTATGCTGTAATATTTTGTGAATATTATTTAATGTTGGTATTTGAAACGTTAGGTTAATAAATGTGTGAATTTATTTTACGCATGAATGAATGATTAGGTTTACATAATTAAAAATTTTGCACAAAATATATAAACGTTAATAATTTATAAATTTAGATTTTGGGTTTAGGGTTTTAAAACCTTAGGCTAGTAAAATGTGTTAATATTATTTAATGTTGGTATTTGAGCCATTAAGTTAATAAATGTGTTAATTCTTGGTAATACGCATAAATGACTTTGGTTAGGTCTACATAATTAATTTTTTTATTATTTTGTAAACGTTAATAATTTAGAATATTGTTTAATTCTTAAAATTTTGAAACCTTAGGTTGGAAATTATGTGAATCTATTAAGTTATAAAATCGTAGGTTTAAATAATTTAATTTATTATTTATGTTTTAATACTTGTTTCATTGTTAGTTACTGTTGATCTTAGACACGATGGGTTATCAATTTATTTTAATTTAGTTAAAGCAGTAACTTAAATGGAGAAAGACCTTTGAATTGTGCTTTTATTAATTTTATTTATTTAGCCAAATATTCATGAATTTTTGGTTGATGATTATTAATTTAATTGTTTAGGATTAATTTATTTAGATATGGAGCATGATGAGGCACCTCGTCCTGGGTCTCCACGCAGCGTGATTGACCCTGGGCCTTCAGACAAGACTCTCCTAACTTTACAGGAGAAACATATATCCACACATGTGTGGAACACCTGTGAGGATCCGAATGTCCCGGATCGTGTGATTAATGTGCGACATGCTGCGACACATGATCACCGTGCCATTCCTGAAGAGATTGAGCCATGGCTGAGGCTGGCTGGCTTCTACCATGTTGCGCGCCTGCGCAATCATGAGGTTAGTAGTTTTTTATTTTATCACTATCTCCTGACTTTGGCATATGGCATTGTGATAAATATTTATTTATTGCTGATTGACCACATATTTTTTATGATTTCAGATAGACCATTCACTTGTTTCTGCGCTTGTCGAGCGATGGCGCCCAGAGACACGGACATTTCATATGCGGATGGGCGAGGTCACCGTTACCTTGGAGGATGTGCATCATCTACTAGGATTGCCCACTGATGGTGAGGTTGTGTCCGGGCGCCATGGACGACATCCATTTAATCAGTTAGTCAATGACTACTTAGGCGTAAATCCACAGGCTGGTAGGGATTTGTCTGGAGGTTTGCTGGGTCTCCACTTCCTACGGCAGAAGTTTCGGGATTATGCACGCCACGCAAACACTAAGGTTGACCGTATGAGATATACTCGCGCACTAATTTTGCGCATACTCGGGGGGACACTGTTTGTTGACACTGCTTCCAGCTTCGTTCCTGCGAGATATTTAACATATTTGGATAATTTTCAGCGGTGTGGAACCTACAGTTGGGGCTCTGCAGTTCTCGCCGTATTATATAAGGAACTGTGCAAAGTCACTGACAGGAGACGTTCTGAAATGGGTGGATGTGCACTCTTATTGCAATTATGGGCGTGGACCAGATTCCCGCCTATCTCTCCTGGAATACCTGAAGTCACTGATGTACATGCTGCTTATGGACACAGGTAATATTAATGTTGTTAATGTAAATTATTCAAATTATACGAATGTTAATATTTTAGCAGTTCTTGTATGGTAATTGTCGCTTGTGGACTATTTGGTGCAGGTTTAACAGTTATGATGTGCGGCAGACTGTGTGCACACACATTCGCAGGTACCGGCATCGTCTGGACGTTATGCGGAGACGTGAGTTTTGTTGGAGATCGTACCTGGGTTTCGAAGGTCATCCACCACCTTCTGACACCGCCCGTAGATGGATCTCTGTCTGTCCACTTATTTGTTACCAGGTCGTTGTCTATCAGCAGCCCGATTGAGTTCTACGGCAGTTTGGATTTCAGCAGCCTGTTCCACATGCTCCGATAAGTTGTCTTGACCTCTTGACGATTAGCATCACTGGCAAGACAGACGTAGATTGGAGGAGAGACATGGATTCTTTATCGCTCAGTGGGAGGATAGGGATTCTTTGGTACTACAGGAGCTTTTGCCACTTGCACATAATGATCAGGGCCACCTATCTGTTAACAGTGAGTATATAGGGTGGTATCATAGAGTGACCTGTCGATGGATGACCCGCAGGGCTGCGATTATGACGCACGTGGTATGTTGTTAAATTATTGATGTGTTGTTTTATAATCTTGTTTCTCAGTCACTAACAAGTTATTTCATGTTTGTACTACAGGCTGATCGCGCAGAGACGGTGGTCCATGTGACTTCGCCGGAGGTCGGGTATCGTTCTCTATGGATCAGATTTACCACAAGTCTCTCAGGGTAGTTGCCTCTTGTGATGATATGACCAGGTTGACAGATCCGGGCGAGCCCGCAGCCCCACCGGTGGTACGTAATACACAAGACCCTCCGCCTGTCCAGCATCGTTCTCGACGTTCGCGTATTGAGGGTTTGCCCCTGCACCATTCCGCACCTACTGTTGCTGATACGCCTGTTATAGTCCCTCCCATGCCCCCCCGTCCGGTCGGGATGTATTATTCGCTTGGATTTCCAGCAGGTCCTTCTCAGCAGTATTGGTGGCCCCCGCAGTTTTCCAGTGCAGCACCTGGGGTTCATCCAGCACAGTATCCACCCTGGCAGACTGCGCCACCTATGGGTCAGTATGGGTATCAAAGTCAGTCGTTTCCCATGTATGCAGGCGGTAGCAGTTCACAGCCCACGCAGGGCTTAGACTCATTCACAGAGTACTACAGGCCATCACCTTATCCACATGATCCATCAGTTGCACATGCTCAGCCAGATGATTCTGATCTGGTGATTGCCACTCCCACTGCGTACTCGACGAGTTTCTTGCAGTCACCACATTCACAGCCATTCGGGGATTTTTCTGCTCAGGATTTGGCCGAGGCTATGCGAGAGGCGACTAATGCCGATTATCCTGGCCATGCGCAGGACGTACCTGTTCCCGGTGCTGATGCAGATCCTGATGTTGATGGTGCTGATGCTCAGGGGATTAGGAGAAACCCCGTTCGACAGGCCAGGTTTACTTGCATGCTGTCACCATTTGACCATGATCAGGCTAATTGCGCAGGGTATCATGCTCGACAGCATTGATGTGTTATTTTGTTGTGTCTGTATGTTTAGGTTGACTTTGCTTCAGTTTCCTATGGACGATGGACTGTTATGTACGTATATTTTGCACTTGTCTTGGTGACGATATGTTATGCGCGACTTATGTAGTTGTTGTAATTGCTATGATTATCGTTGTTTACTTTGGTAATACAATATTGTTACAGATGATGTTTTCTTTATAGTTATGGTTATGTTCCTGCCAAAAAGAAGCATTGAAATACAATAAAATGTAAATGGCGGTACTAAATATTATAACAAAGCCAACATGTCAGTGTACATACATCACTACTTTTGCGAATAACTAAATACACATGTTACTTACGCATATAATAAATATTTAAGACTCATTCACTGCTGTGGTTGCTGGCGCGAAGGACAATTTCGTTTATTATGCCCAACAACCCTACAATAACCGCACCTTGTTCGAGTAATTGCCCCTTCACGCGAATCCATTTCATTGTGAATACGTGTACTTCTTGGCCTCCCCCGTTGACGTCTCATAGACACATCTGGTATAACTGTTGCATGTGCAAATGGCGGTATGAAATCCTCGTTACCAATTGGATACCATTGACCCGAATAAATTTCACATTGATTCTTGGCACTGTATGCAGGGTCTATGTATAGTGTGGGATCGTGATGCGTCGATGTACATGCCGCAATGACATGGCTACACGGGAACCTGAAAGCAGTGAACTCACCACACTGACATGTACGGTCAATAAAGAAACCGACCATTTTCGTCCCTCGCGATGAGTCCGGACATTATACGACTCTTGCACTTCAAATCTTGTCCTTTGCGCGTCATAAGATGTTACGTAATGTGTCGCAGCTTTACTTTGATTGTCAACATATAGTCGCCACATGACTTTGGCGAAGCGATTACCTCTGTCAAGCTCCTCACAGGCTTCCTGTCCGTGCTCTAAAAAATATGCCACCAGTCTACTGTAAGTTATACGCACAAGTGACATAATTGGAAGGTTTCTTGCCCCTTTTAAAACTTTGTTAACACACTCTGACAGATTAGTTGTCATGTGGCCAAACCTTCTTCCTTGTTCATCGTAAGAGATGCTCCACTTCTCTTTCGGGATGCGATCAATCCAAGCAGCTATTTGAGGGCTTGTTTCTCTAAATTTCTCTAAACCAGCATCAAAGTCAAAGCACGATGTTGTATATCCTACACATGGCACACAAAAAACATTACTACCTGTTG